CTCACGTTTAAGGAGCATATCGCAGATGTCTACACGCGCCGTCAAATGAACCTCTCTCAGTTCGTGTGGTACCCAACGATCGAGTTTGCTTACGTATCCCAGTTTCTTCAAATGGTCGTGAACGGTTGAATGATGGATTTTTAAGGTTTCTGCAATTTCCCGTGTGGTGTAATGTGGGTTTGCTCCTACCAATGCCTTTAATTCGTCACTATCCAACTCAGTAGGCCGCCCTGATCGAGGTGCGTCATGGATATCAAAATCCCCATCTCGGAATTTTTTAAACCATCTCTGGCATTGCCGTTCTTGTAGTGCATGTTCTCCATAAACCTTTCTCAACTTTTCACACGCTTGTCTTGCGTTCTTGCCTTTGCGGAAGTAATACAGCAAAATGTGACGAAAATGCACAGTTTGGTCGTCCATCTTCAACGTCCTCTAAAATCGACGAGACTCAAATAAATCACTTAATTTGTTGGTGCAAATGAAGCTTGAAGTGTCAACTGTCAAACTACACAATCAACATACAAATGTCATTGACTCACGTACTTCCAACCATGCAATTGCATACTTTGTTGCATATACGTCATGACTTTTCCGACAACCAATATTTGACAACAAAGAATGAGAAAACGTGTTTTTTGGGATACAATCGAAAGTGTTGACAGAAACGAACAAACTTTCCATATAAGATTTTTAGGTATTTATTAGACCTACAAAGGTCCGACTAATAGCAAAAAAGTACTGGCCGAAAAACAAGGCAAAATGCCCTCCCCTGTGAGGTCTTAAGTCACCTGATTCACGAGCCCTTTGTACTGAATTAACAAAGGCACGAGGGGTTGGTTACACTCGATTGGAAAACCGATCCGCATAAATCCGTGATGCATTTTTTAAAGACCCCCCCGTAAATAAGAATCATGTCCACAAGTTCAGCATTTTCGTAAACATGTGCCATTTTTTATTTCGTTTGAGCCACGCAACAAACACCACTATTCAGTCACGCGTTACCGACTGACACATTGACTGAATGCAACTGAATAAAAGTGTAGGAAAAACATCGTTTCAAATTCTTTCGCTTTTTTGTTTCCGATGCGATGAACCGATAAGGCGGATTATATCCGTTGTTGCCAAACACGAGCACATAATATTATTATTTTGACAGGGCGGTACTCAAACTTCTAAAGGGCTATAACTTTGTTACCAGAAAAATGTTAAAGGAAAAAAACATTTCTTTTGATCTGATCTACTCACTGTTAAAATAAATGACTCAACTTCGAAGTCACCCTGTACATATAAGCTATATACAGGGTGTCCGCAAAGTTAGGGTTTTCCTTTACACGACGTGTAGATCTTGAAAACATAACCGAGATAAAGGGCTCTGCAACATCAAAAATATCTGAATACCGTCCTGTAGCCGCGACATCCCCGACTGGTACTAGGACACTAGCTCAATCCGACGACAGAACTGGGTCGGGGTCAGTGTGTCAGGTCAGTATGCAACTTTCAACCGACGGTTACGGTCACGCGTCTAGAGGTAATCGCTTAGACGAGAATCCCTCAACAAGCACTAGAGACGTGGCTAGAGAAGTGCAAATATCAAAAACTAAAGTGTGGCAAACGCTGCGTGAAGAGGGGCTGTATCCGTTTCACGTCCAACGTGTACAAGCCCTTCAACCTGACGATTTTTCAGCAAGAGTGCTGTTTTGTGAGTGGTTGTTGCATCAGCATGACAATAATCCGGACTTTTTGAAGTGCATATTGGTGACAGACGAATCTACGTTCACGCGTAATGGGGTGAATAACTTTCGCAACACTCATGTTTGGTCAGTAGAAAAACCGCACGCTGTCCGTCGGGCACATTTTCAACAAACATTTTCGGTGAATGTTTGGGCTGGCATGGTGAACGGTATGCTCATTGGACCATTTATTCTCCCAAATCGATTGGACGGGATGCAATATCTAGACTTTTTACGCAACATTTTGCCTTCCTTGTTTGCCTGCGTCTGCTCGGTAGCGCATCAGCTGATTTCATTTTCTGTTGGAGCGGTATGATTTCGGGCAGAGACGTACTTAACCCTTCTCGTCAACTGGAGAGTGAGTACTTTTTCCTTTATTTTTTTTTACCTGGTCGCCCTCGTTTCACTACACATCACCTTTGTTATTTCAAGGGTAGTTGTTTCTGAAAAGGAAAACCCCAACTTTGCGGACACCCTGTACAGGGTGGCGCATCGAAATCGAAACAGACGCATTTACTGGCAGCTCAGTTTTTTTTTAAAAACGCTCAGACCCGTCGATTTTGTTTTCGAGGAGGACACAAATTTGGCAAAAAATCACGTTAGCACGTGCAGCCCCCTAAGCGGGGGTGACACCACCCCCAAAATCTTAAATGGAAAGGGGGGTCGAGTGATACCTTATTTTAAAGTTCTTTCAATTCCCTTTATAATGACATAAAATTAATGTACTTCAGTTCAGAAGTTTTGAGGATTTATTGATTTAAATCTTAAATAAAACTAATACATCATCATTAGTGGAGATCAATACATTTGACAGCAAAGTAATTTAAAAATGAAGAATGAACTGACCCGTTAGGCAAGTAAATGTTGAAAATAACCACCATGCCTCTCCATGCAATAATAAAGATTTTGCTCAAAACGTTGCCGCACATTTTGCAATATTTGAGGAGGAATTTGAAGGCACTCATTCACAATTCTTTGTCGCAGGTCTTCTAATGATGTTGGCTGAGTAGCATAGATTTTGCTTTTTAAATGACCCCACATAAAGAAATCCAAAGGTGATATCTGGCGATCTTGGGGGCCAGTCAACTCTCTTCTCTCTTCTACCAATCCATCGATCTGGAAACATCTGATCTAAATATTGTCGAACACGTAATGCGTAATGTGGTGGGGCACCATCCTGTTGGAACATCAACCTATTCGCAATGTACCGCCGATCGCTCTTATTTTCAATTATGACTGTTAATGCAGGATCTATGGCGTCTTCCAGTAATTCCTAATACATTTCACCGGTCAAATTTCCAGGTAAGAAAAAAGGACCAACTCAATGATCGCTAAAAATACCAGCCCAAACATTTAATTTTTGTGGCTGCTGTGTATGAACCTCATGATAAATTCTGGGATTAGAATCGGACCAATATCGGCAGTTATGACGATCTACTACGCCATTTAAGAAAAAGGAACATTCGTCGGAAAAGCAAGTGTTGAATAGAAAATGTTTATCGTTTATAATTCGTTCACTCATATCTTCACAAAATTGTAATCGCCGATCAAAATCGTCTTCATTAAGTTCTTGTACCAGGTGAATTTTATACGGATGAACACTATGGGCCTTTAGAATCCGTTCGACAGTATGTCGACTAACACCACACACAGTCTCCAATTTGCGGGTACTTAACGTAGGATCTACATAAACTTGCCTTAAAACCCCCACTTCTATTGCTTCGTTTCTTATGGGATTTTCAATGTTGCTTTTTTTATTGGCGACTGACCCAGTTTCCAGAAATTTGGCTACAAGTTCTAGAACATCTTTTCGATGCACGTTACTGTTCTCATGTCGCTCATTAAATATTTCTGCTGTTCTATTAGCGCACTGATTATTTCCGAAAAATATTTCAATAATTTCAACTCTTTCTGCTGTGGAATATACCATGGTTAATTTATGTAATAAAGCGTTATAAGTTATTTTAGCAACAAAGTTTGGTCAAATCAATCGCAAACTATGTACTAAATTCCTATTTAAAATAAGTACGAGATATTTCCTTATCTTCCTTCAAGACCTTTTTTGCCACAAAAAAACGCTCCAATAGATATTCTCAACAGAAAAATGATAAACAAAACTTGGGCGTAGTGAAGAAAAGCATTTACTTATTAAATAAATTCTTTTAGTCAAATTTCTTCTGAAAGTAGTACAAACTAATCTGATGTACCTATTAAAGTCTACTTTAAGCTTTAAATCAATAAATCTTCAAAACTACTGAACTGAAATACATTAATTTTATACCATTTTAAGCGGAATTTTTTGTCAAACTTGTGTCCCCATCGAAAACAAAATCGACGGGTCTGAGCGTTTTTCCAAAAAAAAACTGAGCTGCCAGTAAATGCGTCTGTTTCGTTTTCGATGCGCCACCCTGTATATATATATACATATATACCACGAAGGCCTAAGGACTAAACACCCATGGGGTACCGTGGGGCTATGGGGATACAGGGGAACGCCACACGGACTCTGGTGAGGGAACACGTGTGCATGCAATATGCACACATTCTGGCCCCGCCTACGAGATCCGCCGGGTGGTACCTCTGCGTTTGACAGTCAGAGACCGTCTACCACCTACGGACAATCACAACATCCATAGCCAAGAGAAAAAGTTCTCTTGGGACGGGGTTCGAACCCGCACAGCGCACGGAGACTGATCAGGACACCGAAGAGTCTACTACGGCGGTCACCGCTGCTGCCTACAAACTTACATTTGTCACAAGTCATAATACTCGAATATACGTATAAGTCGTAAGAACTGTGCTGTAATCGTAAGTGATGTCGAATAGGGACAGCGTTTGGAATATGAAAGGATACCAAAATATCGCAATGTTCAAATCCTATAGCTATAACTTATAGTTAGTATGCCTCTGTTGTCGCCATGATGTGTCAGAAAGCAATGGAGTTAGATTACAAAAGCAAGTGTCAGACGTCTAGGGGGGGCGCTCCCCGCGCCTCCCTCTAAATCCGCCACTTTGTGATGATCCTACTATTGAAGCAACTGAGAAAATAGTATCTATATAATTTGAATATTTTTATTCAACCTGTATTGTACTTTTGTACATTTTTTATAGACATTTTATATTGATTGTATAATATGATAAATGCCTTTCATATTACACGGCTCTTACCCCGGTACATAGGTGTGATAGGCCATTAACATGCGCTATCCTCAGAAATAACGCATTCGATTTCGTATTTGAAGGAACGTCATGCAGCATTTCCTCTTTAGCCTTTGCGCGTGCTCGCGGAGAGCATCCCAAATCAATATACGCAACTTAGTTGTGGTTAAGGTACAACTTATAACAAACAAAATATATGTGAATTTGTTCGAAATTATTGTTCTTACTGTAAGTATCACTTATTACGACAATAAGCTTTTTAACTTGTAACGTTGAGTAACCTGTTTGTTTTGTCACGATACACAGGTTATTGTATGCACCATTACATATTTGTATATTTATTATAGCTATAGCTATAGAGAATAGTCAAATTTGGCTTTAAATTACAAATGTCAAGTGTTTCAATAGTTGTATCTAACTGTACAATGTAAACAATCCGCAATACGTACCTATATAACAAGATTAACGCAAAATGTTCATCATTAATGAAAGCTTTATATGAGCTCTTGTATCGCTACTAGAAAGGCTTGGTTTTATAAGAGGCGTCGCTTCTAAAATTGGGAAAGATTGATTTTGTGGATTGGACGTGTGCGAATTCACCATTTTTAATAGTCAATACATCTTGGAGATATGAAAATTTTATTCGAAATAAGGTAAAATATCCAATTTAAGAGTGGAGATGATTCGTTCAGGCATCCCCAAATGAGTTGACAGCTCGAAGGGGAAAATGTCAAGCAGGTGGACTTCCCATACAATGCTATCATCAGTTCATAAAATTTGAAATTCGGCATAAGCTCCTTACATAAAAAAGTTACGACATGTATAACAAATGAATTAAATAGATCAAGTAGCTCAAGTACTCGTAGACTCATACAATTAGTCCCCCAGTTTGGAACCTCCTACCTACAGGTTATCTCCTATTTTTGTTGCGCTCGACGAGGGGGCGAAACCATTTCTTTTCATTCTACCCCTAAGTCATAAGACTAAATATATAGTATAGGAAATCATGTTTAATAGGTGCGTATAATTGCTGGGGTTAGAAGTGCATGCATATGTTAACGTGAAAAAATTGAGGCATTCCCGTCTCCATCCCCTGCAATGCACCTCCTCCAATCTTACAACCCTCAATTTTTCAAAAAGTAGCATGTATATCTGACACGTCAATATATTTCATTTCGTATTGAAAATTCAAGAGCGAGCGAAGGGGAGAGTGGCTGCATACGTAAGGTACGTCCCTTTTTTAGATTTTTTTTAAACTACCCGTTTGCATCAAATGTATAGAGATTACTAAAAAACAATGTTGTCATTTTTTTGTCAAAAAATGCATTTTTGTGCATATTTCTTCAATCGGAATTTGTTAAGTAAGTACAGCTCTGAAATTGTGTGTGAATATTCTTCTTTTTTTGGAAGAATGAAACAAGTAATTACTTTTGTTCTTATCACTTTTCCTTTTCGAAAAATCTTCGTTTTTCTTGAAGCATCATCTCGCAGCAAATTGAGTTTTCAAGAAAAGCAAAGATTTTTCTAAGAGAAAAAGTGATAAGAAAAAATAATCACTTGTTTCATTCATCCATAAAAGTGGAATACCCACATACAATTTCAGAGCTGTACTAATAAAAAATGCATTTTATGACAAAACAAAATTAAATCGATGTTTTTCAGTCATCTCTATACACATCATGAAGCAACCAGATGAAACGGATTTAGAGGACAGTTGCAAGCAGGTAGTTGAAAAAAAAAACGAAAAAAGGGACGTGCGGCCTTGAGCAGCGCTTCTGAAAGCAAATGCCCTTGTACCATTTAAAGAGCAGGGTTAGGATACGTCTAGGGAGGTGCGTCATGATTCAGGCCTAGCAGGGTATTTTTTTCACAATTTTTACACCGAGATACACCAATATACAGGGTGTCCAAGATAAGGAGTTCTCGATACCTGTGGGGGATACAGCTTAGGTTAAACTAGAAAAAAGTTGGCTTTCAGGGCGTATTTACATGGCGTTGAGAAACTTATAAAAATGAGATCTTTCAGAAAACCTAAAATTTGGAAACATCATTTTTATTTTAAGAAATATCAAAAAACTAATGAGACTTTTCCATTGGCACTTTTTGGGCACTACATGATGGTGTTTTTAAATTTTGTGCCCGAAGGTTCGTTTTTGAGAAACCATCGTCAACTTTATTTCTTTATATGGTCCGAAAAAAGTAAACACTGTATCTGATAGCATTTTTATACGAATTCAACGATGTATCACATGTTACATTTATTTTATTGAGTATAAGGAAAAATGCGTTTTTTAAGTATTCATTGCAAGCAAATGCTTGACTTGACGTGAATATCTGTCACCAAGTATTGCGATTACTGTGTATTGTTAATATTGCTTTATTATCGTCATTTTAGCAATGGATAAAAGTTTGACATGCTGACGTGCTACATAAGGCAGCCAAGTAAGTCCAGGTTCTGAGAGTTGGCTCGAAATTCAAATGAATATGGTTCATTGAAAAAGCCTGTTACGTCTCGAAGAAAGGATCGTTAGAAGAAACTCGGAAAACTGTTTTACAAGCGGTTGCTGAGAACTGTGAGATATAAATTAGGCAAATTGAGAAAAATTAATGAGTATCCAAATCCACAGCAGTTGTTGCAACATGATCTAGAAGACTGCCTGTATAATTTACCTACCACATGTTAATTTCTGTTGGTTTCAACAAGACGGTGCTCCTGCACGTAACTCTAGGCAAGTCCTTTCCCAGCGATTTACATGTTACAATGTTACATGTTGTTTTGAATTCTATTGTTAGAAGATCATATTTAGGTTTAGAAAAGAATGGCAACATATTTGGACACCCACTGTAAATAAAATAAAAATAATTTCATTTTGAATATCACCAGATTAAGCATCATTTTATGAAATTTTACCCGATCATATCATTATGTAATGTGTAATATGCATCTATCTCATAATGTTACAACAAGCGCTTGTTAGCAACGCCTAGTTAAATGAAATAAACGAATATTAAAAAACTTATATTCCGTTTTAACTAAGAAAACGTATGTGACATGCGAAACATCGTTGAATTCCTAGAAAAAAAATAAAGTTGATGATTGTTTCTCAATAACGCACAGTCTTGCACAAAATAGTGCCTAAAAAGTGACAAAGTCCAGAAAAAAAACAATATGGCCAAATTTTAGTTTTTCCCAAATACCTCGGTAAGCCATGAAAGTTTCTCAACGGTTTTTTTTCTCCCTTATCTGACTATTTTTGCAGACAGATCCACCTGAGAGCTGTGAGTGCAGCATTGTGATTTCCATCCTGTGAGCTTTGGATCTCTACCAGAACGCTGTGCAAGGTGTTTCCGAGTCCGGGCATAGCCCGCAGCGTGTGGGCCCTGCCCGCTGGCGCTCAGGTAAGATGACCAAACAGAGCTGGCCTCAGAGTTTTGTTCACCTTAAGTCAAAGGATAAAATATGCATCTTTGAGAACAATGGCGGATCAAACATTTGAGTCTGGGTGGGGGGCATTACTTAGCCACAGTTGCGGGTTTAGGAAGCTGTCCAGAGAGGGCGCAGTGATGGTCGCAAGAGGTGATGGGGGCTATCGGCGAATACAAACCCGCTCGGCTGCATCAGTGCTTCTAAGAGCTAATGATTTCTGATAGCTGAAGAGCGGTGGGAGGGGTGTTGTGTTTTTATACATGAACCACCACGAAGGACTAAGGCCTAAACACCGATTAATACCCTGGGGTTATAGGGGGATACAGGGGAAAAGTATGGCAAATCCGCGTTCGACAGACCGAGACCGTCCACCACCTACGGATATTGGTGTTGGCTACTAGTAAGCATTTTGAAAGACATTACCTATCAAGGTGTTTCATTGGCGACATTGTTGGTATCTCGGCGTCGCCCGCACGCCTCACCAGACGCCACAAAAGATGGCGACGGTGTGGCTACGCTTTCAAACTGGCGACGCCGACTGGGAGCTTCTGTATTCTAAAAATAATGGTCTGGCTACGGATGCTGGCGACGTCGCTATGGTAACCCAATGATGCAGGGCTCTTACGGAAGCTTTTTAATGTTTAATAGTAATGTATTTACTGCGTAGGCATCCTGCTGCGCCGAGATGGTGGCCGCAGATCACCCTGCAGACGCAGAGTCGAAAGCGGATTCGGCAGCACCACAAGATCAGGCTCAGGCACTTGCCGAAAGGGAAGATCCTCGACGACATATTTTCGAACTGGTGAAAGCAGGGTAAGCATTTGGCACACACTACCATGATAAAGGAACCCATCAGACGCAAGAATGCAATATATATATATATATATATATATATAGAGTAAATTATCATGCGGAGAAAGGTATATAACAAAAGTAGGAAAATAATGGGCAAAATCCGCAAAAAGTGAATTTGAGCAGAATAGGTAACCTCTCCATCTTTGTTTCCTCAGGTTACACCCGTATCCGGAAGAAGAAATACGTATCGCTCCGGTTACCTATCCTATTCTGCTCAAATCCACTTTTTGCGGATTTTGCCCATTATTTTCCTATTTTTGTTATATATATATATATATATGCCATTTGCTTTCGTACAGTTTGTTTCACATTCGACTTTCAGCATTGGGATCTCGGAAACGGTAATAATACAAAGTCGCTTTAATGGGGGCAAAATTGCGTATTTAGGTAAATAAGAAACTGCCGGTTAAAAAGTTTTGATATTCAAAGTACTTCCAGAGAGAGACGGAAAGAACCGAATTTTCCCAAAATTGCGTTAACTTTTTCCTGACTGTATTTGTAGTGGAAGCTCAAAATAAATTACACATTAACAATGCCAGTTTTTTTCCCTCTATAAGACTGCATACTTAGAATTTCGATAACACGTCTTTTGCCCTCCAGCAACAACTTTATTTTTTATTACGGATGCCATATTGGATTTTTGCTACTGATAAATAGAGTTTCTTGCTCTGATTATAAAAATGTATAATACGTCATACATTGGCACTGCCAAACCTGCGTTATTTCAAAAACGCAGAATTTCCTGGCTAGGCCTTAAAATTATCAGATTGTCATTTGTTTTGTATACTAGATTTACCCCAAAATCATTTTTATTTTTTCCTGAATTTATTTGATGAAGCATTCCAAAATAACTTGCATGTTGTCATCATTTCTTATTCTCTTCTACAAGGTGACATAGTAAAATTTTCAATTCGAGGCTCCTTCTTTCGATTTGTTTTTTCATACAGACGTTATATTGGTGTTTTGTACACTTAAATGGACTTTTCAGTCCTAAATTTCCTTAGTTGGTCATGAACTTGTTGTATGAAATTTGGTAAAACATGAACATAAAATGAAAATTTTGTTGGTGGTAATAACAACAAAAATGATAAATAAGCAGAGGTAAACCATAGCAGATGTTTAAAATGTAGGCCAAGCCTGCTGACTCTTCTCAGTCTTCCAAACTATGTTACAATATTCAATTTTGGGTCTGGTCTGGTATATGAAACAAATGACTATCTGATAATTTTAAGGCCTACCTAGGAATTTCTGTTTTTCAGAAATAACTAAAGGCCCGTATCGTCAGTCGTCCCTACAATTGTAGGGCGCGTTTATGGCCTCCTTGATTGTCATACTCCTTTCTCTCCTTCAAAAATTTCTAGATTACACTTGCCCCGTGTCAGCGTCAGGCCATAAAGGCGCCCTACAATTGTAGGGACGACTGACGATACGGGCCTAAGCTTTTCAAATAGTAATGTATGACAAGTTTCCTTTTTTGAAATAACAATTAAAAACCCTATTCATCACCGCTAAAATCTAATATGGCGTCCATAAGAAAAAATAAAGTTGATGCTGGAGGACAACAGACGAAATGTCATATTGAAATTCTAATTATGCCATCTTGTAGAGGGGAAAATGTGGCAACGTTAATATGCAATTTATTTTAATATCCCACTACAAATAAAGTCAGGAAAACATTTTGGGTTTTTTCTGTTACGCTCCGGAAGGATGGATTTCGAAACGTTCTAAGTGACATTTTGTTAATTACTAAATACGCAACTTTGTCCCCATGTAAGCGACTTGGTTTCGCTTAGCCTTTCCGAGATCCCAATGGTGAGCCTCGAATTTAAAACACCCGGTATAACGGACTCTCAAGCACAAGTGTGAAACGGTCATTAAATTGAATTTGGTGCATTCTTTGATATGGATCAAAAATTGAATACGAGAAGTAACTAATTCAGACTTATTACCACATATTTTTAGAAGAGAGAGAGAAGTATCCAAAACCACTGTAAGCTGTGATAGTGAAATAATTACCTTTTGATTCTACTCATAGAATGGATATTATACCTTCGTAACTGAATTATCTGACTTATCGTTGCCACTTGGTAACTGAACGTTGGTTTTATCTTCTATCATGAATTCCTCAGGATTTTGTTGTAGAACTTTCGACACACATGTCATGCCTACATTTTATCCATGATTGCAATCACATTATCATCACTTCGAAAATACGAAAATAGAAATCAAATGGTTACCTCTGATTAGCTTTACGCGAATGCTATACGTTTAGTATTTGCTGAGACCTGTCATGAAATGTGGTATAGTATTGAACGTATAGCATGGACGTCGGTCTTTATTGATGTATAAGGCTATGTAAAAATCCACTAACTGACGATCTATCAATAAATGTTGATTATATGGACCACAGTGAGTACTGAACGTGTTTCATACGCCATAGGATCCCATATGAGTGATAGACCCAAACACTACAATGAAAAATGATTTTTTATGTATGAAATTTAAAAACTTTTAGCGATTTATCGGATGTAGCTGATCACGTAGAACAACATGGCGTCGAGGTCCTACGAGCTCGCGATGAATGGGGCTACACTCCAGCCCACTGGGCAGCATTGGACGGAAATGTCGAAATCATGCGCTTCATCATCGATCGTGGTGTGCCCATTGATTTACCCTGTCTCGGAACTCAAGGACCTAGACCCATACACTGGGCATGTAGGAAAGGTTGGTTTTTAAACTTGTCTAGGCCGTACCGTTGCCTAATACCTAATTCGATTTACGAATTCAAAACGCTTCCTGATCTACAGAAAGTAGGTTATACATACTGCTTTTTCAAAGCCATAACGTGGCGTATCAGCTTTATTTGATTGAGTTCTATGTTCTATTAAGGCCTCCCGGTATTTCTTATATAACTTTCTGCTGTTTATTTTTTGTTAAATCACATATTTTTTTGTTAATATGTTATTCAAATAGCGCACATAGTATTAGTGGGCATATTTTTGTAAAACTGATGGTTTGTTTTTGACTTTATTTCCACTAATTGAATGCCACTCTTTATCAGCAATCAGAAGCTACAGTCCTTCTCCTTATTTGCTATTATTTTGCAGGTCCCTCGTGATCTTTTGGAATGAAATAGTCACAATTATTACGAACGAACATTAAAAGCAGAATTTTCCAATTCAACAATGAATACTTACATAAACAAAAGGTTGAAAATCTGTTCTTCATGCATTTAATCAGCTATTCCCTCAACCGTAATGCAATTGTTATCGACTAAATGGATCATGTTATAATCATTTTTTTCTCTTATGGCACATAATTTTAAAATGTTATTTCAATCTTCTTCTTCTGGAGAATATATACGAATATGTAACAAAATATGTAACATTTCATTAAAACAAACGTCTAACCTTTTTTCAAACTAAATGTCCAACATTTTATTGTATATTCAGATGACCCATTTGTAATAAATTTATATTCTAAGGTTATGAAGTACTAGTAAGGTGTTTCAAAACTAGGTATCATACCATATAAAAAATATTCGCCCGTTATTTTTACGTCAAAATATAGTATTCAACATCAATTTCATCGCTCCACATCTAAGCTTGCTAACACGACCCAGTAGAAGGGAGTACGACTTTTTGAAAAGCACTATCTGACGTATCACAAATGACAAAAAATTATACAATGTGTTTGGTCACGGAATACCGATATTTAAGTGGGGTATTTTTCAGCTATTTTTATCGACAAGTCCACCCCCCTGCAAGTCCTACCTCATCCCTCTTGAAATGGCATTCATTTTTATTTTTACGTTACTATTACGCTAGTACATGTATGAAAATTTTAATAACTGAGTACATAAGTGTCACAGAACGATAAATTTGGTGTCAATTGAACAATAGCATGTTGTTCTAGCGATTGTTCAAAAACTCGTATTTATACTAACGGTCAAACATACTTAAAAACAGACAAAAACAGAAAAAAATATGCAAGAAAATTGATTATTTTGTGCATTTCCGCACACCATTAAAAAACTAGTCTGTGGAGTTGTACTTTTTTGTGCTAATTCTACAGCAAACTATGTTATCTACAAAATTTATTATCTTAAGTCTTCTACGTTTGTAGATAACATAGTTTGCTGTAGAATTAGCACAAAAAAAGTCCAACTTCACAAACTAGTTTTTGAATGGTGTGCGGAAATGCACAAAATAATCGATTTTCTTGCATATTTTTTTCTGTTTTTGTCTGTTTTTAAGTACGTTTGACCGTTAGTATCAATACAAGTTCTTCAAGAATCGCTAAAACAGCATGCTATTGTTCAATTGACACCAAATTTATCGTTCTGTGATACTTATGTACTCAGTTATTACAATTTTCATACATGTACTAGCGTAATCGTAACGTAAAAATATAAATGGATGCCATTTCAAGAGGGATGATGTAGGACATTGCAGGGGGGTGGATTTGTCGATAAGAATAGCTGAAAAATACCCACCTTAAATATCGGTATGTCGTGCGAACACATTATATAATTTTTTGTCATTTGTGATACGTCAGACAGTGCTTTGCAAAAAGTCGTACTCCCTTCTACTGGTTCGTGTTAGCAAGCTTAGATGTGGAGCGATGAAATTGATGTTGAATACTATATTTTGACGTAAAAATAACGGGTGAATATTTTTTATATGGTATGATACCTAGTTTTGAAACTCCTTACCAGTTTTTCAATAATCGCTAGAACAACATGTTATCGTTCAAATAACACCAAATTTATCATTATGTGACTCTTATGTTCTCAGTTAACGTAAAAATAAAAATGGCTGCCATTTCAAGGGGGGTGAGGTAGGATATTGTAGGGGGGTGGATTTGTCGATAAAAATAGCTGAAAAATACCCCCCAAATATCGGTATGTCGTGACCAAAGTTTATCTGGAACTAAAGTACACTACTGGACACATTACTGTTAAGGCATGAGTTGGGAGGCCATGACCTATCCTCAAAGGTTTTTTTGGACGAAACCGTTGTTGGGGTCCTGGAGATTCCTTCTTGTAAGTGAAGGGCATCAACTTCAGGAGTCGAAATTCGGAATCTTGTCGAACCAAGTTAGTGCTGATCAAGCTAACATCCTGTAATGATGAAATGAGGCTGAAACTTATTCATCATATGATCGATTAATGCATTAAAATTATAAAAAGATTTACAACACAAGTGCAGGGAAAATTACATTGACTAATAAGTACAGCAAAATAAAATCTATGTTACAAGAATTGTAGTGGTTGAATATAGAAAATTTCATATCATATATGGTTCTTATTTTTATATTTAAAATTCATCGTTTGCCACAACATTTAGAACACTACATACATTATACAAGAGGAAATATAGATTTTCATTTACAAAATTGCAATAGTAATATAACTAGCAAATCAATATTTCAGAAAGGATTACTTGAATTTAATAAACTAAATAATAATATAAAGTCTACTTAGAGATGTTTAAAAGAAAATTAAAGAAATATTTCATGGACAGTGAAAATTCTCAGAGATGCAAATTTAGTTTTTTCTAAATATCTGTATATTATGTAATTGTTTAGTCCTTCAGAAGAATGTAATTGTAGCAATCATGCTAAATAAATCTTAAACAAACAAAAAAAATTTCACTTTATCCGACAATAACAATGCTCAAAAAATGGAGCTAAATCTTATAATTGTACATATATAGCAAAGGAACTCAATGTATCAAGTCAGTCAAATAGGCTCATAAAATTAGTCTCCTGCCCCAAGCCATGACCTCTCTTTGAATCTGGCGGTCACGTAAATTTTGAATATTTATTGCCTTTTTGGAGGGGCTGGTACATAAATTATCATAATGTACAAAAAGTTTCCAATGTCAATGTCTATAATCGGCCCTTCTGAGAAAAGTTCCTGCGAGATTCTTTCAAAAAACATTCCTTTTTATTAATATCTCCGGGTAGTCATGGATACAGGGATAGGCAGAGAGTATTCTGTGATGAATCTAAGAGCATGCTCTATTTTTGTTTTCTTAACTGTTTGCCATTAAGGAAGCATAGAATGAACAATGATTTTCATGCACTTTAATATTTTGAATCTTTTTATAAGGTCACACGGCGTTAGTGCAAGTGCTACTTGGAGCTGGAGTAGCTGTTAACACAGCGGATTTCAAAGGACTAACGCCTTTGATGACAGCCTGCATGTTTGGAAGAACCGGGGCCGCAGCATTTTTGCTTGGAATGGGCGCCGCAAATGATCTGGCTGATGTAAATGGGGATACGGCACTGCACTGGGCGGCATACAAGGTATGTCCAGTACATCGCCGAAATAGCAATTTTACATATCATGCACAAGAAATACAAGGGTAATCAGAAAAGTATGGTTCCGTATTTTTTTAAATACAATTATTATACTAAATGACATAGAAAATGCAACACCGACTAGGAGTGCTGTAATTTTGAGCATACTTTCACAAGTTCTAGGTATAGTGATAAAAAGAAAGTGATTAAAATTTCAGCTTAAAATTTCAATAAATAATTCTGGGTGTTGCATTTTTTGTCACTTAGCTATATAAGGCTTAAGTATTCGTCTATATTTTTACATAATCGATATTCTTGTCGATGCACGCCCACGTCATACCAGCTCACCTCTAGGACCTTAAGGAAGCGTGTAAGATCATCTTTCATCTGGTCATCAAAACTGAATTACTTTGTTAAATGTTCTTACAACTTAGGGATCCAGGGGTGTCGTAACAACAAGTGCATCTGCATTTTGCCTCGGTTTTCGGCCATAACTTTTTCACTATTAGTGGTATCTTTTTACGTGTGGTCTCATTCTATAGGTCACATGAATACCTAAAAATCTCATTTCTTCTTCTTAGTTTTTTCGTTCCTGCCAACATTTTCGATTGAATCCCAAAAAAAACGTTTTCTCATTCTTTGTTGTCGAATAAAAAGTTTTCTCACAAAAATTGGTGTACCCATTTCCAGGGGTATTTTTGTCTAATATGATTAGACTATAAAGGAAGTTCTTTGTCATTTCGACTTGTTACATTAGTGAAACTTGGCGAAGTAATTGGACTTGAAACTTGAAATACAGCATCACCACCACAAATCACATCGTAAATTATTTTATGATCATAATCTTACAGAAAGCCAACTCGAATTCAGTCAAGAATTTTATGGTTCTTTACCTGATAGATAAACCTTGACATTGATTTAAAAGCGGGGCATTCTTCTTCTATGTGAATGATATGGATATATTCTCACATTTCCTGAATATACCTTGAGATGGTACCTAATTGCACCGAACCCCAAGATTGTCTTGCTTTTAAATTTGGTGTTCGACTGTAAGGAATAGACATAAATACAGTTAAATACATTTTTGATTTACAGGGTCATGCTGACCTAATCCGACTATTGTTGTACAGCGGTGCTAATCTCCAACGGCCTGACCATTTCGGTTCTACGCCTCTACATTTAGCCTGCTTATCGGGAAACTTGGCATGCGTCAAGTTGCTATGCGAAAAGGTATGCCGATTTGATCTAGCTACTTATCGAGAATGGTTACTTTTTACTTTCTAGATATTAGACACATACCCAACAATAATAAGGGATTCTTTAAACAGGAACAATTATATTAAAAAATGTTGGCACTACCAATGTACACAAATACACAATGGAAATATGTTATAGAAATTAAATAATCAAACCTCATTCCCTCATTTCTTCTCAAGTTTCAGATCATTTATATACCTCCAGATTATTTTACAGGGTAAGCAATTCTAAAATTTCACTTTTAAATATTTTGGTCATACCTATTTAACACAATGTTCGGGTTTTCATAATTTCAGGTATCATCAGGTAAAACAATGAATACAGTTCGCCCAGGATATTTGTGTTGATGCAAAAAATTCGGGTTGTTATTTGGTTGTTGCCACGTCTAATCTTCTGATTTTCTCTTTCTGTCGGTAGTTTCCGTTTTAAATTATGAACGAATTGTAGATTTGGCAAACCCTAACGGGCAACATTTTGAACACTCATTGAAATAAAAAGTAATATTTTGGTGTGTTTTTGTTTTCTATCGGAACAAATTAAAATAAAGATTTTTCTAATTTTCTTGAAAACCAATCGACCGGTTTTAAAAAAACAAACGTCAAAATAAAGGACTTCGAAAGACCTTTCAAACAAGCTATTACTCGGTACCCCTTGTAATTTAAAATTTCCAAGGGGAAGACCCTGAGGCCAGAGGGTAAAAGGAGGTGAAGTAGTTTTTGGTTAAAAAGTTGTCCCCCTTGACAAATCTTTTGACGTGTCTCGGCGTTTTTTTCTTTTTATCAGTGGTTTTCGATAAATCCGTGGTGGGGTGTTTTCAAATGAATGTATGTGCTTTTTATTGATTTTTTTTGGCATTTCTTTTAATACAATTCATAAATCTATTTTCTACAGATCTTTATCATTAGATTACTAACGAGGTTTGTACTAGTTCATTAAGATGAAATAAAAATGGGTCGACACATCCTAATTTCCACTTTGAGGAAAAATAGAACGTTTTCAATGTTTACAGAGTAATATTGACCTCGACCCACTGGACAAGAATGATAAGACACCGCTGATGCTTGCTCAAAGCCACAGACATAACGACATTGTAGAATTGCTACAAACAGAGAAGAAACGTCGATCCAGCTGGTTTCCACCCCTAACCGAAGTATGGGGCTTGCTGTTCGGAAAGGCTGGAAACTCAAAGGCTCCTCTAATATTTTTCATGAGCTCTGTCTTGTTATGGGGCTATCCTATGTATATAGTCAGGGTAGGTTAAAAATGGAACCACTTGTAGCTTGTAGCAACGCAACTGCAAGATCAAAATAAATAAAATGCATTATAATACTTGCTTGTGAACATAGTTAGAATTTTCACCGGAATTTTGATTTTTGGCAGTTTTTCACCATACCTACTTCATTTCAAATGTATATTTTTGATAAAATCTGAAGACTCTGTAGTTCAGAATGCAAGGGCATTTTCAGAATTGCAGTATATATTTGCCCAAAATCAGTAGTTATCGATTCGTTGTTCAAATTAAATGGCACGTTAAAAAAAAATTTAATTTTTATGTAAACAAACTTTTGTAGCAAGGCTTTCTCACTTTATTTTGCGTGTTTTCGTTAAATGTTAAGACACTGAAGGTTAGACTTCAGGTGAAAGAACATTCTTAAAACACGTGCTTATTGTTCGTTAAAATAAACCGGGCTTTCACCAAAATCCTAACTATTGGTAGAGTAGCTAAACAATTTTTTATTTAAAAGTCATAGTTTATATTTTGGAGACTTTTAAACAAAGCCTCGGCGAGGACCTTCGTTTATTTGAATTTGTATTATTTTCCAGTGTATTCCTATAACGTGGAATATTCTAAGAGGATCCCACTATTGTTTTATATACTGGAATATTGTAATGTGGGTTTGTTGGGTCGTAGCAAATAGGAAGAATCCAGGGTATATTCCTATGAATACTGAGTCATACCATAGGTCTATTAAACAAATTCCAATGTTTGATAAGTGGAAAAAGAGAAATTACATACTCAATCGCTTATGTCACACTTGTAGGTAAGTAATCGATATGTATCCCTTTGAAAATAGTCTGATTAAGATTCCTTGTAAAAGATAAGGTCCCATAAGCAGGGTTTTCGGCCTTGTGAATAACTAATTCAAGTTGATTACATCTATGAAATGTTTGCATTTAAATATCTTAAAGCATATGTATTTCAAACTATCGCTAACATTTTTCATTTTATTTTAGTTTTTGATTGTTTTCTAAAAGCCCAAAGTTTGCTATTTTGGCATTTTGTCCAAAATTTACCGCGCGAAAAATTTTGAAAATGAGATATGTTTTTTGGATGTTATGTGACATGAATATGACGAAAAACCATGTCACTCATTTTCGTCGTTCTGTCTGTCTGTCGTTCTGTCTGTCTGTCGATCTGTGTGTCTGTCCGCTATTCCTTAGCCCATCTATCTTGCAAAGTGGCGCTCGGATATGGATGGAATTCATAAATAAGATTACTACTATGTCAACGACGAAAAAGCTGTGTAGTTTTTGAGAATCGGTCCAGTGGCGGCGGAGAAAAATACCAAAAACGAAAAAATAAAAATCGTTCAAACTTCGATTTTTGACTTTTCAGAGGCGCTTGATCATCTTCGGAAAATTTTTATAAGGGTTAAATATTGGGGGTTAGCATTTGCAGGGGGTGGTATATCTCATTTCTTTAAGGGGGGAATATGCATACGTCATCAACTCCAGTAGTTCGTTGCACTTATTAGACATACTTCACTTATAATAGATGCTCCGTATAATTTACCCTTCTTCAATTGATTATGTCCCCGCTTTTCCAGGTTGAATCGCCGATACGTCCTCTCCTCACCGAGACAGACATCTTCCTAGTCATAAATCCTAAACCCCCACCCCCTAAAAAACTTCAAATTCACTAGATGGATCCTTCCCCAACAAATTTTGTAGATCCGCCCATGTTAGTCATAGCGACGATGATGTGCGCCCGCAGGAATTTTTCTCATCGGGAAGGGGGTCATTTAAATTCTCGTTATACAGTTTCGTTACTAACTTTTTTCTCATACGGCTGATGACAGCATTGGGGGGGAAGTTCAGAGTCAACTTACTTGACTCCATTTTTTATGGTGAGCGCAGTGGAGCAATATTTCTATTTATATATACTATGTTCTGCCTTGCTTTACTTTATTATAGATTTGAAGCAGAAGGTGTTGCCGACCATGCTCTTATATTAAAATATTTGTACTAAGAAGTCGAAAATGGGTGATATACAGAATATATACGGTTTAAAATACATACGAGGTCGGTTGTTTAAGTGATGAGACTGGCAACGTAGCGTTCGATCTGGCAACACCAAAGCCGCCGGGCTTGGAGGGGAGATAGGGGAACATGTGATCCGCCTTCAGTACAAGTTTGACGTCGTTTGAGCCATTTGGTTGTCCGTAGCTATTTTTTTTTGAGAAACAGTTTTTTCTATTGTGTTCTTAAAATGAGTGACATCAATTTCGATCAACGGTGTGCTATCAAGTTTTGCTTCAGACTCGGGCACAGTGCAACGGAAATTTATGCTAAACTTAGTTTTGGAAAGAGCCCAGGTTTTTCGGTGGGTTAAGGCATTTTCAGAAGAGAGAGATTCGATTGAAGATGAACCACAAACCCGAATTAGGGATTTTGTGCGTCATTTGACATTATCATTAGGTAAGAGTTACATCTGACTCGCACTACTGTTCATCAGATCAAGAACTGGGTGTTGCATTACGAAAATGCTCATTGTCACACAGCAATGTCAATAAACGAGTGTTTGGCCAGTAAAAATATTCATGTGGCCCCTCAGCGTCCTTATTTGCCCGACTTGAATCCTTGTGACTTTTTGTCTTCCTGAAGTTGAAATCGCCCCAAGAGGTCAGTCGAAAATATTCAAACGGCTGTAACCGACCATCTGAAGGGTATTCCAGTATCAGAGTTCATTCACTGCTAAGAGGAGTTGAAGAAACGTCTCCAGCGCTAGAAATTTGAATTATTCCCAGGACCGAAAACCACGCTTATAGACCCTGATCTTTTCTCAGTCAACTTTAGATAAATGATTGCTCGCATTTTGTTGTTCTCGAAAGAATTGATTAGCATTATCAAACATAGACAGTCAAGTTACTTGAGACATGATTCGGATTAGAGATAACAGAGTTCCGGCAAGAATATATACCGGAATACTGCATACTATCCCGTCGAAGTTTAAACAGTTGTTCTTGGAAATTTTCTTTACCCTTAATACATTTTCTAATTGCTCTAAGTTGCTAAATTATTCGGTTTAATTAAACTGAATTTTCTGGAACCAGTTTAATTGAAGGTAATTACTAATAAACCAATTTGCTTGGAAATAGCAAGCCATGTACCTGTTTTATTAAACTGTTTAGTTAGTTTAGGTAATTTAGTTTATGTAGAAAAGGTGCATTTAAAACAATCACACATTTGAATAAAGGCAGTTATTTGAATCGCGGCTCGGCAGGACTCGGCTCTTAATTCGTGAATGATCGGGAGCTATAATATACAACATTCAGTAAAATGCAATATGTTTTTTGAATTCCAAACATTATCCAAATGCCCTTTTATACCCTTTTAAATCTAACTGATTAAAACTAGGCGAACACTTTTACAAATTTAATATATATACAGGGTGACTTCGAAGTTGAGTCATTTATTTTAACAGTGTGTAGATCTGATCAAAAGAAATGTTTTTTTCCTTTACCATTTTTCTGGTAAAATTAAAGTAACAAAGTTATAGCCCTTTGGAAGTTTGAGTACCGCCCTGTCTCAATAATATCATGTGTTCGTGTTTGGCAACAACGGTTCATCGCATCGGAAACAAAAAAGCGAAAGAATTTGGAACGATGTTTTTACGATTACAATTCAGTTCAGTTATACATACAGTCAGTTTCAGTCGCGTGTGAATACTGTCTGTTGCGTGGCTCAAACGAAATAAAAAATGGCACATGTTTATGCGGATCGGTTTCCCAATCGAGTGCAACCAACCCCTCGTGCCTTTGTTAATGTAGTACAACGGGCTCGTGAATCAGGTGACTTAAGACCTCACAGGGGACCTCACGATCAAATACAGGTCCGCACTGACATACTTGTCGGGAGGATACTTTATAAAACAAGGTAAATTTTTTTTTTAATTTTTTTTTTATTTTTACACACATATTTTGGTTTATCTTCCTTCTACAATCATTATCTGAAAATTAATGACTCAACTTCAAAGTCACCCTGTATATATATATATAAATTGTCTCAATTGGAGCAGCTAAACTTTTAATAGTTCATTGATTTTAAATAAATTATTTATTTATTTATTTATTTATTTCCAACAGGTGAAACCCAACAATTACAGGAAATGCTGAAAAAAATAACAATTAAAGAGACGTGGTTCTTGGACTTAAATCTATAGTATCACACATTCTAAATAAGATTGGATGATCTATAGCAGTTAATAATCGATGCACAACTGTCACTGTAAATATCACACGATTCAGTAACACTGTTCATTTTGTCATAACAATTGTACGGCCAGCTTGACAATAGAATACCGTTTGCTGTCGACTCCCTAGCCTTGGAATGCGGAAACAAATTTTGACAGTCAATTTTATTGTGAATGGGGCCATACAAAAACGACAAGGCAAATATGTTTCGTCTTGTTGACAGTGAATCCAAATTGAAAAACTCTAATAGGGCACTATGGTCACAACCTCTTTCTGGATAAGAACCTGTGCATTTAAGGTGAAAATACTTTAAAGCTTTACGTTGAATGGCCTCAAGGATCACGACAGAATTTTGGTATATAGGAGACCAGATCAGAGTCGCATACTCCAACTTGCTCCTGACAAAAGTAAAAAATAAAGTCATTAATGTATCAACATTGGAGAAACCCTTCCAGTTTCTGATACAGAAACCAAGTAGTCGAGTGGCAGCCGACGAGATATTGAGTATATGCTCAGTAAACGTTAGTTTGGTATCAAAAATGACTCCAAGGTCTCTATAAGAGGTACATCTGTCTATAACCTGACCATTGATGTTATAATTATCATAAATTAAATAGTTAACCTTTCTTGTATAAGTCATAACTTTACATTTCGAAACATTCAGACTGAGACAGTTTCGTGAACACCATGACGAAATTAGGGCTAAGTCATCTTGCAACATGACGCAATCCTCGACTGTCTTGACTGACGTGCAGATTTTAAGGTCATCAGCGAAAAACAAATGGAAACACTTCAGTTCAAAAGACAAGTTATTAATAAATATCAAAAACAATAATGGACCTAGATTTGACCCTTGAGGTACCCCGGACGTGGCCCGATAGTAACTCGACCTATGACCACCATATTCGACAAATAACCTTCTATCCCTCAAATATGAATTCATGAGCGACAGGATTGCATCAGACATACCCACTGTTTTGAGCTTATCCAGAAGTGCATAATGATCAACTTGATCAAACGCCTTCTGAATATCTGTGTAGATGACATCAACTTATCCCTGACCGTCCAGTACTTCAGAAATGTACTGAGTAATCAGAGCCAAGTTGGTGACCGTAGATCTGCCTCTCATAAAGCCATGCTGATCAATAGAGACTGCACCCCTGACCGAGCAATAAACCGTTTCATAAGCGATGATCTCAAACAACTTGCTGAAATTGCACAGGATTGCTATTTGGCGATAGTTGGAAATATCAGAGATATCTCCACTTTTGTGAATAGGACATATTTTAGAGGTCTTTAAGATATTTGTATATGTCTCTGATTTTAGAATTAGGTTGAATATGGAAGCCAGAGGTTTCGCTAGTATATGAATGCAATCTTTAACGAAAAAACTTGGAATACCATCACATCCAGACGTCATTTTGTTCTTTAATCTTTTCGAAGCCCTAATTACGTTTTCTTCACGTATATTTTTTAAAGAAATGATATCGGTAGAATTATTTGTTGAAGGAGATGACCCTAGTAGACCAGACGGGATAAAAAATGTTGAAAAGAAGGTAGCAAAACTTTCCACTATATCCTGAGGCGTATCGCAGACATTGCCGTTAAGCGTCATCCTTTAGGGGATTCTAGATTGCTGTTTTTTGATCTGGGCAAATGACCAGAATTTGCTAGGATCATTGACAATGGCATCCTCAACCGATTGGACGTAAGCGGAGTAGGCAACACTGATCTGGTTCTTAATGAGCTTCCTAAAATTACTGAACTGATCATAAGAAAACTTAGTACCGTCACGTTTCCAGTTCCTTCTTGCTATGTCCTTCTTCTTGATATTAAGTATAATTTCACGTGTGAACCATGTGGGATACGAAAACATTTTATTTTTACATTTAGGGACATGGACCTCAAAGATGATAATATGATAACTGAATACAAGGCGGTACAAGCGACATCAACATTAACTGCACTGATGACCTCCGTCCAATTAACATCTTGCAAGGCTGTGTATATTTCAGGAAAGTTAGCTTTGCGAAAGTTAAACCGTGGAGAATTAGCAAATGGGAATTTCGTTGAAGATCCGGATGTAATGAATTCCATGATCAGTGCAGGATGATGAACGTCCTCTTTAACAGAAGGTGTATTATCTCTGAGGACTTCTATTTCGATATTTCCTAAGATTAAATCCAGTATTCGACCATTTATATTTGGAATATTATTAAAATTAGTTAAAACAAAATAAAGTTGCTCATTAATTGAGACTTCTGATCATTCACGTCAATGTTGAATGATGCGACATTAAAGTCACCAGCAACAATTATTTTACAATTACTGAATGCATTGTTAAATACTTCCAAAGCTTCAAGGTACTGACCAAACATGTCCAAATTAATTGAAGGCGGAATATAAATAGAAAAGATAACAAAATGCTCATGGTTAATAATAAGCCTAATACATACAGTGTCAATCGACGGAAAGTTCCGACTCAAAGCACTAGCGTCAATTCTAATTGCATGGAAATTAGTGTAATCAATCTAAGAAACGGTTTAATAAATTTAATTAAACGATTTCCTTTTGGTTTAATAAAACTATATTCATTGATTCGAGTAAAATGGTTCAGAAATCGGAGTTTAATTAAACTAATCAAACTTGTTAGCGGGTTTGGTCGAATTAAAATTTTGATTGGTTTATTTAATTTTCTTTTCTCAGTGTACAGATTTTTGGAACCCGTTACTTTTCAGATGCCTTAGGCCGCTCAGAGCAAAACATTGTAGAATATGCAAACGTTGCGTCTCATACTTCGACCATCACTGTCCCTTCATATACAATTGCGTAGGACTGAGGAACCGAACTTGGTTTTTCCTTTTTGTGATGAGCATTGCTGTGAACTGTTCCTTCACTATCTATTTTGCCATGTACTGCATTGCCATCGAAGGTTTTGGCATTCTATACGTCCTTGGTCTTTTAGAGGCCTTCGTCTTCTCGGGGCTAGGGTGGATACTCACATGCACCTCGGTAAGCTAGCATTTTGTACACATTTTATACACAATTTTACTTAAGCGAGGGAAATATGCGAAAGTTATTAAATGTCAAATAACCAACATCTCGGAAAGAGCAATCTTAATTTTGGCTTGTTTGGTGGACCTCACAAATTTTTGGACGGAAATTTATAACGAAACATTAATATTATCAAAGTTTGCCGTTAAATTCAGATTTCGTTCTTGAGCTGTGGGCACAGAAGTCGATATCAAGCCGGAAACGGATATTCCATGTCATAATAGTTATCAGAAAAATATAAAAAAACTAAGTCGTGTACTTCGCAAAGTGTAGGCTTTAAAACGAAATCGTAAAAATCTACACCCTGTGATGACCTGTTAGTTCCTATAACTACAATTTTTTCTTAGACGTGTCATTCTAAATAGTGACAGCAAAACAGTTAGTAACGCCACTTTTATTAATTCGTGAATGTATTTATTAAATTCACAATAAATGTTTAAACTTCCTTCCTTCAGCAGCAAAGCAAGCTTGACATCTTAAAAATCGGGTTATCAGACGGGCGAATCTTCCGTTGTTTACAAATTCAGCTGCTTCCGTTGTTCTGTCCCGTAGCTAGCTAAATTTTCGATTGGCTTTGAGTAAACTTACCTCCCCTTATATTGATGCTTAGTGGCACGTCTTCCAATAAATTTGCTAAATGATTTTGTAAAAATTCTAAATAAATTTCGCCATTCAAGGACTCTGGCAGCTCAAATAGTACAATGATTCTCCTATTTAAAATGTTTACAACGATACTATGATTTATCTTGTCTCATCAACCATGTATGCGTAACCATCTTTTTTAAATGTTAACTCATATAAAATTTGCTCTACAAATTGCGTATCTTCCCGGTGTCTCTGTAACATTGTTTAGCAAAACTCAACTTTTGGAAGATAATCCCGGGTCGCAGAGATTGTATTCATTGTTCATGGTATGGGTGGAGCTCGTCCTCTCGAAAGATTCGGTGGCTGTACTTTTGGGCACTCCCGTGCTTGCTTCTATTTGACGTACTGAATTACTCGGGCGACTGCCTGTAGTACGACGTCCTCGTAAGGATAGGAAATTCTTCCGTCACCTTGATTTGATAATCGTCCCTGAGAGTAACCGGTGCACAATCATGAATTAATATAGGCATTACTATCTCTCTTGCTGCCACTACGTAGAATGGCACTGTCTGTCATTTCGTCTGAGAAAAAATTGAAATTTGAAGTAATGGGAGCTAAAAGATCATCACACTGTGTAGAGTTTCCGATTCTTTTAAAAGCCTCTACCGTGTTTTTCAAGAATTTTTTTGAACGAGTCAAGTTAGTAAGGTAAAATGCAGAGTGGTGAAACTGAAGTATGGATACTTTATTCTAACATGAAAATAACAGTTGAAAATTTGTAACATTTTTTAAAATGTAATGAAGGGTCATTGATACCTTACTTTAAAGCACGTTATGAATACTTTATAATCCTAGAATATAAAATCACTGTCATACAAGATAGCAGACTTCCAGACTGTCAAAGTTGAGCGTTTTTGTTCATTGAATCGAATATAACTTAACAACTAACCATCAAAACGCTATGGTAAGATATATGAATCTTCTAATTTGGAATGGTCTATCTGATTGTCCAAGAAAATATAAGACATTCAGATTACGAAAAAAGACAGATTTTTAACTCAACAATGTACAAAAACGCGTAACCTGGAAACGATTTTTCGGAGAGAAAAATGGACGCATGCGGCAGTCCATTTATGCTTATGGAAAATATTGATCTTGAATCACTATCAAGTCGAGAACAAAATATAAACAAAATTTAAAATTTTAGGAAAATTAAATCATCATAAAAATTCATACATTTGGAGCAATGACGCCCACCAGACAGACCAAAAAGGGCGTGGTTTTACGGTCTCTCTTTATATATTTTGATGAAATTTGATTAGCGATATTTTGTGAGTTCCTAAGAATATACTGCAGCTACTTGTAACATGGAACAAAGTCAGGGGAGTTATGCGCCTGAACCAAAAAGGCGTCGCCAAACTTCTATTTTGCTTGCTTTTCGACTAATCTTTTTTAGTCGGAGCCATAAAAGTTATTTGTAGGGATCACTAACTATAAAATATCAAGCTTTATTTTCAAAAATGCATCTTCCAGATCGTTATATAGATTTTTAGAATTTTTATTTATGTTTGGGCATATTCAAAAACACTTTCTTGGGGGGGTCAAAACTTATTTTAACAAATCCGAAATTGTGTTTTTCTAATTCCCAGCATAATCAAATTAAATTCGGTGAGCTCGAAAGTTGAAATCAGCCTCATATTTCACTTGCCACTATCTACTATACGTGTAGCAAGACGTAGACATTTTTATCTCAATATGTGGGAAGTACTGAGTCAATCTACTTTATTCGGTATCTAAGAGCCGTATTGCCAGTCGTTCCTACAATTGTAGGACGTCTTTATGTGCTCCTTGATTTTCATGTCTTTCAGAAAGGCATGGGCATTTATAGATTTCTACTGTTTAATTGTTTACACTCTGTTTTAAGGTTATATTTTCTTTTTGAAATCTAAGAATGTTATGAAAATTAGGAGAGTGCTGACACGCAACAGTATAAATATGGAAATACCCCAGCCTTTCTGAAGGAGAAAAAAGACAATAATGGTAGGAATGACGATACGATCCTAATAGAACATTTTGGGCAAAATTGAAAAATCAAATAGCTGTTTTGCTTACAGATTCTCCATGCATGTATGAATCTGACCACCAACGAAATGTTCAACTACAAGCGATATCCATATCTTCGAGATAAGAGAGGAAAATACGCGAATCCTTTCTCGAGAGGGCCTGTATTGAACTTGATTGAATTCTTCTTCTGCAGTCCTGAAGATTACGACGACGACTTTACCTATGACATATGATGCCAAAAGATAACAAGCATCGACACAAGGATTCAAAAATAGCTTTTAGCTTCGTGTTTGTTATGGAAAACTGCATATGGTGCAATAAATGTCTGTTATGCATTTTGTTTATTGACTGCCGTTTGTCAAACCCTAGAAATGTTTAGTTTGAACACGAAATAATTGTACCGCATCAAACTAGGATCATATCTTGCACGTCACATAGCAACAGATCAACCACTATCTATACTAATCATATATAGGATGCGTATGAGCCCCATATAGTAAGCGTTCCGTTCCAACCTGATGACATTCGCAGGGCAACGAATCTTGTTCATGAAGTAAGAAATACTCTTCACGATTTCAGCAATGAGCAATGGGATTACCTCCTGGCGGGGATGCTTAACTCAAGTATTCCTTTCTGGAGAGAGGCAGTGTCGCTGAGAAACAGAAAGCGAGAACAACTTCCGCACATCCACGGTCCTGGCGCATAGTCTTCAGGGCAGAGATTTCCGCTGACGTTATGGAAAGACAGTTCTCTCACATCTATGATCTTGATAATGGTCTCGATGAGGAGCAACACATCGTAAGATTCATCAGGAGATACTTCAGAGCCAACGGCGTCAGTAATCGCTGCCCCACCATTAGTAATTCTCTCTTAGAGGATTCTTCTTCGGAAGAGTCTTCAACTGAAGAGTTCTGATCGGCGTGGGAGGATTATCTTTCCATTAGCTTGCTGACTGCTCCGTCTAATCTCGCTGAAATGGCGATTCTACGTCACCTCAAAAATTCCTCATCAGTTCACCATGTTCACTCATGACGTCCCTTGCCCCAGTGTCTGTGAACCCAATCTATATGCTGATGACACAAGACTGGTAGGCCAATCGGGCCGGGAATCTAGTTCACGACGGATTGGTGGCTGATCAAAAGTAATTGTTCGAAAACGCAGGCTATTTGTGGTACGAGTACTAGAAAACGTATCGGCAGTATGGGCAGTCCGTCTGAGGCTTCAGTGAACGGAGTTCGTGTACCATGGAAAAATTCTGTCAAGTATCTTGGTGTTACTGTTGACAAGGGGATGACTTGGCAGAAGCACAATGAAGTATTAAAAACCAAATTCAAAAGTATGTTTCGGTAACTCTACCTATGCTATGTAGAAACTCAAAATTAAGTTTGATTAACAAAGTTCGATTATACATGATGGTTATTAGACCAGCAATCAGTTACGCATATGAAGCATGGTGTTTTCTTACCAAAACGCATATGCGTAGCCTGCAGGTTCTGCAGAACAGAACAAACTACATCAAACAACACGCGCAGTTACGTTATAGTCAAGCGCAATCGCACAGCCACCTTCTGTTGAATGAGCCAGTAGACTACACAGTCGAGCAAAGTTCGCGATTGTGAACAAAAGTAAATCGTATAACTCTAGGTCCAACCAAAATTACCATCTTTTCACACATACATATTTCTAAATTAATTTTCGGATCAATCTAAAACTTTGAATACTAGCTAACAATGTAAATGCACCCTTTCAACTGACGAACTTCCTTCTCTTTGCTCTTTCCCTTTCTTCTTCCGTTCTCTCTCCCTGACTTAGTCCAGTATGTGGGTAACCAGACCTGATAGACCTACTGACCTATAATGCAATACTTTAACCAAGAGCAAAGGTTCCGTAGGCCGCTTTGACGGACAATGACGAATAGAAGAAGAAGCATTCTGTTTCAGGATTTCTGTTAACATACAGGTATACATAAGTCGAAATGCCTAATTTTTATGTTACAATTAGTAAACAATAATTGTAATTATATTTTTGGATAAAAATGTCCCTCAAAAAACTTGATCATTCATTCTCCTCCGAGGTCTGAAGGACGGTGTTAGCCGAAAGCGTAAATACCCTATTTCACGAGTATCCATCACGGTAGAATGACAGCTGATTATCTAGTAATGTCTCAAAATTCCCCAAATCAGCACAGGACTTATAATTCGGACGGATCCATCAACGCCAGGTAGACAGAGCCGAATTTTGTTTTGGTTTTTTGTACACTACAGATTCATTTTGTTTCTGCTAACTGCTATTTTATTGAGAATAAGTTCGTTTGCATACAAGAGACAAAACACCACAATCAAGTTTTACTAGAGTTAACCCGATCCATTATTGCCAACGTTGCAGACTAACACAAAAATGTCATTTGCTGATCAGCTGTTCACCTCAGTAGACGTCAAAGCGTGATGGATACTCGTGAAATAGGGTATACTTCTCGTTGTGCCGACATCATCATGTGCAGAGCGTTAAGTCATCAGCAAAATTACTCTGTGTTCATGGCATCATCCTAGTATGAAACGCTATAATGTGCAGACCAAATTATCCAGATTCAATGAGGAAGTTTCCTATTATTCGGAACACAAATAGTCTAAAGTGTAGCGCAGCAGAAATCTTAAAAAATGACAAAGTTACGCTACCCAAAAGTTTCTTATTTGGACAATATTATCTTGTTGGACCGTGACACTGTGTGATGGCGTCACATGAAACCAGCTACCATCGATACGAGGGATGTTTTTTAAGTTTTATATATACAGGGTGACTTCGAAGTTGAGTCATTTATTTTAACAGTGAGTAGATCTGACCAAAAGAAATGTTTTTTCCTTTAACATTTTTCTGGTAAAATTAAAGTAACAAAGTTATAGCCCTTTAGATGTTTGAGTACCGCCCTGTCTCAATAATAATATTACGTGCTCGTGTTTGGCAACAACGGATATAATCCGCCTTACCGGTTCATCGCATCGGAAACAAAAAAGCGAAAGAATTTGAAACGGTTATCACGATGTTTTTAGTTGTATTCAGTCAATGTGTCAGTCGGTAACGCGTGAATGAATAGTGGTGTTTGTTGCGTAGCTCAAACGAAATAAAAAATGGCACATGTTTACGAAAATGGAGAACTTGTGGACATGATTCTTATTTACGGGGGGGAGTCTTTACAAAATGCAGCCGCGGCATAACGGATTTATGCGGATCGGTTTCCCAATCGAGTGCAACCAACCCCTCGTGCTTTTGTTAATGTAGTACAAAGGGCTCGTGAATCAGGTGACTTAAGACTTCACAGGGGAGGGCATGCCGGTGCTCCAAGACCGCACGATTAAATACAGGTCCGCACTGAAATACTTGTCGGGAGGATACTTTATAAAACAAGGTAACATTTTTTTTAATTTTTTTTTATTTTTACACACATATTTTGGTTTATCTTCCTTCTACAATCATTATCTGAAAATTAATGACTCAACTTCAAAGTCACCCTGTAGAAACATAGTAGGCCGCGTGGATCGAACGTCAGTACTGAATCTTAACCTCACTCTTTAGTAAACTTGAATTCATAGTTTCACAACAATACGTGCAGTGTTCTCACTACAGTGAATTTTTAAGTCTCACCAAGTCATTAGAAAAATGGAACTCAACCGAGAACATTTTCGCGCCATAATTTATTACAACTTTCATAGACAATTATCGCAACAAGAATGCCTTGCAGAGTTACTGTCTGTTTTCGGCAACGAAGCGCCACATTAGTCGACAATTTCCCGTTGGTATGGAGAATTCAAACGTGGACGGGTGAGTCTTAGCGACGATCCCAGGGTGGGTGCACCAAAAACGGTAGTCACCCAGGAAAACGTCGATGCTGTGCGCAAACTCATCATTGAAGACAGACATGTGACATATCGCGAGATTGAGGCGTCCTTGAAGATCTCAAAGACCTCAATTCAAAAAATTTTACATGAAGAATTAGGAATAAGAAAATTAGTTTCTCGTTGGATACCCCACCTGTTGACTGAAGAGCAGAAAGCAGCCAGGGTTATTTGGTGTCAAAAAATGCTTGACCGTTTCAATTCCGGAAACTCAAAAAATGTGTACAGCATTGTTAGTGGTGATGTATGTGGATTTACTGTTATGAACCAGAAAATAAACGACAGTCGGCTGTTTGGGTGTTCCGAGGTGAAGAAAAGCCAACAAAAGTAATCCGTTCTCGAAGTGTTTCAAAAAAGATGGCCGCGACATTTGTGTCAAAAGCGGGTCATATTGCAACAATTCCTCTTAATGAGCAAAGAACTGTTACTGCGGATTGGCATACCACCATTTGTTTGCCAAAAGTCATCACCGAGCTTCGAAAAATCAACCTAGAAAGAAGAATCATCCTCCACCAAGACAATGCAAGCTCGCACACAGCCCCAAAAACAAGGCAGTATTTAACGGAAGAAAACGTGGAATTATTGGACCATCCTCTATATAGTCCCGATCAAAGTCCTAACGATTTCTTTACTTTCCCGAAAATTAAAAACAGACTGCGTGGTTAAAGGTTCCAGTCACCAGAAGAAGCAGTTGACGCATTCAAAAATGCCGTTTTGGATCCGCCAGCAAACGAGTGGAATAAGTGCTTCGAAAATTGGTTCGAGCGCATGCAGATGTGTATTAATCTTCGTGGAGAAGGCACTAAGGACCAAAAATTGTTGCTGAGTGCCTCCGACGCAACATATGCGTCATTGTGTTCTTTGTGAAAAATTAGCCAATTTTAGCGAAAAAAATACTCTATATTGAACTTAGTGACAATTTGAAGCAGGTAAACTGAAATTTGATGGTTGGTACTGGTAGAAAAACACCTCAACTTGATGGGCATCCAACGTGTTAATGTAAACCCCTATTTTTGATGCCGGCAATCGAAAAAGTGAGACATTTTACATTCGAATATGTACTAAAATTCAAGATCAAGATGAGCGCTAGAGGTCAAATCAAGGTCAAATATGTGCTGAGATCGTGACGAAAATAGCTCGTAAGCTCAGGTCTTTAGTAACTTTTCCGGAGTAACGGTGGTCTTCTATTTGACCTTGAACCTTACCTTCAAGGTCATTTCAAGATTAACTTCCAAATATAAACGCCTATTTGATGCCGATAAATCAAAGAGCCTGGAATTTTATGTTCACATTCAAGGTGACCACTATAGAGCACATAAAGGTCAACTAGGAAAACTTCCAGGAATCTCACACGAATAGTGAAGAAAATACCTGACAAGGCCAGATCGTATAATTTTTTAATATTGATCGCAAAGTGCAAAAAAAATCTTATGATATGGTAAAAACCACACCACAAATCAATATCAAGTACCCCAAAACGTTAGGGGCAAAGGGACTTACGCAAATCAACCAACCCAAAATGTGAGAGTCAAAAAAAACACGTAAATCACGCACCACAAACCGTGAGATGCAAAGGGACGCACGCTAACCACCCACCCCAAAGGGAACATTATAAATATATTTACTAGGTACTGCCGCGCTGTTGTTCCTGGGTAAAGCTAAAATAAAATAACAAAACATCACAAAATCGACTTATCTGATAATCAGTTGGCCTCATCAGAGACACATTGTAGATAACCTGATCCCAGACTTGTCATCAGCGATCTCAAAAAAACAAGGCAACTTTTTTAGCGTGTTTTAACATCGAAAAATTTGCTTTATCTGGGCTCACCTGGTTGTGACATTTCTGACCTTCAAATGGCATTAAATATATGAGATAATAATCGAAGATTATCACCAATGCAAATACCGATACTCATAACTGATTACGTCGTTACAAATTATTTTCAACCGACACTGTTCCTGCGGGTTTCTATTTGAAAAAACTATGTTGAAATGACCTTGTTCAAGGCGAAACCAAGGATCACGCGTCAAAATTTACTAGAGATCTGACCTTGATAGTTATTTTCATCATCAATCATATGAGATTTATAGCGGTACACATTTGATCTTCATTTTACCTTTAGTAAACATCCTGACCTTGTGCTTTTATTGTCTTTGAAAGCAAAATTTTATGTTTGTGTGTGTTTCTCTTTAGATTCAAGGTATCAAAAATACGGGTTTCTATTTGGAAATATTACGCTGACCATAAATTAGAATTGAAGGTTACCGTTGAATTCCTTGCTGAAAGTTCCTGAAGACAAATGAGGTTGCTTTTCCAAAAATACCTTAAACGATAAAAAAGGCAGATCCATTCCGGGACTTTTGTGTCTCGCAGTATGCTAGAGAAACTAGCAGTGTTTCCGACTATATGAAACTCCCCGATAAAAATATCTGCTCTTCAAAGTTTTGGGGAAGGTACATTTTCACAAAAAGTTATGTTGTGGATGATCGCATCCCCCCTACCCTATCAAAAAATCCTGCGGACGTACACGACATTTTCTTCTTGGAAAAATATTAAAAGATTATTAGACAAATCGCATTTTAGGGGTTAACCCCCACTAGGTATAAAGCTCCACAGGTAGCCTTAACCCTGCCCATACAATAAGGGCTGCAAGACAAGTTAATCCAATGTGTACCATTAAAGTCCGAAGCTCCAGTTGCAGGTAAATGGTGCAGATATAGTGTTTCATTAACAAAGTGAATCCGATGATGAGCTTCCGTAAGTTTTTCACTTAATCTTATTGTTTATCCATATACTGTCGAATGTTAAATGCAGGGTGATTTTTTAGTGTCGTCTGAATTCATAACATCGATATTACACATGATATCTAAAATTTGTAGCAACAGTATGCTCATTACTTGGAAAATATTTATATCGCTACAGAATGATTCGTAACTGAGTAAGTAAAGACTCAAACAGACAACTCGGTCCCCCGCAACAGTTATAGAAAGTATTGAACGTTTCACTAGAAAAATTTCATGATCCCATATTTTCTTCATACTCACATAATTTTTCAGTTCTTTCGATAGTTTATACTGGTTCTCACAAGCTTTTTAATACATTATATTGCAGTTGGTAGACAGTGTTAAGCTCCTTGGTAGCTGGTTTGATGCAGACATGACTTTTGAATCTCAGATAAACATCTGCTGCAATTTAAACAAAAGCTTCTTTGCATTATTTCACATGAAACAATATTTAGATGAAAAATCTCTATTATCTCTTTACTGTGCTTTTGTATATAGCCACCAGTCATATAATATTATATGCTGGCGTAGAGCAAATGGCATAAACAGAGTCTTTCTTTCACAAAAACGTATCAATCAGACTATTATTCAATCTCACTTTCAGGGAAACTTGCAGACATGCCTTTATTGACAAAAAACTGTTCACTGTACCTTGTATTTTTATATATATAAAAGTATGATCATGTTAAACGCGACATTGACAACTTCGAGATGCAAAATTAATTAATGATTATAATCACCAAGTTAAAATCAAATCGTTATAGGACTCTAACTTACACTAGGTCACCGCAGTATAATTTTGTAGCAATGTATAATGCTCTACCTAGAGATTTAAGGGATATTGATATCTACTGTAATTTTAAAAGAATGGTTTTCAATTATCTAACTGATAAATGTTTTTATTCTATTGACGAATTTTTAAATTGTGGATGTTAATACCATTAAAATGGATCTTTTTGTATATTGTTTTTTACATAATTTTAATTTTGTCAATTATTTTAATGTGTTATAACATACAGTTTCAAATTTAAATTCATTATTGTATATTTTATTATTGTATCTTCGGATGACACATTTTTGTTTTTTCTTTGTTCATTCTTTTTTGTGACTTACTATTTGAACCATGTGTTTGTACTTTGGCTGAATAAAATACTACTACTACTACTACTAGATACTACTACTATACGGTTTATGGGGATTTTTGAGATACAGCTAACACTTTTGTAAATCGGATATGAATGTATATACATGAAAAATATTACAACACATTTCAAAATCAAAACTATTATTTAGTTTTGTAACGGCAGATTGTTAGAAATGGTGTGTATTTCCATTATAAATTAAATAAACTCAACCTTATGCAATAAAGTCGAAAGTTAAGAAGGTGTCCCTGTGTTTTTAGAAACTCATGAACCAGTCGAGTAAGCCCTCATAAACCATATACCAGATAAAAAGCTCAAGAAAATGGGTATCAAATAATGTGAAAATATCTGGGACTTATCCTGGATTGCAAACTGAACTGGAGAGAGCATGTTGAGTAAAAGGTTAGCAAGGCTCGCAATTCAATGTGGGCCTGTAAACGTGTTGTCGGTGTAAGGTGGGGGCTTAAACCCAAAGTGGTATACTGGCTCTACACGACGCTAGTACGTCGATCTCTTTTGTACGGTTCCCTGGTCTGGTGGCCTTGCATTAGAACTGAGACAACTAAGGCCAAACTCAATAAAATTCAGCGTTTGGCCTGTATTAGCATTACAAGCGCAGTGCGTACAACGCCATTGAGTGCGATGGAAGCTCTGTTGGATCTGGTGATCCGCGGTGAAGCGAGAGTAGTCGCTCATCGACCGTGGAGTCAGGGCAGCTGGGCCTTCTTGAATCCTGTCAAGGGGCATACTGCCATCTTAGTCGAATTACAAAGGGAGGACCCCGTCCTTCTAAGCAGGGGTGATCGTATTACCACTAAATATCGCTTCAACCGCAAAGTTTATTGTGGAGTATCCAGGGAGGAGTGGGACGCCGGTAGCCGGAGACTCTCCGGAGTGAACGGGCCAGGTCTGGTACACGGATGGCTCGGTCACAGAAAAGGGCTCAGGTGCTGGGGTCTCTGGGCCTAGAACTAGGCTATTTCTGCCTCTCGGTGGATATACCACTATTTTCCAGGCGGAAATCTTTGCAATTCTGGCTTGTGTATCTCGCATTCTGGAGAAGGGTGGGCCTAGGAGAAGAATAACAACTTATCCGACAGCCAGGCTGCAATGAAGGCACTAAGTGCCTGTAAGATTACTTCGAGTCTTGTATTGCAATGCAGGGAGGCTCTGGATTGCCTCGCAGCGAGGCATCCGGTATCGTTAATGTGGGTACCGGGGCACGCTGGGATAAGATGAGACGGCGGACGCTCTGGCGAAGACAGGACCAGCCAGCAAGCTCGTTGGTCCTGAGCCAGCTTTAGGAGCGACCGCGCGCATAGAGCTAGGAGGAAAATGGCGACGTGGATTGCAAGACAACACTCTCAGAAATGGAGAAGTATCTCCAGACATCTCCGCCAGGCACGGGAGCTCATTGAAGGGCCCAGTGCTAAGGATGGACGTTTCTGCTTATCTCTGGATAGAGCCAACCTAAGGTTGCTGGTGGGACTGTTGTCTGACCATAACACGTTAAGGCGCCACCTGCACGTGATGGGGGTGGCTGAAGATCCTTGTGTGAGCGCTGCGGGGTAGAGGGGGTCGTTTTGGGTCGCTGTGAAGCTCTGAGCACGTAACGTCCACAAAATGAAATATTGAAAGTTACAATTTTTGTGTAACGTATAGTTCCTTGCTAGTTGCCGTTGGAAGTTTGAGCGCTTTTGTTTTTTTCGTGTTGGCATTTTTCTCCGCCGCCACTAACCGATTTTCAAAAACTACAAATCTTTTTCGTCCTTGGTATAGTAGTAACCTTGTGATGATTCAATCCAAATCCGAGCAGTACTTTCCAAGGTATAGACGAGCCAAGGATTTGCGGACAGACCGACGGACATGGTTTTTCGTGATGTATGTACCTGTCATATAACATCTAAAAAACATATTAATATTTTCTTCGCAAAATTACAATAGTTCCTCGCCAGTAGGTGTGGGAAGTAAAAACCGAAAGAGTAAGTTGATATTCCGAAAAGAAAATATTTGAGAACAGAACCCCACGCCACACAAATTGCGTCGTTTGAAAGTGCCTATCCAAATCTGCAATAAAATGTAGGGCACCCTATTTAAAAAATATATGTTTGGATCACCACAGAGTTATGAATCACCCTGTAAGGATAAATATATTGAAATATTCAGGCAGGAGCATACTGTCGGCTACAATTTCTGCTGCAATATGCCCATGATATCTGGGCCATATATACTTGCAATAGTTATAGACGAATATTGCTACAAAAGTATTTCTTCTTTAATCATACAACTGCATCTGTTAATATTTATGATGGATATAGAGAATATCCTCGAATAAAATCATGAAATATCTAGCATAACACTTTATTATTTTTTTATATTATTAATTAATATTTATTGATTTATATAATAGACAATAGTCTACGGGTCTCATGCTTAATGGTATAATAGTAGAGGCTGTAAAGTATCTTTCTTGTGCATTTGATAAACAATACAACAGCAAATATGAACTAAAATCTTTTCACAGTCAAAATTCTCTATCTTGATAACATAATTGCCTTACTATTGTTGTTTTACTCTGATAGGTCCTTTGAAAAACTGTGGGTATATTTCTAGAGGATGAAAAATTCCTATAAATGTAGTCCCCACATTTTAACTATAATTGCTCCTATATACGAATACACAGGATTCTGAGAAGTTAAGGGGAACATGTTACTGATACTACTTTCCAGAGTATTTTCAGCATGGACAAAAAAATGTATAAGACAAAAATAGTAGTTTACCTCTGGCATCCTAAACGAAATTTCTGCATAATTTCGATTCATATCAAACTACTTATTCAAAAATACGATCGATCGCAAATCACAATAATTTATTCATGAATTCCTAAATAAAACTGATCGCATCTGGACAAGACTGAATCTTTTTGTAGAAAATGTTTATATTACTTTTTGAAAGTAGCTTAAAATAGAACAACTGTTTTTTGAATCACCTTATATGTGCTGATATAGCATGGTATGTTAAAAAACTGTAATGCTGAGTGATAATATGTTATACAACCACTCCACCACTGTATCATTAAGGAATGCAACTTAATATCTGTTACCTATTATATGCATACAAAAAATTAAAGCGTATCTAATGAATGGAGGTGTAGAATCAAACTATTTTTGCAGGCAAAGCTTAGTAAAGTGAAATCAAGATGGTGAAAAATTGATGCAAAAACTGATAAAAATAACATTTCACAATGTCATGGAGATTGTAAATTGACCAGTTTATACATTTACACATTTACCCAAAATGCTGGCATTCTCTAAAGTCTTTTGAAAGATGATGTAAAAGATTCTTGAATGTTTTCCTTGTACAAAGCAAAAGATGTAACATGGGATATGTAGTTACATAATGCATTTTAAAAAAAATCTAAAACACTGTATTAAAGCATAGTCTCTACCATGAGAAGTAACTTAACATTGCATCACTTTGTAAAAAAAATGGTTAAGGAACAGATAGAAATATCGAAAAGCTTTCAACCTTCGACACAATAATTTTTATATTCTTTATAAATTAATCTCACAAATTAACAGTATAATAACAATAGTTCAGTATTCATGGATATCTTAACTTGATGACGGTAGATTACCACTCAATAATTGTTGGGCTGATCTGGCAGCAATGGCTGGATCAAATATTATTGGATTTTGACAATCAGGAAAGACAGAAACAGCAGCAGTTTGGGGAGGAACAGTATTTACAGTATTTGTTTGAGACATACTCAGTGACTGTGTGTAATTCATTGAAGGTGCTTGCATTGGTAAAGGCTGCGAAAAGTAATTGAATGAAGGAATATTTCCTGTTGCATAAGGATTAGCTGATTCAGAGGAAGCAGGAACCTGATACATTGGCACCTGATCCACTGACACACTTGTTGGGGTTGTGTTAGATGGTGGACTATACACATTACTAACTGGTGCACTAGATAATGACTGTTGAGGATAATACATGTTACTAAACTGAGGAACAGATGATGGGGGAGGAAGATTGCTAGTATAAACTGGCACATTAGTGTTTTCGTTAGATATAAGATTGTACTGAGATGTCACATCTGAACCAGTAAGTATTGGATTAATTTGAGGTTCAACAATATTTGAATTAGTACCCGAAATATTCTGGGATTCACTAGGTGGTGGAGATGGTGCAACCTCACTAGATATTAAACTTAAATTAGCAGTACTTGTTGTTATACTATTTACATCAGAAGGTGGATTGATTTCGGTATTAACAGATTTATAGATTGTAGTCACGGGAGGTGGAGTTCCTCTAACAGGTATTCTATGCAAGTAGCCATACCCTATTCCACACCCTAACAAACCAACTCCACCCCACTGAGAGTTTGGAGTAATTGTAACCTCCCTACATGAGTCATCTTGGGAATTATAAACATATAATTTCATACTAACACCATCATGATTCTCAATTAAATTAAAAAGATCTTCACTTTCATGGAGAATAGAGTCTGTTCCAATGATATAGTCAGTAAAAGGTCGAAGTCCGGCTAAAGAAGCAGGAGAATTTGAGTGCACCTCTAACACATGCCAAACATTTTCTTTTGCGATTTCAAATGAGCAGAACTTTATACTGATTCCTAATAAGCCTTGTCCACCCCAGGTATCGCTAGGTTCTACAGTGACACTTCGCACACTTTGTGTTTTGCAGCTATAAATGGTCATTGGTAGCTGTTTTCCTGAAAGAAAATTAACATTAGATTTAGGTTTAGAAGCAATAGCTAATATTTATACCTATTCCATTCTTCAGTATCTGTTTAAGAGTGTCGTTATCTCTATCCAACCTGACACCATTTATTGATATTATAAAGTCAAAGAAAGGCTGTAGGCCAGCTTTGCTACCTGGTGAATTTTCTTGAACCTAAAAATTGATATTATGCTACATATTTAACGTTGGCAATATTAAAAAAACCTACCCTAAGAATATGGTAACCATCGGTACCTCCACCGGGCACCTCAACGCTTTCAGAATTTCCCATTTTTTGTTAAATAATCTTATAAATTACGTGGCATCCTCTAAAGATATGAGGTGTATGTTTGGATTGTTGTTAATATGTTAATTGTTACACGTCAATTGTACATCAATGCATGGTGTCAAAGTCAAGTATCAATTGACCAATCGACTGATGCATAATAAGTCACATGTAGCTCTCCTTGCTCGCTAAACCACGCCTCGTTTACATTTATAGTCCGAGGTACTATAGTCTCCGGGCTCCGGCTTAAGTTGTTAAGAATTTGACAGTTGTGGAGTTAGGTTTATGTCAAAAAGTTGCTCTGTCAAATCTAAAATGTCAATCACAATAAATGTAAAATATCAAAAGAATTCTGATGTCAATGAATTGCGTTTTTAATTATAATAACATTCAGTAGTTCAAATTGTAGTGTTAAAAATATACAAAGGTGATGTTTAGATACCAGACCTAATCGAGAAAAACAAAGAAGTGAATACATTATGACAAAGAGCTGGTAAATGGGAATTCTAAGCACGATAGTGTCCATCTCTTTGTTATATTTCCACTAAAATTTAACTGTGACCCAATATAGATTCCCAATAGGCCAAATACTGTTAAGAAATTGATTTTCTTAACACCGCCAGCATGATTATTCACCTGATGTAAGGCAAGTTGAGGCAAGTTCTTTTTTTTTAAATTCAATCAGCTGTTTTCTGTTTTGTTGATCTAGTTCTTCCATAAATATGATTATGCAACGATGAACTTGGACATGTATTAATAATACGCAGTTTCAATCATTTTCAGGTGAAATGATTCGGCAATAATTATCTTTGTTCTACATTCACATTAAAATGTAATAATAAAAATATTAGTAAATACCTAAAGTAGATCATATGCTTGAATAGGTCATCCACATTCAGATTATATTGTATACATTTGAAGCAGTGTTTGTTTCACGTGCATATGATCTTACAATGTGTAATTATCTCAGTTATTTTCTAAATTATTTCCCTAGATAAAGCTCAAGTCAAAATCGCAGTGGAATTTGATCTTAAAAGATACGGGACCATTTCTTACTTTTTATATTTTTAATACATTATTGCAATATTTAATTTTCTGTAATTTATTTCATCAGTTTTACACATTGCATCCAGTCAATATACAACCAAGGCACATGATGGCTTTATTAATGTGTTTATTTCAAGCTTAAGATAAGTAAATGTCTATAAAGAGTTGACACTTATTCAAAGACATTGCAATAAAGTATGTATGTGTATATTCATTTTCTTTTTTTTTCTAGATTATTTTATCACAATTTCATTAGTGCGTACTTGTTGCACTGTCAAACTTTATAAGTACTAAAGGGTGCCTTTGATACAGGGCACAGCACCCCAGAAGCTTGTCATGTGTCTCTGGAAACTAGAATTGTGTTTTTGGATCTAAGCAGATTTGAGGTCAGGAGGTTTAAGCTCCTATATAAGGTGTTTTCCAACTCTTGACACTTGTGATAACCCCAAACATGTAACAATAAAGCATCTTTGATATATCACACGTGACATGAAAGTGTAAACAACTATTCTATTGAGTTTTAGTAGTTAATTAGTTGTTATACTAGTTATTATACTAGTTAAAAGCTTGACAGAACAGCTATCACTTACTGTATGTGAACCTGTATGTTACTCATGATTTGCACACTTATTTGGAGCACAATAGTTCGGCTAATATTGAAATATTTCTGGGGGATATTAGCACAAATATTCTGGATAATAAGGACACTCTGGTGACAGAGTATCTGTCAATAATGTCTTCTCTTGGCCTTAATGCATTTATCAATAAACCTACTAGACTGTCTTTGGGAACTTGCCTGGACCATATATTTGTTAGGCAAAAATTGAAAACCAATTGTTTATTATTAAATTCTTCTACTCAATGAGGAACTAATGGATCACAATCCAACAGTGCTTTGTATATCTAATAAAGCATGACCTTCTGGAATTTTGGAAGTTGGGCAAGTTGAACAAGAATCAACCTAAACATAAATAAATTTAAGGCGTTTTTGAATTATTGTGATTGGAATTTGGTAACTACTCGTAATGTGTTAGCTGTAAAGTTATTTTTGACTACCTACAGGGAGTTGCTGTTGAAAGCAACAGAAACAATTGCCACAAGAGTATCAATCCCAAAAAAAATAAAACCATAGATAAACAATGAAATTATTGATTCTGTGAAAAAAAAGGAATAAGACGAAAAAGAGACTTCTAGAAAATTATAGTTTATCTTTGAAAAATCAGTATAAGGATTATTGTAACAAACTAAATAAATGAATACACAAACAAAAGAATAATTACTATAGAACACAAATTGAAAAAAATTAAGATAACATGAAAAAACTGTATGACATAAAGGATGCAACATACGAAAAGAGTAACAAAGGTCAATTTTATATTTCATAAATGATAATGGTGGCAACCAGTTTAATGATTCTATTGAAATGGTAAATTTTTGTAATGAATATTTTATTGATGTGGGTGTTAATATGGCGCGAACAATTCCCACTCCTCAATCTGAGTGTAAATTAGTGCACTCCATCCAGAATTCTATTTTTTTAAGTCCCATTACAAGGAATTAACTGATAAAACATATCCCATTTTTGTAAAGTAATAGTGCCCCTGGCTATGATGGCATACAGGTTGAAACTATAAAGCAAACTCATTTTGAAATTTTAACACCATTATTACATATTTACAATTTATTTTTAGAAACTGGAATTGTCCTGAAAGTCGTTAAAACGTCAATAGTTATCCCAATACATAAATCTGGGGATACTACTTCTATTGGAAATTAACAGGCCTATAAGTTTAATAAAAAATTTTGCAAAGTTATTTGAAAAATGGCTTAAAACTTGAATGGATTTTTTAAAAACTAATAATGTATTATGAGATAATCAATTCAGGTTTCTTGGGGGTTACAGTGCAGTGGACGCTATGCTGCAGAAATTAATAACTGAGATTGTCAATAATCTGAATAATGGCAACAAGAGTATTGCTGTTTCCTTTGGACCTTGTTAAGGCTTTCAATAAGCTAATCGACATTCTTCACTGCAATGGGGTTGGAGGAATGGCTTATGATTTACTGAGGGATAATCTTTCAAGCAGAACTCAACTGCTAAAACTAATTAACATAACGAGCAATCAAAAAAATAATAAACATTGGTGTCCCTTAGGGTACTGTTTTGGGACTGCTTCTTTTTATAATTCATATAAATATGACACTGGGGGGGCTTAACTATTTCTTATGCTGACGATACTGTGCTTCTTTTTGCAGGTTCTAGTTGGGGGGATGTAAAATCTAGAAAAGTGTATGGTCTAAGTATGGTAAAAGACTGGTTACCAGAGAGTAAACTAACATTGAATTTATCTAAGCTATATTGCGTTTTCATTGACCAATAAAAACAGGCCAACTTACAAAACTATTATGTTGGATGATCATTATTCTGTTAAGGAAGTGTCTCAAACTAAATATCTTGGAATCATTATTGACCAACATTTAAAGTGGCAACCGCATGTTGGTTATGTATCGAGTAGAGTTAGAAAATTAATCCATAAATTTTATCTACTGCGAGAGTTCCTCAATAAAAAAAAAACAGTTTATAAAGCATTTGTTGAATCTATAATTAGAATGAATGAAAATACTATAATTAGTATGGGGGGATTGCATAATAATGCTCTACATAAACTCATTATTATTCAGAAATATATTATTAAAATTATTTTTAAGAAAGATAAAAGATTCACCACTAATAAACTTTTTACAAAGGATGTGTGTAATATTAGAACCTTGTAAGTGATGACAGTATTTAATTTATAAAAATGAAAAATTACAGAAACTAGTAAGTCATAACTACGGTACTTGTGCAAATATGGACAGGTAAATAGAAATTCCCAAGAATAATAATAACCTAAACTTAAGATACATAACATATATAGGACTAAATATATATAACAGTCTGCCAGAGCACTTGAAAAAGATGAAAAATATTAAAACATTTAGCACCAGCTGCACATACACGTTAATAAGTCTTCTACATATGTGTTTGATCTTAAATCAATTGCATTTCTAACTATAAGTCACCACATTGCTCATAACACATTCCGATTGCATCAAACTTGCGTCGATGGTGCCTAAAAACACGGCGTGCATAGACTCTTGAAACTCTGCTAATCTTGGAAAAGCCGGTTTCCTAAAGATTGTATCATTAATAATTGCAAGTTGCCAGCGCACGAGAAATGTACGAAAATGCGCTCGTGTTTTAAGTGTGTGTTTTGTTGCGTGTTCCGATTGGGTGAACTTTTTGTTTAGACGCCGTGAGACGTGTGTTATACGATCGCGCGTTACCTGCGCTACTTACGTGATGCATAGGTGGAATATTGATTGTGAAAACATGACGATCGCCGACCATTTTGATTGCGTGGGACGGGGGTCGATAGGGCCTGAAAAAACGTTGTGGGTTATTTGATTCAGGCGGTATCTCTTGACTGTTAGAATAACCAAGAATCGATGGCCCAGGGATGCTGGCGACTCACTTTTACTTACATTTCATTGAAAACATTCACTTTTCTCGCAATTTCCACTCTTGCTGTACGTATTGTAGTTTATGAATGTTTTCGAAGGAACTGTCCTCCTCCTCTCAAGCCCCACGAAATTTAATGAGGAAATTTTTGTTATAGAAATTAACTATGACAAAGTTGTTCATGTACAGGGTTCTTCCCAAGCTGAGTCAATATGTATTACATGAGAAATTACTAGGATTAGTTGAAATCTACGTTGAATTTTAGTTCAGCTTAACTAAAATCACTCTATATATATGCACTAGGGATTTCAAATTCGGAAACGGTAATATAACACAAAATAGTTTATGAAGGCAAACTAGCGTATTTAGGAAACTAATAAAATGTTACTTAGACAGCAAGATGGTGTTTATAATATCTATAGTTACCCCTATGATATGGTATTCAACTGAAAAGGCTTGATGAGAAAAATACACGTCATTCTAGATCCAATATGGCGGCCGCTGCAAAATATCGATTTATAATTTCCATATCACCCTCATGTTATGTATATCAAATGAAAGGATCTGATGAAAGAAACACAATAAGCAAAATGATGTAATTCTAATCCAATATGACGGACGTTTAATATGACAATAGACAGTGCAATATTATGATAACATGGAGATGATCTGTTGATGAAGCAGAAAATGGCCATAGGAACCCATCAAATAGAGCGTCACTTGATTCCTAATGACAAGTACTCTAGTCTTACTCATCTATAATAACTATATCAAATTTCAACATTTTAACATTAGCTCGCTAAAATGTAGATTCAATCAGTTGGGCAAGAATACTCAACATCTCCCACATTTACAAGAATTTGTTATATTTTTTATGTTTTTTCTATGCATCCAATTCATTTAATCTTAAAATGCGCATAGATATGATTAATTATTTTTGCTTACGTCAATAAAATAGTAACAAAGACCTTATATGAGTTATTCTCGTTTTTCCCTCACATTCTTATTCATATTATTCGTTTAAATTTGTCATTGTGATATTCAATTTCTCAGAAAATTAACTCGCCTTTTTATGTTAAAAACTTTTTTTGAAAATTTCACTTTTCTCACTTAAATTCATGCTTCGGGCCGCCAGCACCCATGTGATGCAGACTTGCAAGAAGAGAGATGATTTAAAATTTATTTGATGCAGTTAGTAACCAGGCCCAAACTTACACGACAATCATTTAATGAGGCGCTTGGGAGCATTATGCACTCTTTTCTGATCTACAACATTGGACTTTAGTTTCCAGACATCTTTTTTTGAAAAGCTTAGTGTTACTAAGCTGCTTCCTTTACATGAAATGATACATTCTTGCTCACTTATCTCCATATAGAGTCAACCAACCTGAATCCAATTTTTGTTCTTGCAGGTCGAGAACGTGGCATTATGCAAAATTACGCGTCTCTACAAGAAGCTTACGATAATGAGGAACAAGGAATTCTTTACCACGTAGCAGAGCCGACACGATCAAAATGGAACCACATAGAAGATCTGGATTCCTTCTTTTCTCGGATGTACAAATACCATCAGAAGCACGGTTTCTTGTGCATGTTCCTGCAGGGGAGTTTCGAAATATTTCAATTCATGTTTGTAATAATGCTAACAACATATCTTGTATATGGTATAGATTACCAAGTATTGTTTAACTATAATCATAATGTCACGAAACCGACTTTACCTGATGTGATATTACCGATAGGAAAATGCGTTGCCAATTTTGGTGTTATATGGTGGTGTCTCATGATTGTCGCAGGAGCTGCTTTGAGTTTGAAGTTTTTGAATAAATGCTATCAGATAATTCACTTTTGGGACATCAAGCAATTTTATAACACTGCCCTTGGCATTGAGGATAAAAATCTCGATAACCTAACCTGGCACGATATTGCAATGAAGATCAAAGCTGTCCAATTGGAGCAACAGATGTGCATTCATAAGCGAGAACTGACAGAACTGGATATTTATCATAGAATCCTCAGACAAGAAAATTACTTTGTAGCAATGGTTAATAAAAAATTACTTCCACCACGAATGCGCATACCATTTAATGGTGAAGTAGTGTATTGGACGAAAAGCCTTCGATACAACATCCAAGCTCTGTTGTTTTGGTCTCCTTGGGCTCCATTCGAGAACCCTTATCATTTGCGTGAAGACTACAAGAAGCCACATCTTCGTCATGAATTAGCAAAGCAATTGGGTACGCAAATTTTGTGGTTAGCAGGGCTTAATACCATGTTCATACCTATTTTGGCAGTTTGGCAGTTTCTTTTCACTGTCTTCGGCTATGCCGAGGTTTTGAGACGTGAACCAGGACGTATAGGAATAAGATTTTGGTCGCTATACGCAAAATTATACCTGAGGCACTTCAACGAACTTGACCATGAGTTACACGCGCGGCTCACAAGAGCATACAGACCTGCTTCGAAGTATCTGGCAGCTTTCAGCAGTCCCATAATGACTATTATTGCGCAACATGTCGGGTTCATGTGTGGCGCGCTTTTCGCAGTCATATTAGCTTTGGCATTATATGATGAAGATGTTCTCGCTCTGGAGCACGTTCTAACGTTAATGACGGTCCTGGGCTCTGTAGTTGGAATATGCCACACCATCATACCTGACGAGACAATGGTTTGGTGTCCAGAAACTTTGCTTCAAAATGTCGTCATGCACACACACTACCTCCCGCCAAACTGGAAAGGACAAGCTCATACGTCTAAGATTCGAGAGGAGTTCCAGCAGCTATTTCCATATCGCGTAACGACGTTACTCGAAGAATTGGTGTCTTCAATAATGACTCCATATTTCCTGGTGGCCTGGCTGTACCCGAGAAGACTGGATATTGTGGATTTTTTCAGAAATTTCACAGTGTCTGTCGTTGGTGTCGGAGATGTATGCAGCTTCGCGCAGATGGACGTTAAGAAACATGGCAATCCTGACTGGCAAATCAAAGAAGCAACTGGTAGTGCTGAAGTGCCGGACCAATATGCACAAGGCGAAAACGGAAAGGTACATACATATATTAGCCCGATAAGGGAATACAAAATACTCCCAAAATCTTGCAAAAATTCTACACTACTCAAAAAAATTAGGGGAACAAGAAAAACACAAAATTTTTTGGTGATTTATGACGGGCCGTATTTTGCTGAACAATGGTCGTATCTAGACCTTAAAAAAAGCAATTTGAATATTTAAGATTCTAGTTTTCAAGTTTTTTAGCCGAAAATTTTTAGAAGCAAAAGTTCTCATGGAATTCTAATAGATAGTGCAAGCACAATTTTTGACAAAATTGCTGCCGTCCTTTTAGTCCACGGGCTTGACATTTGTTTTCTGTTATGCCATGACCACTGATATCTCGATAACTACTGATCGCACAGATAATTTAGAGGTATTTCTCAGAATTGATTTTAAAAAGGTCAAAGAAGTTACTGTTTGTCTTGTTTTGGAAAATCGACCGCATTTTCGGAACTGCTAATGAGAAGGATGATGTTTTTAGGTTTTTATACCTCAATGTACCCCTAATAACCCTGTACGATAGCAGATCGATCCATTGGACCAACAAATTCCTAAATGAGACCCCCTCCCCCCTTAAAAAATATTTTCTAGATCCACCCCTGGTCAGTGTTTTTGTTTTTTGGAATATTCCATGAATAAAGAAATATGTTTTTCAATTATTTTTTAAAATCTAAGGTGTTACAGATATCCAATATTGACAACAAAAAAAGAACAATGATTTTTCCATTTTCAATCAGATTACAGGATGTTGTGATACAAAAATTTTGCTCCTTGGATTTCTCTTGAACTTTGACCAATCGGTCCGGAGAAACCGTACAATGGATCGATCTGACGTCGTGCAGGACCATTATCGATACATTGAGGTATAAAAAGACTCAACCTTCTCATTGTCAGTCCCAAAACTGCGGTCGATTTTCCAAAACAAGGCAAAAAGCACTTTTTTGACTTTTTTAAAATCAACACTAAGAAAACAAAAAAAAATCGTTAAAGATTGCATCAAACCTTATAGCGGGTTTATTCCAGTTTCCGGAAATACCCTTATATTCTATGTGCTACCACTGGTTACCGAGGTATCAGTAGTCGATGACAAAAGAATCCTTTATCATAAAGTCAGATATCTCCACGCCAATTGAGCGTATCGAGCTATCTGATCGATATATTGACTTAACAGAAAAAATTTCAAACAACTGGACAAAAAGAGGCAAAAGTTTTGCAAAAATTTTTGTTGCACCATCTGTTAGAATTGAGAACGGTTGCTCCTAAAATTTTTGACAAAGAAACGTAAAAACTAGAATTTTGAAGCTGAAGAAGAATCTAGATAATTGCATTTTTCATCGAAATAAAGCCGGTTAAAGATCACCCAAAAATTTGGATTTTTTCTTGCTCCCTTATTTTTTTTTGTGTAGTGTACAATTGTTGGAGATTTGGATTTAGGTAACTCAAATGGTCTTCAGCTTAACGAAAGGTTCCGCATCCGGTGGTAGGCAGCTACTGATTTTTTTTTAATATGTTCTTTGATACTTTGATTTTGACACTGCAATGGGTCTTCCAGGTCTCTTATCATCGCGTATGGATAATTTTCCTCATTTGAAGCAAGCAACCCAATTTTCACAACGTAACCCCTTCAAATGGCGGCTGTTAATGATGACTCGATATTCCATTTTATCCATTTTTGCACTCGCGGTAGACATGTTTTGTTTGAAAATTTCGTAATGCTTAAACTTGTTGACATGAAACTTTACAACATTTTTGTTTTGTGCATTCCAAAATGCCAAGGCTAACTAGATGTCAATATCCCCTCGTATGAGCATTGGAATTTTGAGAAACCACAATTGGTCACGGATCATGAAACTCACGACATTTGTAAAGTACGGGGTAGTTTCAAAAATAAGGTTCCAATCACTGTAACTTTGCCGCCTGTGATGCTAGGCGAAATCTGATAAAATCGTCGTGTTTGTTGTCTTCCCCACCACCGATTCCATCCTGAAGCGCCTATTTGTGATGTTCAGTACCGGACTGACAGCCAAGCGTAATGGAGTCCTTCAGCGCCGTCACCGCCATGTGGGAAAATTGTACGGTCATTCGATTTTTGCACGCAAAACCGTTACCGCAAATAGAAATTCATCGCCATTTGAGTGAAGTATATGGAAGACTTGTATAAGCGTTCATGTCCTCAAATGGTGAAGACAGTTCTTTGATGGCCGCATGGACATCCACGATGAACAACGAAGCGGGAGGCCGTCGATCTCCGAGGAAATTATAACGAAGATTGAGCAAATCTTCCTCGAAGATCGGCGAATCACGATCCGGGAACAGGAGGTTGAAATTCCTTAGAGGCTTCTGAAAAAGCTGAGACGGGCAATCCAAAATCGTCGACAGTGCGCATCCTTATGTCTCAAAACAAACGAAGGACTGAATCGACAGGAAGTTATTGCCCATCCCCGTTACAGCCCTGACCTAACGTTTCCGAAATTGAGCACCTAGATGGTCAACGGTTAGAAACGGGCGAGGAGTTGTAAGGAGCAGTTACTAAGTTTCCAAGCTGGCTGGCGGCAAACTTTCTTGAGGCGGGAGTGAAAGTGGATTCCACGTCTAAAAAAAAGCGTTAGAAAAAATGGCGACTATGTATAAAAATAGCTTAAATATCAACGTTTCCAATGATAAATTCGTTTTTACCTTGTGACTGAAAAAAAATATGGGAACCTTATTTTTGAGACAACCCTCGTAGCATCTTCCAGTCAACTGAAAATACGATCTCATATTAAAACACGCCAGGTCATTTTAAATTGATGTCAACCATTTTGTATGGAACTCCTTTATATCTGGTTATCGTGAATTTCTGTCCCCTTGAATTGTTTTGCAAACGAACATTAATCGAAATTGTTTTGTCTTTCAGGTGGAATTATCTTTGGTCCACTTCGCCACGACAAATCCGACATGGATCCCGCCACCAGAAGCTGAAGAGTTCATCGAAACGGTTAACGAAGAGTCTGAACCATACTACGAGCAAAGCGACATGATTTTCAACAGTTTCCAAAACATGATGGGGTCCAGTTCACTGTACGACAACATGCAAACTCCTTCAGCCATGAACTTCAAGAGTCGAATGAACAGCCTAGCCAACGCACGCGCTTCTCGCTACGATGGTACTCAATCGCAGACACGTGGTATCACATCACGGCCACTTCGACAATCGGTTTACATGTCCGAGGGACCGGATGTAATGTCACCCATCGCCATGACAACGAGCGCCGTCGCATTGCACGATCGATATCACAACAGACTGTCATTGTCCGTTAGGTCCGTGGAAGAGACCACGCCCTTGTTAAAGCCAAAACCTACACTCTAGTCATAATTTTTAACCAATGGCCTGTATATATTTAGATATATATTTTACAATAAAATAACGAAGTGTACATATTTTCGAACCGTTCTGACATTGGATAGAATGTTATTTCATTTATTGGATAGTGATCCAGATGTCTCTGTTACGATATTTATTTATGGGGATTTGCAGAGAATGTTTGGGGATATTATATAGTTTTGGGATGACACGCTAGGAGTGTCGGATATAACGTAAGTACTGTATCTGAAGGGTTGTTTCCTTTTATCGGGCTTGGGCTAAAACGCACATTTATCTATTACCGTAAAGCTGCTGTATGCACTCAGTCCCTCTGTACCAAAATGTATATAAGATGTATATAACACGTTCTATAAACGTAATTTGTCTTAAACAAACCTCGTATGTAAATATTTTTTTGGTAGTGAACTTACCAAGGGATAATCCTTGTAACTATACGTTTTTATAACTAATTTAATAAAAAATATGTGAATTTATCGAAGTTAGTATCGTAGATCTTCAAAAATAATTTGAGATTTAGCAATGCTCCAATTTACCATATACTAAATACACTCATCGGGACATTCGTTTCTCTGAGATTCCCTTCAAACTATATGTAACTACATATATGTTGTGATCTCACCTCACCACAAAAAGGTATAGCAGTTTTATACAAACTTACTTTTCGTCTAGTAAAGTTGGGAACTTCACTTGTGTGCCCAATAACCATTAAAAGGAAACGACTAGATAATCCACAGTCAAAAAGCCTACAATAGTTCAAGGATTGCTGTTTTTATGCAAATTTCAGTGAATAAACATATTTAATTACTAACAGAATGTTTAAAATGCGAGTATGCCTAAAGTTTTCCCACCTTTTCCATGCATACGTTTCCCTCTGCTGGAGATAGAGTGTGTGTTGTGTAGTACCCCTTCCCAGTATCATCCTTATAACGCCTCACAGTACCCACCGATACTACTATACGTCATTTGTTTGTTTTGGCGGTCCGTAGGACCTTCGACAATTAGTCACAGTCTAATGTACGTTAGTCGAATCTGTCAGTCCTACTCGCCCCGAAACCAAACAATGTCAAGGAAAACGAGAATATGATAGAATGAGCATAACGTCGCTGCGCCTGAAGCTTGACCTAATCCCTCAAGTAAGGAATGTGTAGCATCTCATTTGAGACATATCATGAAGCGTTGCAAATTGTAAGTAAAGTTCTGCTTTGCAGTACTTGAAGACTTTGCATATGTGTCTTTGCAAGAAAATGCCAAGCCTCACATGCATAAGTAATCGCTGGTCTAATAATCGTGTTATATAGTCGAACTTTATTTATCAAACGCAATTTGAATTTTTTTTCAACGCTGCTCTATGTTTCTGCCTGATCATGCCTTCATCAAGGGTGACACCAAGATACTTGGCAGAATTTCTTCATGGTGTACGATTTACGTCTACCGAAACCTCGGCTGGGGGGCAGCGATGTTTTTTGGCACAATAAATAGCCTGCGTTTCGAATGATCAATTCTCAGCCATCGTTGCGCCCACTCTAGTACTTCGTCCTAAGCACTCTGCAACCCATCGTGAACCAGATCACCAGTACACGACTGGGCGACAAGTGCCTTGAAGGTAGACTTCACAGCTACTGGGGCAAGCAACGTCGTGGATAAAAAGGATTGGTCCTAGGACCGAGCCCTGAGGAACACCGGCCCGTACTGGCCGTGTTGTGGACAAAACATTGTTAATTTTTATCTGAAACTTCCTTCATTCAAGGACTGATTTCAGTAATTTTAGAAGCCAGAAAGGAAAACCCTTTTGGATTAGTTTATAGAGGAGGCTCACGTGCCACACCTCAAAGGCTTTTGAGACATCCAAAAGCAAGATGCCAGTGCTCCTGCCTGTAGCTCGGACCGATAGTCGAATTGAACGTCAGGAATCACATGGTGATTTGACGAAAAATTCGCAAGGTGACTATAAATCACCTTTTTGGCGAGCTTAGAAGGAGCTGGCAGCAGACTAATGGGACGGTAATCCTGAGGGAATATCGAACCCACCTTTAGAATCATGATGACCCCAGCTATCTCCCACCCCACAGGGAAGGACTGGATTCTGAGTATCGCATTGATTATTGTCACCAAATATGTCAGAACTTTCGGCGAGAGCAGCGTCAATGCCTTACGTACCTTGAGGTCTTTAATTTGACTTAGTTCTCCGCTGGTGTGCAATGTGGAATCCCGGAGGGCTCCGCTAATGTGCTATGTGAAGCCTAAGACGAATCTTCTGAAGAGGATTCAATGCCTCCGCTAACGCTGTTGGCCTTCAATTTTCTCCTGACGTATTTTACGATGTGTTGTTCTTCGTCGAGGTCATTATCAAGATCATAGTTGGGAGATAAGTGATTTTCCATGGCGTCAGCGAAAACCTCGACCTTATCATCCGTTTTGAAGACTATGCCTTCAGAACCGTGGATGTGCGCGAGTTCTCGCTTTCCGTTTTTGAGTGACTGTGACCCTCCAGAGAGGAATACTTGAATCAACCATTCTCGCCAGAAAGTCACCCCATTGCCAGTTGCGAATTCGTGGAGAGCGTTTCTCACAAGATTTGTAGCCCTACGAATGTCATCAGGATGAGTACCAACCGGTATTAAGACCATTGTGATGGTTCAAATATAGAAAAATAGCGTCTAGTAGGTTGACTCTGCACTTCCCACGAAACGCTTTCATCAGTTTGTAAAGGATTATGTTCGGCCTAAGTTCGTCCCTTTGAACTATAGCTACAATGTATAACAAAAATGGACCAAGGCAGCCAAACACGCCCAAATACAATTCGTACACACTCCATAGTCCCGATCCATTTGTTAACGCTATTAATTTCTTTAATAAATACCGTAAGTATCGACAACCTGGCAACGCTGTTGGACCACACCAGTCAGACACTTCATAAGCGGCATCTCTGCCAGCGATGCTGTCATACATAAGGCACACTATAAACGAAATTTTGAACTCTAGCAAGAAATGGGCATGTATTTGAAAAAGGCACGCAACAAAATAATTTTATAAAAATTTGTCTTGAATATTACCAAGACGATAAAATTATAACGCCATCGATTTTTGAATAAAGAATAAAGATACTACTGAAATGATGAACTTTGAGGTAATGAGTAATCGAAGAACATGTTGTATAAAAATATACATCAGCTGACAGTCAAGTTGCCAACCGACATGTCAAAGTTAGCATACCTTTCAAACTATTAACAAAATTTTAGTATTATGTTTCCAATATCATTTGCCCCGAAACTGATAAGAAGCTGCACTATACTATTGAACATCTCAAAAACTTATTGTTGCCCTCCTACGCCAAAACCGCCCGTAGTCACAGTTTTGAATGCTTGTAGCAAAATAGGAAAGTATGTCGCCTTACTGCTCAAACAGAACCCACTTATAGGAGAATTAAGGCTCTATGACAAAAATGGAACCGTTTGTGCGGTCGCAGAAGATCTAAGTCATATCGACACTAGGACTAAAGTTAGGTCTTTCGGAGGTTCTGCTGTTTTGAAACATGCAGTAGCAGTAAGTCGATCATGTTCTTATGAAGTGTTATTTTCAGATATGATCGGAATGTCCTTTCCGAAGGGAAGGAAAGAAATAATTACTCAGGCACTTTCTATAATAAAACTTTTACGAATACCATTGATTAATGTATTCAAGCATTGATTTTTAAAATATGCATAAGAGAACCTATTTGTTAGGTCTGTAGGTAGCCCAGTTCGTATTGTCAGCCGGGTCATCACAATGGCCGCTAGTTGCCACCGATTATGGGGCTATAGGAGATCACGGAACTGATAAGCCTGTATATATTTCAGATTAATTTTTGTGAGCAGGAATAAGATATATACTGTAAATTAAGTAATGAGGCTTGTAACGTAGCGTTCGATCTGGCAACAGTGGAGGCGCCGGGCTAGGAGGGGAAACAGGGGAACATGTGATCCGCCCTCAGAACAAGTTTGAACTCACTCTAGTCATTTGGTTGTCCGTAGCGATTTTTTGTGAAACAGTTTTTCCTATTGTGTTCTAAAAATGAATGACATAAATTAGTTATTAGACGAAAATACATCTGGTATGCGAAATAATTGTATAGTCTGGTTTTATTGATGCACATGGTTCAAGGGGTATTCGAAACATGGACGCATAAAATAGGTACACCATTTTTTGTGGAAAACTTTTTATTCGACAACAAAGAATGAGAAAACATGTTTTTGGGATTTGTTGGCAGGAACTAAAAAACTCTATGACTTTTTGAGACCTATAGAATGAGACCACACGCAAAATGCAGGTTTTGGCACTTGTTCCTTATGCGAGGATAATTTCACGCAGCTACTCGAAATTCTTCAAATATGTATAATAATATAATAACCACAACAAAATTCTAGTCGATTGGGCAAGTACTTTTTGAGAATTTCTAATTGTTTATTCCAAAATACCTGGCTTTCCGCCATCAGTACTAGTTTATTGAGCAATATACAGGGTTCGTTCACAGGGCATTTTATAGCAAAATACACGAGTTTACCTTGCCGATATGAATCCCAAGCCAGTCCGAAAGATAATTGTTATTTTTATGCGAAAAACAAAGGGTTACGTTTTTCAAACATTTCGTATTTGTGAGTATATCAACAGATTCGCCTCAATATTTGAAAAAAATATGTTATACACATTTTAAAACATATGTGTCTATCAAGATATTCAAGATTTACCTTCATACTCTTGCGTATATACAGGGTGACTTTGAAGTTGAGTCATTAATTTTCAGATAATGATTGTAGAAGGAATATAAACCAAAATATGTGTGTAAAAATTAAAAAAAAATTAACAAAAATTTTTACCTTGTTTTATAAACTATCCTCCCGACAAGTATTTCAGTGCGGACCTGTATTTGATCGTGAGGTCCCCTGTGAGGTCTTAAGTCACCTGATTCACGAGCCCGTTGTACTACATTAACAAAGGCACGAGGGGTTGGTTGCACTCGATTGGGAAACCGATCCGCATAAACATGTGCCATTTTTTATTTCGTTTGAGCCACGCAACAGATACAACTATTCACTGACACTGACTGTATACAAATGAATGAAATAATTCGTTCCAAATTCTTTCGCTTTTTTGTTTCCGATGCGATGAACCGATACGACGGATTATATCCGTTGTCGCCAAACACGAGCACATTGAGACAGGGCGGTACTCAAACTTCCAAAGGGCTATAACTTTGTTACTTTAATTTTACCAGAAAAATGGTAAAGGAAAAAAACATTTCTTTTGATCAGATCTACTCACTGTTAAAATAAATGACTCAACTTCGAAGTCACCCTGTATATTTAGAGCTGAAATGTTTACACGGTTACAGATGAGCCTTAAAGCCTATAAAAAAATACTTAATACGTACAATGCGCTGAACTGTTTATAAAGCAAGCACGCAAACTGAAGACACAATTATGTTTATTGGTGACTGCATGACTTTTAAAATAAGACAGTCACGTAATCCAGTTTCTTCACGAAGAAATATAATTTCCTGGACCTTTATTATTGATATAGCATATGTCTGTTTTCGAAATCTCGGGCTACTAGAATAACTGCGAGCTCACAATGTTGGAAAATAAACCCGAGAAAACGAAAAAAGTAGATAAATGTCAACTAATTGTAGCAAACTGGCAGTCTGAAAAATTAGGCAAAAATGCTCGGTATTAGTCCTTAATACATTATGGCGTCGTAGTGTAATGGGAAGGCATAACGATTGCAGAACCGCGGGTCGGAGGTTCGAATCCACAAAGCTTCTTTTTCTATATATATATTTTTTTAAATTTGAAGAGATAAATCCATTTTCATCATCATTGTCATTTTTGCCGGGATCTTGTGCGTTCAGATCGTCGGTTGAGAGTCGGGGACGAGTTAAATTTGACTCACACCGCCGTTCATCAGATCAAGAACAATTGGATGTTGCATCACGATAATGCTGCTTGTCACACAGCAATGTCAATAAACAAGTTTTTGGCCAGTAAAAACGTTCCTGTGACTCCTCAGCCTCCTTATTCGCCTGACTTAGGTCCTTGTGACTTTTTCTCTTCCCGAAGTTGAAAAATCACCTCAAGGGAACAGTCGAAAACATTCAAACGGCTGTAATCCACCAGCTGAAGGCTATTCCAGTATCGGAGTTCCAGTACTGCTAGATAGAATGGAAGGACCGTCTCCAGCGCTGTCTCGCTTCAGAAGCAAGTTACTGTGAGCGTGATAATACAAAATTGTAAATATATTTGATTAATTTTTTTTAATCAGTCTCATTACTTAATTTAGAGACATCTTCAGATAAATTACGTTTGTCAATGCTAAAACTTAAAAAATATAAAGCTGAAACAATATGGTAGTTAGCTCTAAGAATATAAACGCAGTGTGTAAAAGAAATATTATTTCAAAAGGTACGTATCAATTGCAGCAAATTTTCACTGCAACATGTATCAGAAATTTTTACTGTCTGAAACATATTGCGGAGACAAAAATGCGTATCAAATACGGGGCACTTTTGCATGGAAAAAATAATCATAATAATGTTTGTTGGAGTATTAATACATAATTTAGAATCAAAATACGAGCAAATAATATAACACAAAAAAATATATATATATTTATATATAATACTCCAAAGGGCTGGGGATTGGCCATTTATCACCCCCGCCTGAATAGCTAAGGTAAATTCATTAAGTGCATTACTATATCTTACTAGGGCATATTATATACATTACATAAAGAACATGTAGCTGACTATAATAATGCTAACAAAACTTTAAAATATAATAATATTAATAGAGATTTATTCAACCACTTGTAGATTCATTAAACTGTAACTGTAATAGCATTATTTTGAATTCTCTTTTGAAGCTGTGAATGGACGTTAATTTAAAGAAAATTGGGTAATCATTTAGTATACTGGGAGCTATGTAATAGAAACACTTTTTAAATTTTGAGGTAGTGTGGGCTGGTATATTATAACAATATTCATTACGGAGGAACAGCTGATGGAGTGAAGATCTTTTCCCTAATGTGTCAAAAGGATATTTCGATGATTTATATTTTAAAATCCTAAATAGTAGAACAGCACAGAGAAGTAATGAGCGATATTTGAACTTTAAAATTTTCGCTTACATAATATGTACCAGTAATGTGTTCGCGTCTGTTTATCTCATTGAAACAAAATGTTGCAGATATAAAAGTAAATCTGCCAAGCGCATGTTGCAGTCTGTAACATGTTGCGGCACGAGTGCTCGCAAGCTACAGACTCAAGTTCGTCAACACAACATGTCCGGTGCATAATTATATCCCGGCAACTTGTACTGAAAACATACCTAAATATATACAAAAGGATTGATATTTTCTTTAGAACCTACTAACTATTTTTGTACGAATGTTTAGCCCGTTATAATAGTGGTCGCGTGGTTTTAATAAGAGTTGGCTTGTTGGTCTCAGAGCAATATAAGATGTAATCGTTTCTAATTGTAAGTGAATGTCTTTTTAATAGGAAGTTGACATAGTAGTCTCTGTAGGAGGTTGTAAAGAATCGTCTAGAGAAAGCTACAAGAAATTGTTCGAAAAAAATGTTGATGATGTAAGATCTGAAGCACTTCATATGATAGAATTCAACCCTAAGGCTGTATTTTGTATTGCAAAGCCGCCTATTGAAGCATTGGTGCCGATGGTATCTGAGGTAAAGTAATGTATCCGTTATCAGGTAACGACATGCACTATAGATTGCAAGCTTTCAATAATGCGGTAAAAATCATGATGGGCTCTAAAAGCTTAAGGAAAACATTTAGAGACTTCCCTCACAGGGATTCCATAGCCGAATTCACCTATTGAGATTTATGGTAGCTCTCAGACATGACATCTCGATAACTCGATATCCAACCATGTTCTGAGTTTTGGCGTCCAAAAACGATCAGAGATGAAATGAGATATGCCAGCGTCCTTAATGAGAATTTGTCACAGCTAAGTTTCTCTCCACTACGCAATAATTAGAAATCTACCTTGAAAAGGTTGTTGTCCCATAGATGGAACTGTAGCCAACTATATGAATATATCTCATTTCATATCTGATAATTTTTGGATACCTAAATACAGTACATAGTTGGCTAACTTCAGGTAGAATACGTTAATTAATGGCTACGGACGCCAACGACGTCGACATGGCGCGCAGTGGGCTGAAATCCTGATGTTGTGGCCAAAAGTAAAAAAAACAAAAATGACAATATTTTGAAACCGTAGTGTATTGGCCTTTGCAAAATGGGCCAAATTTTGTCTGCAGAAATACGTTTGATTCATTTATTTATGATCTCTTTAGCTGTTTTATCAAAAAAATGTTTAGCGGTCCACAGGGACCGCGGTGGCGTGGCGGGAAACATATGGCCTAGCACGTCACGGCGGTCCGATTTGACTTTTTCGTTCCAGTTTTACTTGCACAAATCAATTTATTGCTCACCATGGCAGAGTAGACGTTGATGCTCTGGTTGATAGTAGTTGCTTCCAGTTAGTGCCTTTTATAAAATGAGTTAACGTGCCAAACGTTTGGTTCAACTTGCAAGAAACCTTTCCGCGAAGTATAGTAGGCTAAAGAAAAATATTACATCGGCGACATTATAAAATAAAATTTTTTCAGACTCCAGTTCGTCTTCAGAATCGCTGAACGATCCATTACAGTGTTCCGTTCCGACTTTTGCCTTGACTGCTTCGGAACAAGTCATAAATAAATGAAATTATCTTATATTTTGTATCCTATATCATAACTTATTTTATAATGTATATATATACGTATATAAAACAGGAAAATAATGGACAAAATCCGCAAAAAGAAGGAAATCACACACGAAGTCCACAACAAGAGCCAACCTACACATTGTAGTATAAAATGGCTAGAAGACCTCGATCATGCGGAGACATGTATATAACAAAAAATAGGAAAATAATGCCCATGATACGTATCGCTCGGGTTACCTATCCTATTTTCTGCTCGAATACACTTTCCTTCTTTTTGAGAATTTTCCCCATTATTTTCTATATTTTGTTATATACCTTTCTCCGCATGATCATTTTCTCTTTGTAGATCCTTTGGGCTTGAAGTACCACAGCAAGTGGCTATAAGCGGCCGCGTGGTTGTGGTTAGATGTAGCCTTGAAAATTCGAGGTCTTCTAGCCATTTTATACTGCAATGTGTAGGTTGGCTCTTGTTGTGGACTTCGTGTGTGATTTTTTTCTCTTCCCATCTTCGTTTCCTCAGGTTACACCCGTATCCGGATGTATATCCCATGTGTATGAAAATTATCATATCTAGCCTAGCTACAGTAGCTATTTACTTGACCCCCGTCCATTTTTAATCGTCTTCCAGACAACTTGCCAACATACAGTTCGATTTTCAAACTTCAAGAAAAAACATGATTTGCTTATAAAAATATACCCATTTGTGTTTCGAAATGTAAACTTTATTTTTTTATAGGCTGTCTTCTGATTCTAGAAATTTTACTGTTTGATCTTCCTTTTATCTAAAAGTCACAACAATAAATGAAAAAATATGACATTTTTTTTTCTAGAGGAGTGTAATTATGTGTTATTCTGAAACTAGCCAAGAATTTGACGTATATGTTTACCGAATTTACTCTTATATTTAAATATATTATTTAATTTTTTTTATAAATTTTGCGTGTTCTATAAAATGGTTCTAAAATTGTTATTTGCTTGTTCTTAATTATTGACCATGAAAAAATTAATTTGTGACGAAGAGTAGATATCCATTTTTTACAGATCATGCTACCCTCAACAGTATACATATCTATAGATTGCATATTTAGGGCATTCATATTTTTAGGCACCTTGAGTTAACTGTATTGAAGTATCGGAGACTTCATTTAAGTAATCGTTGAAAACTAAAAATTTAAATAACGGAATTTCCAGCAATTTAAACAAAACATGCCTACCCCATAGGGTAGGCCACCCCACACTAAAGGTAGGACTATCGGTTATGGGACGAAAAAGCTTTGCCGTATGTACTAAAAGAAAACCGAAAAATATATAAAAACCACCTCTAAGAATTTTGGCGGCAAAATTGGGATTTCGTCCCATTGTGGCGTTCCAGTGAGGGATGGCGCTTCATGTAACATCTGAAACTTACCCTAGGGTTGCCGCGCTGATTAATCTCCATGTTATGCAAATATATATAAATATATATATACCAAATGAAGTCACATATGTTGGAGTAATAGCTTACTGACGTTTCGATCACCTCGGAGGTCTTTTCCAAAGTACAACATTTTATTCTTTCGTAAACTATCACTTTAACAACTGTGATTTTATTTGGCTATCAGCAGAACATTGAGGTTTTTTAAAAGCCTATAAAGCTATGTACAGATATGTAACAGCACCGCGAACCGAACCACGCGACGAACCGCAGCGTGCGCATTTTGACGAACAACATTGCAACGAGCATCACCACAAACCGAACCACGTCGTGCAACCACATCGCGCAACAAAATGACGATCCAATTTTGATGTTTGTCGTTCAGTGAAAGACATCATTTTTTAATTTATTGTAATTCAGGGTATATTTTGCATCCCACAACGATTCCCCTGCTCTGTAATGCTCTATAAGCAAAAGAGTTTTCTCCACCGATATCGCTGTCCAAACATGTACAACGTCGCGAGCCTTTCTTTTGATGTTACGCTGAAAAACTGACAGTCTGGATCGGGCCGAACGGCGAGCTGTAACGCTTATCAGGTTCGCGACGGCGTTTTTTCACAATGACGAGACGATGGTAACAAACGCAGTTATATACCAATAGATCAGCACACGGTTGCAACAATTTGATAGCAAAATTGGACCAAAAATACGAAAACAAGATACAAAATGGATAGCTGCCATCACAGTGCAAGAAAGACTTGCAATCACGGTGCGATTTTTAGCGACCGTTGATTCATATAGTAGTTTGCAATACATGTTTCGAATTTCTAAGCAATCGATCAGCTACATCATTCCAGAAGTTTATGAGGCATTGATCGAAGTTTTAAAGGAAAATGTACAAGTAATAAAAATAATTCTTTTACTTCTAAGTACTCGTACATTACAAAATAACACATTGGTGCACGCCGCACCGGTGTGACTGTCCAAACGTGCAACTTCGTCGCGAGCCATTCCTTTGATGTTGCGCTGAAAAACCGACGGAGCCTGGATCGGGCCGAACGGAGAGCCGTAACGCTAATCAGGCACGCGACGGCGTTCTTTTCACCGTCTACACTAGCGCGGCGCGGTTCGTCGTGTGGTTCGGTTCGCGGTGTTGTTACATATCTGTACATAGCTTTAGAATAAATTTCCATCAGCAAAAATATACTAAATATGCAACATTCACAGGACTCACTGCGTCCAATTTTCAAGGAATGTGCCATGTGCAAGTTTTCGTAATGTATAGCTAAACATTTTTTATATAGGAGTTTAGGAAGGCAGGTGTATATGATAGCAGAAAAATAATTGGCATTACCTCAGTGGGATCCATGAGAGCTAACTATCACATAGCCAATGTTACAGGACAAAGAGCCGCAGATGTGATATGTCCAATCGTAGGAGGACTTAGCACAAACTGTCTAGTCGCTGTATTGTCACAAACAAAGCCTAAAACAACCAGCCCGGTAATACATATGTTTTTATTAATTTTTCATCATCAAATTGATATACAATAGCTGTGGCTATAGTATTGGTAGTACATAATTATTTTTGGTTTACGATCTATTGCTTTAGATTAGAATTAGAACGTTTTATAATTGCTAATGCAATATTTTCAATTCCAGCAAATAATACCAACAGTTCAAAAATTAATTGGTGAAAGCGAAGATGACGTCCTAAAATTGTACGCTGACTGTCATACAGTGTGCTTAAGCCCAGCCTTAGCTGTGGCAAGATTTGTGAACACAATGTTGAAAGCTCTCCGTGGAGATACCAATTGTGTTGATTGTGCTTTTGTTGCTCAAACGGGTCATATTGGACAGTTTTTGCCTTATATGACATCAATAGTAAGGCTAGGTTAGTAAATTACAGATGTTTTCTGAAACAGACATCCACTGGACAAAAAGGTTGAAGTTATGTAACAACGATGGTGGACTATACTCTATACCAGTGGTCGCCCATTACGTTCTGCAACCAGAACGGAAAAACTGAAACAATTAAAAAAACAGTTAATTGGACAACAGACAATGTATTTCAAAAACAATTGATAACAGTAAAGCTGCAACTGAAGCATCATACCGGGTGTCCCAGATAATTACACAAAAGAAGAAACCTTATGAAGACGGGGAAATGATAAAACAGGCGTTTTTAGAAGCTGCAGATTCATTATTTACCAACTTTAGAAATAAGGACGAGATAGTGTCTGCTATAAAATCTATGCAACTTTCTGCTAATACAGTGATGAGACGAGTAGAAGTAATGAGCAATGATATAGTTTTACATTTAATAAACGGCTTCGATAACTGTGCTTATTTTTCACTGCAGCTGGATGAATCCACAGATGTCGTTGACACCCCACAGATGGTTTTTAGTCATTTTACTAAACGGACAGACTACTGGGCATGAGTTGTTTTCTTCTTTTAAAAATATCATTTCTTCTGAGAAAATTCCAATATCGAAAATGGTAGGCTTGACAACCGATGGCGCTCCAGCTATGGTGGGTCGTGATAAGGGTCTCGTGGGGCTATGTCGTAAATATGAAAGTTGACTGTCAATACGGGGAACTACTTCTTCACTCTGAAGTCCGATGGTTAGGTAGGGGACGAGTGCTGAAACGTTTTAATGATATCATATCTGCCATAGTTCAATTTTTCAAACGACGTGATTAACCGATTCCGGAACTGGAAAATTCAATCTGGCTTAGAGATTTTGGTTTTCTTGTGGATATTACAGAAAAATTAAATGAACTTAATTTATAGCTTCAGGGAAGAGACAAAGAACTAGCAGAAATTATCTCTGATGTAAAAGCGTTTATCAAAAAGCTTGAGTTTTCTGAACAAAACTTAATCTATGGCGATACCAGGCATTTCCCTGTTCTTTTAGAAAAGATATCTCAAAGTCCATTAGAACCATATGACAGTAAACATCATGTAGAAATAGTCTCTAACTTGAAGGATAACTTCAAAAATCGGTTCAAGGATTTCAACGACATTGGTACAGTGGCGCAAATTGTTGTTTCACCCTTCATAGAAATTGATATCCAACAGTTTGCAACTTCTGTTACGCAGAATTTTAGCAAAGACATCGCTGCGACAGAAATGTAAGTAATTGCGTTCCAAAACGATTCAGCTTTAAAATCATTAGTCTCAAATACAAAATGTATCTGGCCTTCAGGGTAAAGATAAATATTCAGTTTTATGTCGTGTTGCCTTGAAAGTGAAAGCGTTATTTAGTTCAACCTACTTGTGTGAATATGAAGTTTATTAAAAACAAATACCGTAATCGACTCACAGATGAAGATTTGGATAATTGTATTCAAAAGGCGGTGTCAAATTATACTCCAAACATTGTGAGTCTGAGAGTGTCAGGCTTCTCATTTTTTATCTGGACATGTTTTTGTTTAAAATAGTGCATTGCTTTTTTATTTTTAGTTACCTTTATTTAATCGTATTTGACATGCCATTGTAGCTGTCGAAAATTTTTGTTTATTTTTCAAACACCTACGATTAGTAGGAATGGATGTATGTATTAGTTATCAGTTTTTTTAAGTTTATTAGTATTAGTAAAATAAACAGATGTATTTCGCACACAACTGTGTATAATTTCATTTAAGTTGGCTTACATTGCTTACGACCAGGTGTTTATTCCAAAATTATCAAAGTAGCTCAACACACTGAAAAGGTTGGCGACCACTGCTCTATACTATATAAATCTACACTTATTGAGTGCACAAGATGTTTAAATAGCAGGGTCTCATATTAGGGTATGCAACACAGAGCGTTTCATAGAAGTTACATGACGCATCTTATTGGATTTAGAAAATAATTCAAAGTAGGGGCACCATCTTTACGTAAAATATGCAATGCAACTAACACTAATCGTAGGTGTTAAGCGTAATACAACACGAAGCTAGGATAGCCAATCTGCGGCGAACGACCATCTGTGAAGGATTTTTATTTTGGCTACAGCAGAGAGCTCTCAGAATATAGGGCGGCATGGTGCTATAACAACCATGAAGGCAAATGGTATATGATTTTGTGACCGTATTTAATTTCAATAAGGCTGCTACCTCTAGGGGCACAGTGTCACAAAGTCTATCTTAGCACCAGATGAACAAAGAAAAATATGGCACAGGTATTCTAGAGCCTAAAGTAACCAGCTCGCTTAGTTCTTACAAGCTACAGATAGCTCCAATATGTAGTACGAATCGTATCTAAGAATGTAAATATCACCAGTATACACAAGAGCCGAACATGTATAATGATTTACGTACAGGAGAAAACCCAATTTATCTGACTTCTTGAGTTCCAGGTGTACGAGAGAGAAGTGTGTATCAACACATGTTATAAAGAGATAGAAGCCGGCTAAAGAGCGGATGCCATCACTACATTACCTAGCAACGGTGGCGCAGAAGATCGTACAATCTGCCGCGTTGCCAATATGTTACACCAGAAAATGTTCGCACCGATCCAGAGGCGATACTAAAGGGATTCGACACAATTCAAATATGTGTATGCGCAAAATAACAACATTATTTGGGCGTAGAGAATAAACTAACTTATATTTCAACATTTATCTGAAATCAAGGAACTGGTGTAATATATTAGCAACGCGGCAAATTGCCGCGTCAGCGTTGCTAGGCAACGCAGTGATGAGCTTCGCTATACAGTCGGCTTCTATCTCTTTCGAACATCTGTCTATACACACTTCTCACTCGTACACTCGAGCCGTCAGACAAATTTTGTTCTCAGTGTGTTCATTCTATTAAAAACATTTAAAAGACCCTTATTTTTAGGACGATATGGAATTATGTCCAGCCATATGCCAAAAATAAGCGGAGATGAGGCGCACAGACTGAAAAAAGCAGCTGTTATTATTAAAGATCTAATCAAAATGGGAGAATCATTCGTCACAGGAGAGATTCTGGACGATAGCATTCAACAAAATGGGTCTGCACAAAAACTTCAAGAAGCTGCACAAGCTCAAGCGACGGCGGCATCTGCTTTTGGAAAAGTCCAGTCGCAACAGACATCCGGTTAAAAACGCAGGTTTATAGTAGAAAGTGAACAACAATATTGTCGCCCCAGTTATTCTAAGTCAACTGTTATTAATTTCTCAGTAAAATATGTTCTGTAAGATAGATCTCTCAAACACCACTTTCGTTGATAGTAATACGCTAAACACATCGCGCTTTTCACGTCTATCTATCTAGTAAGAGTTATATTCATTGCAGTTCAATTTATATGAAGGACAATGGTAAAAATGCGCCTGCATTTGTGTGCTGTAAAGACCGACATGCATAGGTACTCCAAATGGCTTGACATTACATCATTCCATTTTCCTGATGCTCTGAAACTGTAAAGTATCAATTTTACACTGGATTTTGTATTCCATCTGGCACTTTATATTGTAACTAACTTTTTGTTTTTGGTTGCATATGATGATGCTATTGTGAATGGGGAGCTTTTTGTGGTCATAATTTCGAGCAACACAGGCATCTTCTTCATTATACAAACCATCCAAAAATATATTATGGGTTCCAAAATTCGTATGTCTAAATAAAGTGGATACACTTTTATCTTGGGATCAATTAAAAACATGAGTAATAAGTGCATACATATCATTTATTCACTTATTCAACAAAACTAAATACGATCATATATTCAATAAAAATGTGTCAGTTTGTTACCTAAAAATACGTAAATGAGAAGACAAATGAATATGTCACTATATACAAAAAAGTTTTTAGTTGTGTATGCATATATTTATAACTTAATCTTGTCAGCGAGTGAGCATGACAGCCCAGTACCATCAGGCTCAACTTGTAGTTGTGTCACTTTACCATTTTCAGCAACCAAGGAGTACCTGAAACAAATAAATGTTGGTTTATCTGCAACTGGAAAAATTGAAAGAGGATGAAAGCATTGATGTCCATATTTCACGACATCATAAGAGACATGATTTCTAAATCTTATGTACAAACACAAGGTTGTCACACTTTTTTTGAAAGTAGTAATGTATAAATTTTTTACTAAACCAGACTAAGTTTTGAGCAATAATCAAATGCTCCTAGAATTAGAATAAGCCTAGAGTAATAATAAAATGCTCCTAGAATGAAAAACTTTCCATTCTTATATGTTTTAAAATAGTTACAAAAAATGTTGACCAAAACCCATAAGATGAATGGATAAAATAATACTATACCTTTTGCTCCTGGTTCCACCCAAGGGAGCAATATCTACAGTCAAATCAAGCTCTTTAGCAAGAGTTGCTGAAGGGTCTGCAAGCATTCTCACTTTACCAGCTGTATTTTGGTCTTTTCCCCAAGCTGCCATAACAAATGGATCATTCACAGAGACACAAATAATTTCTCCAACTCCCTGTTTCTTCAGCTCATCAGCTTTGCTAACATAGCCAGGTAAATGTGTCTACAAAAAAAATGAGGAGAGTTTAAGATGGATTCAAACAAAATTCTTGAACATTGTAGCAATTATTACTTTTTAAGAGATTCAGAGATTGCTAAAATAGGACCCATAATGAACACATGGAAATGCATTTTTTACTATTTATTACAATTAAGCAGCAAGCATATTTACTTATTTACTTTTTTTTAATGTTGAAGGTAATTACTGAATGTACACCTTTTATTGCATAATAATTTTGTTGGTGCATGTGGTGTAGAATTATAAAGATATTTAAAAGACTTCCATGCAGATTGTTTCCTGTATTGAAATAATGTAATAATGAAGTAATTAACCGTTCATTCATTCAAGGTTAAAACAATCTTACCTTGGAGCAGCCAGGAGTGAAAGCACCTGGTACACCAAATAAAATAACTTTTTTCCCAGCAGCCAATTGAGCCAGATTAACCTTGTTTGTTGGATTGTCTTCATACAGATCAACATTTGGAAGACTGTCTCCTACCTATTTATAAATAAATTAATGATAAGAACATTTAAGAGTCGCAATATAAAGATGATAATTAGCAGTAGGTATTAGTACAAACAATTTTCCCAAACACAAATTTTCTCTGCTCCAGGGCCCCTGAAGCTGTGTTTTAAGGCAAAAGCCATAGGACAGCTGCTTCATACTTTTGACATTGGACATTCGGATTTATTGCCATTTACATTCTGGGCATTTATTTAAGAATCTTAACCAATAAGCATGCAGTATGAAGCCCATTACTTGAACAATATGCAGCATTACTTAACTGTTACAAGCATGTGTAATGTAAAAAAACACAACTTATGCATAATGCCAAAATCTACAGATTGCATGTTTTGATCAGTATCAGCCATTTGTACCAGGATTTATCAAGGACACTACAGAGATTCCAGAACTTCTTTGCTTTTTGATTTAACAACACAAATCTATCCGATAAGACAATCTTACTATGTATTATATAATGATCTTAAAGAGTAGTTTACTTACCTTAACCATTTTCACTGATGTAAAATGTAAAAACCTCTGGGACAATGAACTGACCGGCTTCCTTGCTTGTGACCTTACAATTGCGTGAAAGTACATTTTACTTTTAGTTTTATATCAGATTTTTTTCACCGTTACGACCTGCGCTGTGTTGTATAGGTTTGCGGCTCGTAAAGTTTTGCACGGCGATTATCAATTTAACCTTGAATTTAATTTCTTGTGTGTTTTCGGAAGCACTGAATTTTTCGACAATTAAATTACAATACACTATACTATAGAATTTTTTGACAATACGTTCAATTCAATTTATGGTAATAAAATAGAAAAATTGGTTAACCACCTCAAAACAAACAAATGTCAAAATGTCTATTTTTGGGTAAAAAGAGCAGGGTGGATTATGGTGCGCATACACGTTTAAAGAGTTTCCAAGCTTTACATACACCCAACGAATTCGAATACGTAGAAGACGTAAACAAAGGATTTGTTTTTATCAATCATCTAGAGCGACACACAAACTCGACTGGCTACCAGTTTTCTGCGGTGTTCATTTTGTTCAAAATCAACAACTGCCTTCACGCAATCGATTGATGATGCACTAAACAGTGCAAAAATAATCGTAAAATGTTATACGTGATGATAACAAAATAAAGAGTATTAATTTGTCTCCAAAATGTTGTATTTTCGAATAGAACAACTCATGTGTATGTACAGTTATAAATTGTTTGTAACACCTGCACCGAAAAGAAAGTCTTTGGTTCAGTCCCCTAATATATTTCATATCGTAATGTTTCCACAAACGGATGCAGTGTCATCATAGCTTCAAAACCTACGAATTTCACGGAACTCGCAGAAATTAAAACATAATTTTTCAAAAAAAAAAAACATCACAGCGATTCCCGAAAACGTCTTGAGCTATTCTTATTCTGGTTTCATACTCAGCATTTCAAAATACATCTGAATTAAGCACCGAAGACAATTAAGAAATATGAATTGTTATATCCCGGTCATATTTCCTGAAAAACTAATATTTGCGTACTAAACGTGGCAACGCTGTGGTGGCAAATTGAGAACAGCTCGGCTGATTTCTGGTGTTTTATGCTGGGGCTTTGTGTTTGTGCAATTGAGGGGAAGCTTTATTTTTCTCATGTTGTCATGTTTACGTGATATTTTCACATAGTTTTGAGGATTTTGAAACATTTCAGTGCAATATATAGCATTTTGGACTATTTTCGAAGATGGTGAAGTGTTACATGTTATGTAAAAAGCAGTTTAAGCGCGATAAGCGGGGAAAAGTATACAACTTTCGATCAAGGTCAAATTTTGTGTAAACAATAATCTGTTGATGTTGCTAACAAACAATCGTTTTAAGATCATATGGGCTTAGCTTCCTAGCTAACCTAGTACGAATTCATTTTATAAATAACTCGGCTTTCGAGGATTGATGAGAGGGAGACATAATCAATATGATATCCCCTTAATATGTGTGAAGCGTGCATTTCACCGACTTCCAAAACTATTTTGATTTGTGTAAATGTTATTGCTGTTATCTTAATGGGCATAGCCAGGGGGGGGGGGAGGAGTTGGGCGTTCAACACCCCCCAAAAATGTATAAAAAATATTTTTCCTAAACTATTTAAAACTATAATTAATGGTCTATTTGAGCTACTCCGTTGGAGACAAGTATGAGTAGTCAAGATACTACATTACATTACAAAGAGGAGAGACGAGGAGTAAAGATGGCTACGTTAGAATATTTAAAATTGAGGCGCGCTCGCCGTTATCCGACTTCAATCTAACCATAACAAAGAAACAGCACAAAAAGCAGTCCAATAATTGCTTTATACACTTCGATCTTCAAATTTTATGATGTGCTTGTTGATTCTTCAAAAAGTAATGAGCTATATATACATTGTCGCTGTCTAAACATCTGCAAGCAATCAACACTGACCTCATCACAGCATTCAGCCACGTGGACAGTGTTATTAATGCTTTGCAACTTTTGAGGAATAAAACTAACGACTAGTATCCCCATCTATATGAAGAAGCTAGCACGAAATGGTGGTACAAGGGGGTTGGCGCGCATCGTCGGAAAACAGTTGAACCGCTCTAATACTTCTGCACCGGATACATGTACTTATTTCAAAATAAATTTATTCATTCCATTCCTTAAACATAAAATTCAGAAATTGACTGAAAGGTTTACGAAGCACCGTAAAGTGATATCAGTACTATCTGGTGTGTTACCTACGAATTTTGCGGCCAATTCTGAAATCGAAGCGGCAATTGAAATGTACTCATCAGTGCTGCCTTTATTAAAGCGGAATATGAAGTATGGAAAGCAGTTATGACAAGCACCTTTACAGAATGCACCACTCCAAAATCTGCATTGGAGTGCCTAGATAAGTGCAATCAAAAACTATATCCAAATGTCTACACACTGCTACAAATTTTGGCTACCATAACTGTTTCCACTGTTTCCTCCAGAAAGGTCTTTTTCAAGCCTAAGGAGACTGAAAAACTATTTGCGCAACACCGTTGTGGAAAAGTGAAAACAGACTGAACGGCTTGGCCCTTATAACACTCACTATGAGACTGAAATTGAAGCCGACGAAGTAGTGGATATATTTAAAAAGAAAAACAGAAAATTAATTTTATAATATTAAACTGGATCAAAAACTTCGAGGTAGATAATGGCAGGCAAGTGGATGGAACAGCGCGTGCTCTCTGAAATACATTTTCCTTTTTTTTTAATAAATAAGATAGTCATGTGGTGCATGTTTTTGTCATTTTATATTTAAACCCCCCGAAACTGAAACCTGACTACGCCCATGGTTATCTCTACTACCGCCAAATTTAATTCGTTTATTTTATACAGGGTATCCAGAAGTCGACGTCAAACCGGAAACGTGGGATAGGCCCGTCATAATAGTTATAAATAAAAATCTGATTCGTGTATTTTTCAAACTACCGGTTTTGAAAAAAGCGGAAAAATCTACACCCTGAGATGATTTTTTAGTTCCCATTACTATGAATTTCAATTTTTTCTTAGACAGCAGTGACAGCAAGACAGATAGTAACGCCACTTTTGTTTATTATTCGAAAATGTATTTATAAAAATCATTCCATCGACACACGCCTGCGAAATTATATTTTATATTCCATAATATACCCGATAAAACCTTAGATGAAGTTCTTATCAAAAAACAACTGATAAAGTGCAATAGTCGGTTGAGTATTCACAAAAGACTGTATCGTTTCTGTACCTGATAAGATAAACATCGAGATCAGAGTAACTGGCCCATACTGTGGGCCATTCTTGTAACAGAATTATGGGAGAATCACTTGTGAATATTAAAAAAATATTTTCAGAAGGCAAACTATTACAGATATATTGGTATATTGATATTGTCCGCGGTCTTGGTTATATACAGAGTCATTGATTCGCCTTTGCGGATGTGATCAGATACTCCTAGCATGTTCATTTTCTATGAAGGCACGGCATTGTAGGACTATATGCGGGTGCCACACGATGCTTCCAACGTTGTTTACAACGTGTTCGACACCCCACAATTGGCAAGTGAGTCTCCTACGCGATGGGATTAACTTTTTAGTCTCGGACGTTCGACGCATTGTGGTGCCATCGTCCATTATCGGTGCCAGTGTCGCGCTTGACCTTTACAACTAAACGAAAAATTATACAAAATGAACGATGAAACAATAATTGCAGCGTCTATTGCTGTCGGCATGAGTTGTGTACCCTCTTAAAGTTTTGAAATACATATTGAATAAATAGATGAGAATCAACATAGAAAAACTATTGTATGCAACTCGTACCAAAAGTGTCTATATCACACTTGAAGGGTTTTCCAATAATATTTTACAACTCGTGCAATATATACTTTTTGCACATGTTGCATAAATAATCATTGCTCTCAGGTACAGATGTATTTTTCCTTTATACCAAAATCCAATGTCTACAGGTAGGATTCCACTGAGGCAGCAGTGAACGACATGTGGCATGCTACTTGTTTCCTAGTGTTGCCTCTTGTTGACGTTCGACAGTGTTACCCAAAATTCTATGCCGCATGCGGATTTTGTTCCCGTATGTGGCATGCGCTTTGACGTAAACCGATCCCACACTATGTGGCGAATGCCTTACAACGTTGGACACATGACCATTCGCGACATCGTGTGGGAGAGCGCTGACGGATTACATGTGTCCAACGTCGTAAATTTGACCCGCATCAAAGGACGTTACAACGTTGGAAGCATAGTTCGTTACTCTCCCACACGAGATGTCATGTGTTTGATTGTTTAAGGTTAGAACCAGTAGCGGCGATAAACATTATTCACTTGTTTGCTGTGATTGCGGTGAAGTAGTGGTATGTGGGAAGTATTTGTATTTGAATACCTACCTTTTCATAATAATGTATGATTCGTAACTAACTTTTGACGAGCATGAATAAAATTAGTAAACATACAAAGCATAGGCTGACATAACAACCTTTTTTTTCATATTCCTAATATTTTATACTTTTCGTAGGAGAGTAATGGCTGACCTAAGTATATGTATTTTAGTAAATTATAAATTATCGAGTGCTTACAGTTGTTCTATTATAATGCCCTGTTACAATGCAAGACTAGTTGAGAAATATATTGACTTGCATTTCATAACTAACGAATACGATTAAATAGATTATAACTCTGAAAGTACTATCAGGATTTTGATGAAAGTTGGACCCTAGGTTATTACTTTGAAAATAACGAAATAGCGCTGCAGTTTTTGAAAATCGGTACAGTGTCGGCGGAGTTATCGTCGAAAAACAAGCAAAAAACGGTCAAACTTCGTTTTTCCACATTTCTAAGGCTTCTGACAGACTCAAGTTTTGGTCGCTGAAGACAGGTCTGAAATTATTATATATTATATAAATTGTTTCATGGTTCATTTTGTATAATTTTTCCTTCAGTTGTAAAGGTTCAAGCGCGATACTGACACCGATAATAGACATTGGCGCCACCATGCGTTGAACGTCCGAGACTAAAAAGTTCATCCCATCGTGTAGGAGACACACTTGCCAATTGTGGGGTGTCGTTGTATACAACGTTGGAAGCATCGTGTGGTACAGGAGTGTAGCATGCGTCTTCACGATACAATTCATGCAACTTCAGTTTAGTACGTCATGTCATTACAAACAGTCGCGGCGGCTGCTTATTTAAGAGATCTTTTTCGCGAGATCCCGTAGTGAACAAGAGCGGGAACAGATGGAATTTCCCCTTCCTCTCGAAGCTTTGACAGTTTTAAGTTACACCGGGAGTAGTTAGATGGCGCAAGCTGCGCAAAATGTTTGCTTTAAGCTCCTTGATAAACTTAGCAGCCTTGTTTGAATCTGAAATAAAATGTACATATATATCAATAAAAGCAATCATTTGATATGTCAAGTGCGGTTCATATATCTTCGATGACCTTCTCCCTCGTCATTTAAAATCAGGTGGACGTGTTCCTCCATTTATGATTTAATAATTTAACTCAACTTTCGGCACTGCGAAGACAAATTTTCAATTGAGATGCCTGTTTTTTAAATGAAATTGACGTAAGACCTGTCACCCGCTAGTACCTCACAGACGTTAGGCGGGTAGCCGTACCACGTGATTTTTTGACATTCGGACGACGTCACATCCGTCTTCCCCTATTCCCGTTCTTCGCGAAAATTTGAGTATCGGTTCCCGGTAGTGCACTGTGCTACACCATGGACTCGAGAAAAAATCCTTCTAGTAATTTTGGGTCGGAAAAGAAAAACGCCAGAATATTGGAGAAGAAATATATACCCCCTTCTTGCAGGGCGATGATCCACTCTTTTTTTCACGAAATTTTTTTCGTTCCCGATAGAACGCCATAGACAAAGTGTGTTAATGTTTGTTTAATTTCCAATATCGAACAGTTGTATTTTCCTATCTAAAGAAATTAACCATTAATAAATAAGCCAACCATTTTTGCCACATCATCGTACAAGGCCTGCCATAATTATATTTACCCGACAATTCCCGCAATGTATCCTGCTTTAGGCGCGCATCTTTATATCTTTCCGATTTGTTATTCCATAATTCACCCGAATCATGGTAATTTCCAATTAAACATAATGTTTTCTCATTGCTCCGCTCCATTTTGTCGCCTGCTCCAAAACGGTTTAGATATCCGGCGACACTGAACAACACATGGATTCATGTCGCTGACGGCGCTCTCGAAAGGCAACAACGGGCAACATGTGGCATATGCGACAAGGAGAAATGTTTTTTGTCGTTTTGTGTTGACCCTATGGAAAGACAGTGTGCCGGATGCATCAATGCCGCATACTACATATTGCCCAAAGGTTGCCTCAGTGGAATTGCGCCTTGAGACATGACAACGTTACACGGAATAATAAACTCCATGATGTTTTTCCAGTTTTCTGGGAAACAGTTTTCGAGCGCCGAAAAATAATTTCAGATTTGTCTTCAGCGAGCAAAACTTAAGTCTGACATAAGGCTCAGAAATGCCGAAAAACGAAGTTTGACCATTTTTTGTTTATTTTTCGACGATAACTCCGCCGCCACTGTACCGATTTTCAAAAACTGCAGAGCTTTTTCGTCATTTGCATGGTAGTAACCTAGGGCCAAAATTTCATCAAAATCCTGAAAGTACTTTATTTATTTTTTATTCATTCGTTAGGAAATGCAAGTCAATATATTTCTCAAATAGTCTTGCATTGCAACAGGATATTATAATGAAATAACTGTAAGCAATTGATAATTTATAGTTTACTAAAATGCATATCCTTAGGCCAGCCATAACTTACCTGCGAAATGTACAAAATATTAGCGATATGAAAAAAGTGTTGTTATGACAGCCTATGCTTTGTATGTTTACTAATTTAATTAATTTCTCCTCAAAAGTTAGTTACGGAACATACATTATTATGAACAGGTAGGTATTCAAATCAAAATACCTCTATTAACCACAATCACAGCAAACAAGTAAATAATGTTTTTCGCCGCTACTGGTTCTAACTTAAAACCATCAAACACATGACATCTCGTGTGATAGCGTAACGAACCATGCTTCTCACGTTGTAACGTCCTTTGACGCGGGTCAAATTTACTGACAAGAGCCATGTAATGATTACAGTAAACACAAAGATATTATCGAACGTAATAAAAGTATATTGAACACTGGCCACAAAATATACATATAAAGATCATAAAAATGTGCCATTCGGATTAATATACAAATACAGAGGTAATCACCCCTAGGTCATTATAAAATTGCATTGAGATTAACCACCTCTTTTCATAAAAATATATTGTGCTATTAAAAACCTAAAAAAACTACCGTTCTACAGCTCTTCCACTTCATGGACGTAATATTGATGCTTCTTATGAACCTCAATCAGTTTTCTCATTTTATCTGTATTCATACCACAATCACATTGTTGATGTATAGCCTCAGTCTGGTTCACAATTTCCATATCATCAACAACTTGAACCTGACTGACAGTCTTCCTGGCAAATTCGTTAAAAAGGTGCATGTAGTAACAAAACACATGTTTAGGTGTCAAGTTGTCGTTGACAAACTTCTGCCCATTCTCGGCAATTCTTTTTGCTTCTTGCTCATTGTTAATCGCCCATTTGAGTTTATGAACGAGGTCGCTGAGATCGGCTTTCACTGGAACATAATGGTGATTCGGTTCTAAGGCGGTGTAGAAATGCTCGTAGTATTTTGAGTCGGTCTTGAAAACGAGAGATCCACCTGCTAGAAGGTATGGCATCCGGTACGGTGCTACGGTTCCATCTATCGCCAGTTGGTATTTGTACTGTGAAAAACGATATGTTGATAAAAAGGACTCGCTAGTTGATGGAAATTGAAAAAAGCGCCTCAAGGCCCTGAGTTTAGCAGGCGCTCTACTCTTGAAAACGATGAAATAGAATTAATGAGGGAAAGTGGGCGTGGTTCTTTTCCTGAGGAATGATCCAATTCTGACGTATGTTACACAAGTTTATGAGAATGCACCCATCACTGTCCTGGGTTCTTCATATCATTAAACGTTCCATCACAAAGTCTTTATAGATCGTGTGATGGACGACAGTGGAACTTCCGCACTTTTTCTGCCGAAAATGATTCAAAGAGCGACTCTCCCATCAGCCGTTCAGAAATGCGGTTTCCCGAACGGTAAGAGATCGTGCATTATGGATCTGAAATGTGAGAAATAATAATTATCGCATTTCAGTCCATAAACAATGCAACAAAGCATTTTGGTTTATATGAAAATTGACAGGTATGTGGGTTTTCGCATTTTTGGAAGACTTGTCGCGTTTTCTGGGCGATGGACGAGGATTGCGTGACTGGTACATAAAAAACGACGTAAAACATCATGTTCGCTTGTCGCTTTGGAGGACTGAACGTCCTTTTGTGAACGGGAATGTCTACCCCAGGCAATCCTGGGCGTTGCTGGTTTCATACTTTCATACTATTGTAGTAACATGTCTAGGAATGTGAAAGTGAAATGAAAATCAAACGGTGTATCACCTGGAAGGCAGATGAATAGAATATGTTATCAAAAAAGTGTGTGTGTACTTGAAGGTCACCCTTGGGATCGAAATGTCGTACAATGAAGAAGACTTTTAAATATACAGTAGCGGACAAAAGTTTGGAAACATTCTTAGTAATTTTTAAAAAGTGTGAAATTTTTTTATTCTTTATTATTAAGGGCTATTTTTTTCTCATATAGTTTGCTTACAGTCTTGAGGGCACAAATGACAGTTTGTATTTGCTGTGGTACTACAGACTCGCATTAAAATACCTTCATATTATTTTATGACCAAAAATGAGACGACAAAAGTATAAAAACATATTTTTTATTACAAAACTAAAAACAATAACTCTACAAAAAGATTTAAAAAATACTGTTTAGCTAATATTTGGTAGCGTAGCCTTTATCATACAACACTGCCTGACATCTGCTGCTCATAGAAGACATCAATTTTTTACAGACGTCTGTTGGAATATTCTGCCAAATATTTTTTACGTAATCAAATAAATCATTCCTATTTTTAAAAGTTTTTCTTGTCAGTTGTATTAACATTTTCTCAGAGATGTTCTATAGCGTTTAGGTCCGGGGATTGCGATTGTTGGCAACTGATACTTTTTGTCGAATATTTTTCGTATTGAACGTCTCAAATATACCGTACCGTCTGATCCAAACAAGTTAAATTTGCTTTCATCGTTCCATAACAATTTTAATTTAGATATATGAAATAGTTCATAATAAAGTTATTATTTGTTTCCAAACTATTGTCCGCCTCTTTACGTGATTTGATTGGCCAGATAAACATGAGGGATTATATCAATGTTAGGTTTGAACCAGTGAACCACGTTATGATCAAATTTCACCATCTTTTAACAAACTGAACAAGTTACCATTCTTTTTTTTACTCCAAGTACCACGAAGGCCTAAGGCCTAAGCACCCATGGGGTACCGTGGGGCTATAGGGGGATACAGTGGAAAGCGAGAGACGCCACACGGACTCTAGCGCGGGAACACGTGTGCACGCAGCATGCACACATTCTGGCCCCGCCTACGAGATCCGCCGAGTGGTACCTCCGCGTTCGACAGTCAAAGACCGTCTACCACGTACGGACAATCACAACATCCATGGCCAAGGATAAAATTCTCTTGGGACAAGATTCGAACCCGCGCAGCGCACGCTGACTGATTAGGAGACTGCAGCGTCTACCACTATGCCACCCCTGCTGCCTAAAATTCTTGTCCAAAAGGTACAATATACAATGTAAGTCTCAAGATTAAGCAATATGATGATAGTTGTCACCTATATTACTAAAGGGTACATATTCCCGGGGATATGTAACGCACAGAAATGAAACTACAATACCGTACGCTGGGAATATGTAACGCAACTCACGTAAAACTAGCAAAAATATCATTCGCGTAGTTAACGTGTTAAATGATTTTTACGGTTCTAGTTCATTTTACTCAGAACTACATCTATGCCAATTACTGTCACTCCTGAAATTTATCCTGTGTTCACTTTTCTGGCCGATACATGATGGTCGAGAAAAACTTTGCCGACGTTGTTCACCAAACTGTGGGTGAATATTTTTATACAGGGTGTAAACGTTATGATAGTCATTATTTAAATGGGTGATAGAGGGGGTGAAAAGAAGCAAACAATTTCATATAACATGGGGGTCAAAACGGCATTTTTTTTTGAGAAAAGCGACTTTAAAGTAAAATAAAATCTGACAACGCCGCAATGCCCGACGAAAATTAAGACGCAACGCAGTGTAAATAAAGATGGAGTTTGTTATTTTTGGCTCTTAGGTATTATTTTATTATTTGATAATGTACTCGTAAAATGCAAACAATTCGCGCTTCACCTGGTGTGTGAAAGTTTATTATACGCATTAAAAAATCCACTTATAAATAGGGAACACAATTTTGATACATACATTGTTTTTCTTTTTAAAACCCACACAGCACTTTTTTTTGTATTTAAAGGTGTTCAAAATGTCGTCCTCCACTGTCCACACAATCTTCATTACGACGAACCCAGTTTCGTCTTACTCTAGGTCCTCGAAGTTGTCCATTTATTATTTCAGCCGCATTAAAAAAATTTTTCGACGTACGCGAACAAAAACAAAACAACAAAGCACTGTTACCGTTTGCGATCGATTGCAGGTACGATAAGAGTGATGATGACCGACGCGCTGTTGTCATGTGTGTTTTAAATACTCAATTTAATGAAATCTACTTACTGACTACAAATTTTGGCTCAACTTAGAAAAACTTAGTTCCATTTATTTGTTAATTACCTAATTTAAAAACGTTTTAGATTAGATTATAAAAATTGGTAAGACTGTGGTGATTGTGGTCGATATAAAGCACTTAAAGTTGTAAACTATACAGCCATTTAGATAAAAATCTATTGACTTTTGGTCATATGAACTTTTTGACTTGTTTTGATCCCCCTTATTACCCATTTCAATAATGACTACCATAACGTTTACCCTGTATATACACCGATCCCATGAATTGATTCATTGCTACTAAATTTCTGACACCCTATTAGCAACCATAACCCTGAACCCCCTAGATTATCACCTCTAGAAGAGGTTTAAAGTTCAAAATAAAATGAGCTTATGACAAATCTTGTAGCTTTCAATGGATACCTTAGGAATAAAAATGTTTAACAAGAATACTTACATCGAAAAACTCAAAAAATGACACGTAATCGGCCTTTGGTCCATATTCCTCCTGTTTATCTCTATAGAAAAAGAAGTTAGTCAATGAGGCATTGATGAGATCAGGATTTTCTCTAGAGAGCTTGATAAGATTCAGGCGATGTTTATTCGAGTCTCTTCCTCTCCAAAACAATTTTGGAATACGCTTTTCGAACAAATACTTGGTGTTGCCTTGCACAGAGAAGACGTCTAGTGTAACCCTATAAAAAAGAGGTTCTCAAACGATGATGTATCAAACATTTTTGTGAATCTAGATAATTTTCCATATTCATTCTTAGTTTGCATTCATTGAACCCCTAAATATGTGAAAGTGTCCCTCATTCTACTTGAAGATGCTGAGAAAAAGAGTGTAGATATTGAGTTTATGCAATGTCAAATTTATGTCTAGTAGGGGTTGCCTCTGCACTTCGCATGCAACACTATCATCAGTTCATAAGGGATTGTTTGGCATAAGTTAGCCACTTTCAGAAAAGTCAACTATGAACATGTATAACAAATGAATTAAATAGATCAGGTTCGTCAAATAGGCTTATACAAATTGGTCACCAGTTCCCAGCGATTTGACAAGTGATGGCAACGTCGCTCTAGGAATGGCTACGAGTCAACGGCAAATTTACGGGGAAATATATGGGTGAAATCTGTCAACAGTTCTCACTTCCACAATTTTTTCCCTTCTAATGGATTTTCCGTAGCTCTACCGAGCTTTTTCGTCCTTATAGTAGCCGTATGTGAAAATTTCACCAAAATCCGAGCTGGACTTTCCAAACTATACGTGAATGGGCCAAGGTGATTGGAGGGTGTACTGACAGACCAACAGAAATGAATATTATGGTTTTTTGTGATGTGAATGTCATATAACATCCAAAAAACAGTATCTCATTTTTCGCGATTACAATACTTCCTCGCCAGTGGCTTTTACACTGATCCCTTTGGTTTTTATCCAGAATGTACATTCGAACATAAAACCTTCAATTATTTGAACAATGTCATTCTAAAATATTCACTTTAGCTGCTACTCACCTGCCCATATTTTCAAGTGTAGATTCTGTGAGATCATATGTTGGCATCACAATATCATAACTATCATTACTGCTACACCATGACATAATGGGGTATTTCTCTGGCATATTATGAACAGCTAATGGCCAATCACCAAGATTCACAAATATTTCTAGATCAGGCAACTTCGTTTTCCGAGTTAAAGACAGGAATATGGCATCCATAAACATATTGAATCCAACATATTTGCCATAGCATTTTCTATGGACTCTATTATCTTTTATAATATAGTGACAGAGGCTCACTGAGAGAGGCTTATCAAATGTCTTGATGACCTAGAAAAATATTACATTCATCTTGGTTGCCATTATCATAGGTCTCCTAAGGGATAGAATTTTGGAGTGGAGTTTCCAATTTTAATTATTTTTAATTATCAATTAAATTTTGCTATGGTCAGCTTCTAATGAAACAATACTACCTAGTCATAAAAAAATATAATATCAATGAAAAAAATTTCAATTTCCAGCTGTCAGTAGCTTATTGCAAAATTCAGCATCCTGGGCATTGCTGCCCCATAAAGAAATGGAAAAAAAGCAATTTTTGTGGCAGCTTTTGCTGCCTCTCGTGGCCTGATGCCCTGGCTCATGACCTGTTTGATACTAGGGTAAATATACCACTGGCTAAGGTACAAGAGAAATCCTTGAGACTTTTGTAATACACTGCTTAAAAACATAACCATTTCACAAATAAAAAATAATAGTAAAAATTATTTTTTTCAGAATAAAGGTAAGTTTTAGATATACCTCAGGCCTCAGCTGTGTCCAGTCAATCTTAGGGAAGTGATTCAGCTTCTTCCTTATTAATAATGGAGTACTACCACACTCCCAGGTCTTTATGATATTTTCTAAACTATCTCTTGGACATCTGCATTCATCATTAAAAACAATATCTTTGGAAATGTAGGGTGAAGAACCCACATGCTCTCCTTTATAATAAACTGATATCTTCACATCTATGCACATCACATATATTTTATAGCGTACTATATAAAAACCATCTTTCCTATTAAGTATATTGATCCAACTGCGACAAGGAGTTCCTTGTTCAGTTAAACCATCAATTTTTACCTCTAAGTTCTCTTGAGCAGAATTTGAAATGCTGAAATATGAAGATATAATTTTTATGACAATATATCTGTATGTGAACAATGAACAAGTAAGTACAAGTTGAGACAGTATTTGCATCAAGCCATTGATAAAACTCAATTTTCCAAAGCTAATATATGGTGTCTACATTACAGGACTGTTTTTTCAGGTATATTTTCAAGTGTCAGCATCTTAAATGTCGGAACATTTTTAAAAATAGTTTTTGGTCAAGCTTGGAAATATAGCTCTAACTTTACTAGGCTTCTAGCTTTTCAGAAACTAGTTTTTTGTAATTTGCAAATTCCATGTACTATGATAATAACTTCTTTACCATTGATCACGTTCAGTGCAGGCTAACTGAATGAAAAAATATCTTGCTGGCATTACTATTTTATCAGGCTTCAAACCAGGGCCCCAAATGTTTGTTTCATTGAGATTCACTCCAGAAAGCCCAGGTTGTATGATACAAATACACGCAAAGAATAATGTTAAGTCGTTCATTTTGGTTTTTTAACAAAACTTGGCACTAATTTTTTACATGTTTGGATAATTTTACTCGCTAGGTATGCCAACTAAGAACTTTATAGCGGAAACTAGAAACAATTTTACAATTAATTACATTTTACATAAATTGAAAAAAATTGTAACAATACCCGGCATCCGCAACCCACATTACAGCAAACAAATGACAATGCACAGACAGTCCAGACACGCATGCCACAAGCCACAAGTGGGTTTTGTTTTTCTTTCGTGACACCGTGACAGCTCGATTGTCAAGTTTTGTTTTTGTTATTAGGTTAGGTTGAAACTTTGGGGCCCTTTATGGGATTGATTTTCCCTCTTCTAGTTTAGAATCTAGACTATATACGTACAATATGCACAAATGTTCGCTACTTCTACCAGTATTATTCCTACAAGCACTTTCATACAACTATTCCTCCATAAATTTGCCTGATGAACATCTGCTGTACTTTTTCAGGAATTTGCCCCAACTGACTGAAAGATGCTTAAAAGATAAAGAATGCCTTTTTAAAGAACACCTAAATAAAGATAGGTGTTGGGGATATGAACATGATTGTGAATGGACTAAACAGTATTCAATTCCAGCATGTCCTGGTGACCATAAAGGCTGGGTATGTTTTTCATTAATTTAAATACTCAAAATTTTATTTACAATGACAACAAGGGACTGCAGGTCCGATCAATATATATATATCTATATATATATGATGCTGATAACTATAAGGTGTCATTCTATTTTAAACCTATAAGCTGACCTTACCACAATATAATTACAATAGAACAGTAGAACAGTTATCCCAGCCTAATAACTATTCAGGAAGTAAGACAAAACACCAAACAAATCTAAGTCAAGACCATCAAGCTAAGAAAATTTCCATTAATAAACAATGGCCCAATCACCTTGTTTCCTGAAATTGTTTCCTAAAATGCCTGCCCATACATTAATTTTTTGGCTGTACTGGCTATGCCCTTCTACAAAAGCATGAGGATTAACATTGCTCCAATACCTGCAGTTATCCTTATTAACAAATCCACTTAGATAAAATGTGCATTCATCTCTGAAGCAGATATTCTTTACCTGAATGGTATTATCATTAATCGCTGCAGTCATTTATTCACAATACTTAACCCGCCTATCGAAATCATCTTCGGTTGTCTCTTGCAATAGTTTCATTTTGAATGGATGAAATTTATGGAGTTTAGTAACTGCGTGTACAGAGCATAATGAAATACGAGTCGCAGAAACAATGTTGTGTGATGAAGTATTAGGATTTATTCCAAAATGACCCAAAACTTCAACTTGAGTGGCTTCATTGAAAACTTTCTGATGATCAAGATTTTTATTTGCAACAGATCCAGTAAATTTAGTAACAAGGTCCAAAACATACCTATGCGAAGTTATCTTCCTGGATGTCTGGCGTTAAACGTGACGGCAGTTTGCCGAGCACATTGATTTTGGGCACCATAAATTAGAATCATTTCCACTCTTTCAGATAGTGTGTAAACCATTTTGGAAGTAAAATCTGAATTAACAAATCAATTTTCACTATCCCAAGATGGTCACAAATGTAATTTACAGCAAATTAAATTCTTTATTTCTCTTAGCAACAAATAACTAAACAGGTAAAACAATCAATACAGTTCGCCCAGGATATCTGTGCTGATGAAAAGAATGTGGAAAAAAATTCTTATTGCTATTTGGTTGTTGCCACGTCTAATCTTCCGAACTGCTGTTTACGTTGGTAGTTTCCGTTTTAAATTATAAATTGTTGATTTGGCAAACCCTAACGGGCAACAATTTGAACACTTAATGAAATAAAGAGTGATATTTTCGTGTGTTTTTGTTTTCTATCTGAACAAGTTAAGATAAATAAAGATTTTTCAAATTTCTCGAAAACGAATCGACCGATTTTAAAATATCAATCGTCAAAATAAAGGACTTTGAAATATCTGTAAAATAAGCTATGCAAATGATTTACGCGAATGCAGAGCAGTGCTACCAGGCCTACCGATTTTTCGTTAGATCTATCTATTTTAGTCCTGATCTAATGAATTACCGATTTTAATACCAAAATACTGAATTTTTCTATCCCAAAAGTGATTTGTCTTATACAATTCTGTTGTGAAATAACCGATTAAACCACAAAAACCTCATTCTTCCAAAAATGCTGTTGATTTCTCTATTGCATTTTTATTTTGATACATATTTAGTAAAAAAAATTACAATCAACCGAAAGATGACGCACAATTCTATATCTAATAGATCCTTTGCACCTGTCAACACTAATGCAGAAAATCAGCAATAGCCTCTGGCAAAGGCGAATTTAGGGGGGCGCTCAAGTATGCTATTTTTTTTCAAAAAAATATATTGCTATAAGTGTAAAAATTGCCTTGCTTGACCTAAATCGTGAGACGTGCCCCCACCTTAGACGTATCCTACCCCATTCTCTTCAATTGTCGCAATGGCATTTGCTGCCGCCACCCCCGTCTCGCTCTTCAATTTAAGTCGAACATTTTCCTAAACTGATGCGACGACCACCGCTGTCCCCCCTTCCCTAGACAAATTGCCCTTGCTCTCTGGTTGTGGAATAGTCGACTTTGTGAAATCTTTCTTAGCAATATGTCTCAACTTTTGCTTGTTCTTGTGTTAAAGGTAAAATCAAAATTTGCTCAGCAAACAACTTTTCACACCCAAGCAGATTTTGGCTATGTGAAAGAACAGATCAAAGAAATGAAGATGATGTGTGATCCCCTCTTTCCTGATGACAGCTCATTAGAATGTAGTGAACACTTGAGATTTTGTAGAGCAAGGAACATCATGATGAATTTTACTAAGTTGGCTCACAGAGATGAACCAATTCGCTACAAAATGGATGTTTTGGGTACAGTTAAATAATCAATCTAATTTACTGTTTACCATACCATATAAGACACAATTTGTAGGCACAGTATGTTTGATAAAATGAAACACATTAAAAAATATAATCAAGTTAATATTATTCACGTGTATTGGCCAAAGCTAGAAGAATGGCAGACAATTAACTATATTTGCTTACAGTTATAATAGGTGTAATGTATTTTAATAATTTTGGTATGAGCTTCTTGTTATTGCGTTTAAATTTGGGTTTCAAGATAGGCTTCCAAGAACCTCCAATAAAGTGTAAGAATATTTTGTTAGTTTTGTACCTCATGGATATACATTAGTATGGTTAGGCCAATAACAAAATTCATACCAGCTTTCCTGTATCAAAAAACTGCAACAACCATCTTTTTAGGAGATGGTGATATAGGAGGGTACTGTGAGCTCCACAGAGACAAGCTTCTGAAAGAAGCAGATCATATCAGTCCATTACAAAGCTGGGGACCAGAACTGAGGTACTTTACTAAGCTCAAACGTAGGCCTATAGTACAAGGAGACTGTGATGTAGTTGTAGAGAAACCAACATTTGTGATGAAGATAGATGCCAGTATGTATCCCTAGTATAATATACTCAGTGACATTAGAAGTGTTACACCCAGAAAAAATTATTTCTTCTACTTCTTTGACAACATAATGACTATATTTAAAGCATGCTGTGGCAACAATGTCAACGTTTTATCTTTGTTTTTGTTTACATTTGCTAAAATGTCATCTCTTAGTTCTTGTGAAGAAAGTAGTTTCTGAGAGCTGAGTAGTACAGATATTTTCAATTATTGTCCTTTTATTTACTAGTGTTAAGCATAACGAAGTGCCTTGAGTTCTAAGACGTCCATGTTAGCGACTTTGGTAGGAGTTGAATTGTTGCCTATCGAGATGTTGGTTTATCCTATCGCGAAATTGACCGCCGTGTTAATTGTACTGCAATGCGTGTGTGTAGTGTATGTATGGAAAAAGGTAGAGGAACACGAAGAAGGCCAACTGGTCCACCGAGGCGTACCACAGAGCGTCAAGACAGGCGCTTCAGACAACTAGCCCTACGAAACCGTTTTGCTACTATGCGTTAGATCGCTGACCAATGCTTTGGAGAAGGTAGACCTGTTACTATGCGTACACACTTTGTCACTGTCGTCAACGTTTGAACTGAAGCGGAGAACGACAATATTGGGAGGCAGAATAGCATAATGTCATCTTCAGCGACGAATCGCGATTCTGTCTAGGTTCGCTCGATGGTCGTAGACGGGTAAGACGCCGCCGCTCCGTGGAGAACGGTGTGATATTTGATGTGCCGTTGAGAGGCATATACGCAGGACTGTTGGAGTAATGGTTTGGGGGGCTATAGCCTATGGTAGCCGATCACTTTTGTTCAAGGCAATATGACTGCTGCGCGTTATGTTGATGATGACCTACAAACCACTTTACTGCTGTATCTAGAGGGCCGTCCCCACGTCCTTTTTCAACAAGACACGCTGTCCCCATATTGCTCGTCGTACTACGGACTTTCTTGAAGAAGCAGGCGTTAATGTTTTGCCGTGGCCGGTCCATTCACCGGATTTAAATCCCATCGAACATGTTTGGGGTATAATGGGGAGGAGACTATCCACTTTGCACCATCCGACACAGACTCTGGCACAGCTAAAACACGAAGTTCGAGTAGCTTGGAATAAGGTGCCACAATCAGATATCGATCATCTTATTTTGTCGGTGCCTTGTCGTATACTGGAGTGTATTCAGCTGCGGGATCGTCCAACACGTTATTAACTTTTTTTCTTATTACTTGTCAATAAAATTTCGTGAGAATGTTATCGTTTCATTGTTGCCAAAAAATCAAGTTGAAGAAATTATCTTTTCTGGGTGTAACACTTCTAATGTGACTGAGTATATTATATATGATAAATGAGTTAGTTTATAGGCAGTTGATGTCAGTTAAGAACGGATTTGCGACATGACCGTATTATGAGGGTAGACGGGTAATCGCGAGTTTGTTTGACATTCCTGATAGATACCTAAAACTGGCGTTACTCTAAAGATGTGCAGACTTGAACTGAGAATGGATTTTGTAACATGGGTGAAGAGGTGTTTACAGGCAGTCACAATTTTATATAACATATATATTTACCCCTTCTAACTAGATACCAGGCAGATAAATATATTTTGCAATGTAAAATTTGGTTTAATCTAACGTGTTTATTTCACAATTTTAGTTATTTTAACAAGTTTAAGCGTACGAAGTCTCGGATAGCAGCTTTATATATATATACTAAGTGACATATAAATCCGAACACCCAGTTTAAATAGTTTTATTTTAATAAAATTTTGTATAAGTACTTAATGAAGCATAATAAGTAAATGATAAAAATTTCAAAATGATTGCACTGCTTTAAAGCCCTTTGACCTTTAATAATGTGTGGATGCACCCTGATGTGCTACGCATTCTCCAACGCGCCTAGGTATGCTTCTGATCAGGTGGTCAATGTCCTCCTGTGGTATCTCATTCCAGGCAACCACTAACTCCTCTCGAAGTGCTTCTAGAGTCTGAGGAGGACGTTGCAAATATGAGCAATCTCCTACCCATCATATCCCACACGTGCTCAATTGGGGATAAGTCGGGAGATCTTGGTGGCCATGGTAACAATGAGAAAAGATGGGGTTCTAGAACTTCGTGGATATAACGCTGCGCGTTCATGTTACCTCTGATGAAGATTAAAGGTGACCTGGAACCATAAGCTATAGCACCCCAAACCATAACTCCAACAGTGTGATAAGCATGTCTTTCAACAAAAAACTGTGGATTCCTCCTTTCACCACGTCGCCTTCTAACCCTGGCACGACCATCGTGCATGCCTAAACAAAATCGAGACTCGTCACTAAAGACAATACTGTTCCATTCCTGATCCCATAGTGACCGTTGTCTGCACCACTCAAGGCGATTACGTCGGTGTTCTCGAGTTAAAGGGAGGACCCAGTGTGGCCGGTATGAAAACAAGCCAAAACTTCTCATTCGTCGGTAAACACTTCGCATGCCAATAGGTCTTCCGTGTTCTGCAAACAATTCATTTGCAATGGACCTGGTAGTGGAGAAACGGTCCCTTAAGGCCAATAATCTTAGGCGGCGATCTTCACGGTCTGTTGTTCTACGGCGGCGTCCAGTGCCCCTTGCTCTTTGCGTACGGCCTTCTCGAAGCCATGTCTGTCAACACCTAACCACAGTGTCTACACTTCTTTGCACTCAACTGCAATTGCCCGAAAAGAAAGTCCAGCTTCCCTAAGTCCCACTATACGGCCCCTATCAAACTCACTAAGTTGACGAAATCGTACAGGTCTCCGTACTCTGATCGTGACCGATCGTAAAGGATGTCAAGAACCAAAATCCGCCAACGTTGATTCTTTACTGCGGCTGAAATATTCATTTTTAGAGCGTTAGTGAATTAAAAAAAAGCCAGTATAAAAACCGGAATGTCCAACTGATAAGGCTGAACATTTTTTCACTTGTTATTTACAGTAAGATAAATACATTCACCAACTTTTATTAAAATAAAACCATTTAAACTGGGTGTTCGGATTGATATGTCACTTAGTATATTTATTGTATACCATTTCAAGAAAAAAAAAACGAGCAATATTTATGGCCTATACATCTCGTATATATCGGCTATATCTTGACCATATTTAGTAATATCTGCTGGATTATGTAGACCATGGCAATGACTGACGAAATTGTGCACATCGGGGCATTTGGCAATCTGTCAGAATTACATGAAAATAGGTTGTGAATTTGTGAATTTCAGGTATAGCCAGGCTAGAAAGATATTGCGCGTTTATAAGCGTCATGAGTTTATGAATTGATTTTTTTGTCTTTTGAAAATGAATCATAACTCACATATTTGGTTTACTTTTCCAGCTGTGAACATGTACCACCACTTCTGTGATTTTTTAAACTTATATGCCTCGTTACACGTGAACACGACTGATGAGTACACTTTTTCCACTGATGTGAACGTTTTAATATGGGAGTCGTTTGAATATCGTTCAGCTTTTGGTGACACATGGGAAGCATTCACAGAGCACCCTCTGTGGGATTTGAAGACTTTTAAAGGTAACATATCACCTGTATTTTCATCAGCATCTGAGAAACACTCTATAACAATGAATAAAGTTACAATATGTATTACTGTCGGTTCAGATCATGAGGAAACTCATCTCCTGAAGAGTACAAACTAGACTGTTTGGCGTTGCAGTTTTATTCTTTAAATCTCAACATAACGTTATCAAATGATAAACCTTTAAAAAACTGGAATATACTCATGATAGTACAATTTCCGTTTTTTTTTTGTATTCACGTTGTTTTTTGTGCTCTGTTATACATGTACATTATTTTTATCTTGTATTTTAGCTGTTGACTGTTTATAACTGTTCACAGTGTGTCATCCAGGTAAGCCATACGTTAAATATATCCGTTTTTAGGTCGAACTGTTTGCTTCAAAAACATTGTTTTTCCATTACTACCAAGGATGATATTTGGTCTGTACTACAACACACCAATCATATATGGCTGTGAAAGAAGCGGTCTTTTTGACGCGTTTTCAAAACATGTTCTTCACCGATTGAAAATACCCTTGTATCATCGAAAAAACAAAATGATAAGGATTACTGTGATATCGCGTAACACCAAATACAGAAGGATTGTTAATGAAGAAGAACTGTTGAAAGCTATAAAGAAGAACGATCAGTATGAAGTTAAGAGAGTTGTGTATGACAGGGATATGTCATTCAAGAAACAGCTAGAGATAACGAGAAATTCAGATGTATTTATAGGCATTCACGGAGCAGGTTTGACGCACTTGATGTTTCTACCTCCTTGGGCTGTGCTTTTTGAATTGTGAGTACTTTAGTCATATCAAGTCTATAATCCAATGAAACAGTTTTTTTTTCAAAGCTTCTGACACAGGTGTTAACCGAATACTTGTCGGTACCAGAGTCGAAACGTCACCACCAAAACAGAAATATCGATGGTGTGAGTTTCGTTTTTTGGGGCAGTTCTAAAACAGCTTTTACACTACTTTGACATGTGATACATCATATCGAGTAATGGGAACCAACGCTTAAAATGCTTGTTTAAACCAACGTTTCTTTCAAGAGCTTGACTATTACCTATTTGTACATTATGGTTATATTTGTACAGGTCGGACGATTTCTAAAAAAGTCACAAAATCGGTAATTTTTACTCAAAAACACAATTAAGTGTGGAAAATCACATCAGTCATGTGGTGACCGTTTTTGACGATGCATTACTGGAGGCGTTCTTGAAAGTTCGCGAAGACTCTCTCCAACATCGTGCTCTCAACTTGGGCGACCACGCGAATTGCCTCCTTCAACTCGTCCAGAGTTTGGGGCTTGAGCTCGTATACACCAGCCTTGGGGTATCCTCGTAGGAAAAAATCGCAGATGGATAAATCTGGAGACCGAGCAGGCCAATAAACATCACCAAACCTGGAAATAAGGCGACCACGGAAGAGAGGGCGAATAACGTTTATCGTTGCTCCGGTTGTGTGGGCGGTGGCCCCATCCTGTTGGAACCACACATGTTGGAATGGAACACTTCTTCGTCATAATACAGGTGAAAAGAAGTTGGAGCTCATTTCGACCTAGCGCTCCGAGTTCACGGTAACAGCATTGCCATTACCATCTTCGAAGAAGTAAGGACCGATGATGCAAGTTTGCGATATAGCGCACCAAACCGTCATTTTTGAGGTGTTTAGCGGTCTTTCATTTAACTGTCGAGGATTTTCATTAGATCAATAACGGCAATTTTGCTGGTTAACCATGTCATTAAGCTGAAAGTGAGCGTCATCATTCATGAACAAAATGAGGTTCTCATTTTGCGCGATAAGTTTTTCCATCTCACGTGCGAAATTCATGGAGCTCCTAGTGGTCTTTTGTTGATCAGTACACCAAATGATTGAACCCAATGAAGGATGGTGTTTCCAGAAGGAACAGCTCGATTCCAATGAATATTGAAGTGGCGACGAAACTCACGCTGTGGTAGACTCATTACGTCGGACAAAACTGTCGTACGCGAAAACACAGTGCTAAACTATGCACTGCTCCATAGATCTACTGGTAAAAATGCAAGGATCGCCCGAGTCAAATGACACTCTCCCCACCACTTTCGCCCGAATAGGCGGAGAGTACTAACCATTTCAAAACCATCCGTCCTTTGTGCCGGACCCTGTATAGACTGTAACTGGTAATAAAAATTCCTGTGATTAATTTTATCTTAACTACAAAACGCATCAAATGAAAATATACACCAATATGCTCAATTTTCTGGGCATGGTTTCTGGCAGGGTTAGTATGTATCTCGTAATTCATAGATTAATATTTACGATAATTGCTTCCAAATGCTTCAATAATGGTAACAATCACAAGATACGAGATAACACGCTGTTTTTACGAAACTCTAGTTACATAATATTCTAGGAAACTTATTTTAGGTATAATTGTGAGGACACAAGCTGTTATTTTGACCTAGCTAGGCTTAAAGGAGTGAAATACATTACGTGGCAAAAAGCGGACAAGATAAAATCTTTCGAAGATGTAAGTATGTTATTTTAATATCTTGAACGCCCGCAGGGAGAGGCCCTGTGAATCCACTTGGATCTTCAAATTTGCATATTTAGCATGATTTTGTGTACAATTTTGAGAATCTGCCCCCTATTTGGGGAAAGGAACTCTTTCACAAAAGGTTATCTTTTGATGCTCGCAGTGAAGTAAAACTAGCCATAACTTTCTGAATCTTTACTTTAGGGTTATAATATGATATAGTTTACTACAAAATATGCCTAAAAAGTCTCACCATCTGACTAAAAGTGTAACTAGAACTGTAACTGCATTGGCCCGATATTTTATCATTATAAGGTATACTCTAAAAAACAGGAGGAGTAAAATTTTTCGTGCATGAACATTGTAAAGACCAGTACCTTGTTTTAGCGTAATCGTTGAGACATAATAGACTCGTACGTATATACAGTATGGAGATTGAGCTTGAGTAAAATAATAACGGTTACCGTCATTTTTTCAATGAATGCGGTTACAACAATATTTAAACCGCATTTCGCTCATATTTATACTAACAAAACAATAATTTGTTCAACAATAAGTGAAGATTGTCAAAATGTCATTTAATAATTGTGTATATCGCCTCCTGTTTTGTCGTATGACTGCATATATTGGGTATACTAAATGACAACTGCCGAGTACCTCTTTGTGGCAATGAGGTCTGCTGATTATACAACCGTATCATAAGGATCCAAGCCGAGAATATTCTGTGCATGTAATCATATGATGCAATGCCATTTCACCATAATGAACGTAGTATATTTTGCTGTAGAAACGTCCTGTAGTGGACGGGTGACGTCGGACTACGTGGTCCTCGCGTTTCAACGCCGTCAGGGTGAACTTGTTTTCAAGGCTTTGAATTATAAATGATGGAGAACTGATCGAATCTGTCTAAAACACAAAGTTTATAAAAAGAAGGAGAACAAAATGAAACGACAAAACTGTCTACATTGTCGATTCTGTTCAGATGGGGGCTGTCCGACTGATCGATGTCTCTTCTCTAACGGACAGTCTCCTCCATGATGCCACCACGCGATGTGCCTCCCAGACAGACTTGCCTGACTTCGGCCTCTCATCCTAACCGTGTCAAACTTCGTACATCCAGAACTGCGAACGCTCCTTTGTCGCTAGGGTATCAAGATTGCGGAACAATCTACATGAGGAGGCTTTTTTAAGTTCTACCAACCCTAGGCAGCTCTAAAATCACATTAACAAAGTTTCTTTAATCTCCTCATAGCAGCCGCGGTGCCTTACCATTTAGGCTTTGCCTGCGCGGCAGCTTTGAAGTAAAAAACGCTTACCGTACGTGACGTGCCGGATAGAAAAGAATGTGTGTATTGAGCAAAGAGGATCGGGATACGGATATGGCTTCTAAATCTGATGATCGCCACCTACCAATGTCCTTTTCAGCCTTAATTGTTTTCTCATTTTTTATTTCAGGGAACATATAAAGGTGGAGCACATGCAAAGTTCGCAAATTACTCTTTCGACGTGGAAGAGTTTACTAGATTAGTTGATATTGCAGCTAAGCATGTTAAAAACCATCCAGAGTTTCAGGACTTTGTAAAAAGGGCAGCAAAAAAAGAATCAATTTTACATGAAGAACTGTAAAATCGATTTAAATATTGCAAATCTCCCACTAATCACGATGATGTTGAAAACATGAACAATTAGTTTATTTTGAATGTACTTAATAGGTACGGAAAATTTAGGAATCTCATTTAATAGTGAATAAACGTTTTTTGTTTAGGTTATTTTCTATCGAATATTCTATTTTATTTCAACACTATCGTATATTCTATTTTCTTTCAACACTATTGTATATTTCACTTAGCACAATGTTAAAACACGTTATTTAAACAGATTTAAATTAATTTATTAGGATGACTTCATATTGACAAAATCAAAAATGGATTTTACGTATCCTCAAAAGCAATATTTCCTACCCAGTGAATCGCAACTATATGCAATCATAGGTTACTGAAATATAAAATGCTTTAGTCAATAAGCATATATTTTACTGGTTTGTATTTTCAAGACTCGACTGCTCACGGGTCTCACATGCCATATGTATGACAAGAAAATAACTTTCTCAAATATTTCTTAACTCCCTATGTGATCTATTGTATTTTATTTTTATATATTTATGAATAAAGTTTACATAATATCATTTTGATCTTTGTTTATATTTGCTATTAAACAACTTATCCTTCAACCATGTTGGCGGACTGTTCCGACCTTCTCTTAAGGGCGCACGGAACTCGTGCCTAGGGACTGTCTTTATGGGAGGCCAAAAATCAGATGAACTTTGGAAAAAATGTGTTTCAGAAAGACGTGCAGATATTTTGAGGTAGAAAGTAAATAAAAAGATAACAAAAAAATCCTATAAATATGGGTCCAAAGATGTACGAAATTTCAAAAAAATGTATGTATCTATAGAGCAGGCAAAGATACTAAGTTAGGATCTTAGACATTCAGCCAGCACATCATTAGCAATAAATACACAAAGCTTTCCGGCCCAAACTAAACCAGAGATGTAAAAACTGGAGTACCTGCACCCCTGATTTAGTTTGCGCTGGGGAACTCTAGTGCGTTTATTACTTATGAGGTGCCCACTGAACGTCTAAAATCTCAGTATCTATACCCTCTTCGTAGATATAGTTTTGTTCATTTTTGTAAATAAAACTTCATCACCCTGTATTTTGGTAGGGAAGCATCTTAGGACCCAGATTTATGGTAACTTTTTTGTTTCTACCCTAGAAATATTGGCTTTTCTTCCTGAAACACACTGTAAATGAGTACATACACCTCCGCTTTTCAATTTTACTCAACGGCAAAGTAAAGCCCCGGACTTCGCTCTGGTCTGAGGTCACAACAGCTGCAGTCCCTGAGGTTCCTGTGTACCAAGGGGCCCCAACATAGATTAAGACAGCCCTGTTGATGAAGCTACCACCATCAACAGTGAGTGTGACAGAAGAGTGATTGCTAATTTCTTTTGGCCTGAATTTATCAATATTGACGTAAATGCCACTTGGCTGCTATGTACCACATAGTGAATATTTGCATGGACACATTGCCTAATATATCCATGCAAAAATAATAATAATTAAGAGTACATAATATATTAAATTTCAACATTTATTACAATATTTCATTGTATAAAATTACAAATGTTAAGTAAAGAAAATAATGATAGTAAATATAAAAACAACAAATAATATAAATATCTAATATATTTGCTAAAAACTTATTATGTCAAACATCTGGTGGCATATAGGTGAAGGCAACTTTATCAAGACCAATAATTTAAGAATGGGATTTTCTCACAGCATATTCTTGTGTATGAAGTATAATAGAAGCAATATTATCATCATCATTTTAAAGTCAGCTAGTGCCATTTATAGTTCTATAGATAAACAGTACTCTAAAATAGAATCATTATGCTTGAGATAGCCATTTACTAAGGAAGCATTACTATATCTTCACTTTAATTTTTTTATTATACAGCATACTGACAACTCCACAACAAATTAAACTATAGATTGTAAGTATAACTAATGTGGGTATTGAACCTACAGAATTTGTATCTATTGACAAATTCACAAGTCCTGTTAGTACATTTGCTAGTAAGAAAAATACAAGGCCATTATAATTTATTGCATAAAAGAGAAATGATGAAAGCATTGATCTATCTAAAAGGTATTCTTGTACTAGAAAATGAGAAACTGTTGAGTAAATGCCTAGGAAAAGAACCCAAAAGCAATATCCAGCATTTGCTAGTCTTCTTGAAGTGCCAAAGTAATGAGTAAAAATTGCATGAAGTACTAATGATAAAATAGCATATTTTATACACCTTAATACTTTCTGTGATATTTTTTCATGTTTGTTTATAATGTAGCCAAAATACACAGAATATAAGTACAGTGCCAAATAGCCTACCATGGATACCAAACCTTCTTTATTTGCTTTTATTAAATTAGTTCTTTCAGTATTTTCAAGTACAAACATAGCTAATCCACTTTCCAACAATACTTCTTGTGCTATAATTAACAATGTTGCATTTAAATAAACATAATCAATACTAAAAATGGTTAGAATAAAGGAGGAAAATACTTTTAACATTGCCAGTGTAATAAAAAAATTCCAGTGAACACCATATTCTGATACTGGAACTGTATAAGAGGTGTAAACTGTACTAACTAACCTAATAAAACCTAAAAAAATCAAGCAAAGGGATTCTCTTATAGATTTTTTTATAGTTTCCTTTTTCCTTCTGGCTTCAGGAGAAACAATTCCATTTGAGAATATAAACAAACCTACACCTGCATCCATCAGGCTATAACCAAAACAACCTGTTTTAGCATACCTCCTAGGAAATATTTTGAAATCTACTGCAAGAATTATTATCATAGTCAAGAGGAACATGAGAGATCTATGATTTGTGATATAGTCTGTTTTGTTGGTTGGACTAATTTTATTAAAATCCCTGTTGCCAAATAATGCATAGCTAGCTAATATAATAATAAAAGTTGTTGATATCTTATAGAGGTAATCAGTTAATAGGGTATAAGTTAGAATACCAAGAAAAACAACCATCACAAATGTTAAGGCAAATTGCAGTAAGTTGCTGGAACTGATGTACTTTTTTGCTAGGGGACTTAATACAAATGAAGTAAAGGCAGCAAGCAATGGAGCTAACATGGAAAAGAAGGTTTCACCAGGTGTGGTGCCATCTGGGGTATGTAAGCTCTTGTAGGTCATTGTGACTAGAAATTTAAAAAAAATATATAACTTTCTTGGCTATCATAATAAAATAATTTACCTTTTAAAAATTTTATACTGCACAGGGTAAAAGGACCTACACAATTTCATTATTTATCAGCTTACTCTAATTTTAATTGTAGATAGCGATTTCCATGATCAGGTTTTCAAGTTGCTATACCAAAAGATACAGTTTACTTTTACCAAATGTTGAAAACAATACAAATTTTGAGGTTTGAAATTATTATGGTTATATTATTTTGTTGACAGATATAAAATAACCAAAATAACTCTTAAATACAGTGTGTTGTGCTTACAGTTATGCAACCCATAATTCTCTATGTAAAGGCGGGTTGACACCGGATGAGAGCTCGCAAGCAACTTTTACTTTCAAGCGCTGCAGTCTGGGGCAATGGTCAACTAAATGCACTGAGCGCTAATTATCAAGTTGTAGAAAGCTCAAAGACGTACATTTTTTCCTCGCATAGCTTAGAAAAATATCTGGTCAGTGTATGAGTCTAACGCATTTATGTACTTTTGTTCATCTTCGATATAAAACATGGCAATGCCTGCAGATACAAGTACAACGTCGACAAAATTAAGTGAAACCAGCGGTCCTCAATTACATAATTAATGCGTGTAAAAACCAGTAGCAACTACGTTAAGGATCGGCTGATACAGTGTGTGTGGGTGTGTGTGTGTGTTTTTGTAGTTTACCTGTGTGTTACTTTTCGGAAGTTAAGCTCTGCGCATGCTACCATAAATCAATCTGTTTACTTTTCGTATATTATTGTGACGAAACCACCAAAAATCGTGAAAAGAACTAATCACACAAGAATCAAATCCAAGCGAATAACCAAAATTTCTGTGTTATGTGCCGCGGTTATAATATAGTTCAAGATGACACACGGGTTGATGACGTCAGTTACACGAATCGCTTGAACGCGTTGGTTTTAACCGCGGTTTTGTTGCAAGTTGTTTATTTTAGAAAAGAGTGTATATAATCTCTGATTATTTACATTATCACTTAATAATCGGTGCTTTTTCGTCTACAACTGTATATGGAAAGTTTAAATAAGAAACCTTTCATAATATTCATGGGAGACATGTTTTTTTCAGATTTTTTTTTAATGACGGAACCATGGGTTTATAGCTATGATAACTTTCAATTCTCTAAATTTTTCCTCATGTCAAAGAAAACATTTATTGATTCAGCAGAAATGATGAAAAAAGAAATTAGCAAAACCGTATACAGGTGGATATCATCTAGTGAGTTTATATGGCCATATTTTAATATTCTTGTGGTATATGGCTACACAGGATACTTTGTTAAGCATAGGAACTACATTTAAAGTGTCCCCAACAACCGTAATGAGTATAACTAATAAGGTGCTCCACTTTATAGTAAAACTGAAGTCAGCCTGTATCATTTTTCTCAAAAATGAAGCTGAACTACAATAACAATAATCAAATTCAAGCGGATAACCAAATGGAAATGGTATTTACCATTTTGGCTTGGTATTTACCAATCCGTTCAAGCGATTGTAGTTATCAGTTTGGTTATAAGATCCGTGACGTCACGAATCAGCTGTTATATGTCATAGTTATCACCGCAAAATTGTGGTATTTACCCAACTCCGGAGTAGTTTTATATTTCTGGTTATTATTTGACATGTGACAAGTTAGAATTTTGCCGGGTATTGGATATTTTTATTGTACTTCAGCTTCATTTTTGGGAAACTTGATACAGGCTGACTTCAGTTTTAGCATTATTTATAATCATCACTGTTGTTGGGGACACTTTAAATCTACTTCCTACACTTAAAAAAGTATCCTGTATAGCCATATACCACAAGAATATTAAAATATGGCCGTATAAACTCACTGGATGATATCCACCTGTATACGGTTTTGTTAATATCTTTTTTCATCGCTTTTTCATCATTTTTGCTAAATCAATAAATATTTTCTTTGACGTGCGGAAAAGTTTAGAGAATTGAAAGTTATCATAGCTACAAAGCCATGGTTCCATCAGTAAAAATTTTTTTCCGAAAAAAAAACATTCCTCCCATTAATATTATGAAAGTTTTCTTTTTTTCAACTTTCCATACCCCGTTGTAGACGAAAAAGCACCGATTATTAAGTGATAATAAAAATAATCAGAAATTATATACGCGCTTTTCTAAAATAAACAACTTGCAACAAACCGCGGTTAAAACCAACGCGTTCAAGCGATTCGAGTAACTGACGTCACCATCCCGTGTGTCATCTTGAACCATATTATAACCGCGGTACATAATACGGAAATTTTGGTTATCCGCTTGGATTTGATTAATATCCAATACCCGGCAAAATTATAACTTGTCACATTTCAAATAATAACCAGAAATATAAAACTACTCTTGAGTTGGGTAAATACCACAATTTTGCGGTGATAACTATGACATATAACAGCTGATTCGTGACGTCACGGATCTTATAACCAAACTGATAACTACACTCGCTTGAACGGATTGGTAAATACCATCCCAAAATGGTAAATACCATTTCCATTTGGTTATCCGCTTGAATTTGATTATACACTTCCAAGCATACGGCATCGGCATTATCATGAAAAAAAAAGTATTCTAATTTCACTATTTGCCACTAGAGTCGCACCATAAAATGGTCATACGATACGTTGGTGACCCCCATCGTTACCCATGTGCCTATGCCAGTTTTGTGTTTTGTGCTCATTTTAACTTTTCGTCCTATCTGTCATTTGGACACGTTTTTGAATGAAACGGCCATTTTTTGAATTTGCGGAGATTTTATAAACAATTCGTGAAATTGTGACCCATATCCAACAGTTTTCGGAATATGTAGGGTTTTAATTATGCGAATAACGTTCCATAAGGGCACAAGTCGTAACGAATAACGAAAAGACTGTTTCCTTCGGTGAAGTCCAGTTTATATGCTGAAAATGTTCATAAACAATGTTAACAAGAAGGAAGAAATTAAGAGCATTGCCTTAAGAAACCTACGCAAATATGGCATAAAGCACAGAATAAAGGCCACAAGACATCCAGTTCAGGTTAGTAAAATATTCCGAACACGTTTTGAGCTTAACAAAAATCTAATAAAACAACAGGTATTCCATAAAGCATTGCTTTGCCTTTGCATCTATTGCTATTAGCACAGACAAGTCTTGTGCGAAATAGCTTATACATTATACTTAATTATTTTGTGCTTTGTTAGATGTGTCGGACATGTATTACAGATTTTCCCCCCATAGCTGACATACATAAGAGTAGTTTTGATAGTATTTGTGGGATCATATCACTTTAAAACGGTATAACATCTATTTGACATAATACAGATATTGGATACGTTAATATGGAACATTTATTTGAACAATAATAGTTTCATCTCATATTTCTGGATTCTATTCTTAAAATACATTGTCATGTAAATAGGTCAATAGATAACCATACTCCTATGATCTTTTCACTTACACAACCTCCCCCCCCCCCCCCCCCCCCCCAGCAATACTAAACAAATCTCCAAATAAGACGCCTTTGATGACAAGTGTTGATGTATACATGTTTCAACATTTTAATAAGTTTCTTACATAAGTAAAATTACATCTGTTTCACATACTGATCTTAAGTCTGATCAAAGATGATATGATACATAGACCTATCAAAAATATTTCTCCCTCATGTCTGCACTTTTTTGAGACAATCTTATAAAATCTGCATTTAGTATTCTCATCATCCCCATCCATCTTTTTCTTCTGTATTTTATGAAATTTCACTTTTAGTTATCATTGTTTGTCATTACAGGTAACAAAGTCAAAAAAACTCTTCAAAGTTCCATTGCAAAATCTTGAAAATGAAACTATTACTTTAAAGAATGGTTTACAACTTGTAATTCCAAAAAGACTGTTTGAGATGTGTTCATATATATTGACTAAGGTTGATACTGAAGGTATTTTTAGGAAAGAGGGTTCTAGATCTAGACAAAATGAAATTAAGGTAAGTTAAAGGTAGAAGATCTAAAACAAAAACGTGTTAAAATTATTTATCATGAAATTAAGCAAGATATTTTATTACATCCTACAACAAAATACTACTTCAGAAATTCCTGATTTCCTGATTTTCATATGTTATTTTGAAATGATGCATGTATGTATAAAGATATTTATTACTCTTTTTAGTTGTCATTAGATAGAGGTTGTTCTCTAGGCATTGAGCACCATGTCATTGATGTCTCTGTAGTTTTGAAGAGCTTTCTTAGAGAATTACCAGAGCCTCTAATACCTTATGCTTATCATGAATTGTTTCTGAGGTGTTCACTAGTAGAACACAAAGCAGATGCCATATTGTTAGCCTGTCTGTTGTTGCCAAATGAACATATCAATGTTTTATCATTTGTTATGCAGGTAGGTATTATTAACTTGCATTCTTTCTCCTCTAACAATGTTTAGTTTCATGCTGAAACTATGAGAGTAAACAAACCTTTTAATTTAACTTGTGAAGGTTACTACTTAAAATTGATAGGGTCAGGGCCAGAACTGTTCAGGGGCAAACAAGGCACTACATCAAGGAGTCCTATTACTCAGCTCCAAAGATACCATAGCAAAACAAATTTTTGTTTTGAAAATTATGATAATATTCCTCTTCTTTTTCAAAATTCTGAATGAGACTAATTTATAAAGCAACTTTAACATGAATTTATTTTTAGTTTTTGGATGAAGTGTCTAGTCATGCAAAGCACAATAAAATGGATGCATATAACTTGGCAGTGCTCATAGGACCAAATATATTTCCTATTAATGAAAAGTGTGTTCCAAAGAATAAGTTGATGTTCAAAAAAATTTGTGATATTGTTAAGGTCTGTATTAGTATTTTATAATTGAGATGCTTGCTGCAATGATGTTTATTTAAACAGGGCTAATGTTGTTTTATTATGTTCCAGTTAATGATTGAAAATGCAAAACATATTGGTGTCATTCCAGATGACATCATAGAACAAATAGGAAATTTGAAAAATGGGGAAACTGTGGTGCCAGAAAGGACTAAAAGGAGGAGAAGTAGATCATTGACCAGTAAGTTTGGCATTAATGAAATTGTAAATAAATGAACCTACATCTCCTAAATGGAGTTGGAAAAATAATGTGGTTCCAACTTTTTGGAATTACTCCACATCTAACTGCCCTGATTAGTATATTGCTGTTTTAGCATGTTTAATTTCCTTTTTCAGGAATATTCAATGGTTTGAAAAAAATTGTAAGCAATCGTACAGAAGATGAAGTAACTGCTGTCAATACTGTCACTCCAGATTTACTATTGACACCATTGAACTACTCACATTCAGTTAAAAGAAGGTATGGTGAACCATCCACTTTTCATTCATTTAGCATAGATTCTTTCAAAATAAACTATGAAATTGAATTTTTTGTTTGGATCCCTCGAGAATGCATCGAGTACTCAGTTTATACCTGGTCTTTGGCATTTTACCGAGTACCCGGTTTCGCCGAGTATTAAATCACACGGGCATATTATACAGGGTGTTTCAGTTTATTGTTGCATAACTTTAAGATTCGATAGAACTTTTAAAATTAATGCATAAAGTCTATATAAACATGGGTCGAAAAATGCGTGGCTTCCGAAATACAGGGTGTTTAAATTTACTTTCTAAAATAGTTTTTTTTAAATATTTTGAACAATATTTGATGAATAACAGTGAAAATTGGTATTCAAGGGTTTTTTGGTACGACAAAACGAACCATGGGCACAGTTTTACTGTAGCCGCTAGAGGGCTCTTTCTACTGTACCTGTAGTGTATTAAAATGACCGAACATTTTTTCTTAGTGCAATTTTTTGCTTTTTGAATAAAAAACTGATTTTTTGCACTTTTCAACATAAAAAAGTTCTCTTGGGAATTTTCGTTATAGTTAGCCGTTTTTGAGATATTTCGATTTTTATGGTTCACTGCATTTTTAATTATTTATGATAAAATAACGTTAAAAAGTCAGTATCTCGATAATTTTTAGAAGTAGGCTGTGCCTGCAAATATTTTTGAAATTGAAAGCGTCAATTAGTTGACCTGAAACGTTTTTTTTCCAATTGTGAATGCACGAAATTTAGTTTCTTTTACCTGTTTTTTTTTTGTAAGTTTTATAAAAATGCCATTTTTATTCTCCAATCAAGAGTTAGCGGATATTCATTTTGTGTATGGCTTTGTAAATGGAAGCGCAGCAGAAGCAGCCAGAGAATACGCACGAAGATTACCAAACAGACGACATCCAACTCGCTCAGTATTTGTAAGAGTGCATCGCCAAATAATTGAAAATGGTTTTGGAAATCTCCAAAGGGATCAAAACATAAATGTTCGTCAGCGCAGATTTACCCGTATGATTCTGCGTCAGTTTGATAGAGATCCGACCACAAGTGTTAGGAGAGTTTCTGGTGCCTTGGGAATTTCAGCAAGCCATGTTCACCGTGTTCTTAGAAATGACCATAGACGTCCTTACCATTTGCACCTGTGCAAGGACTACAGCCAGGGGATGGAGAACGAAGAATCACATTTTGTCAGTGGATTCTTGATAGAACTGATAATAATAGGGAGTTTTTAAGTAACGTTTTATGGACCGATGAATCATGCTTCACTAGACATGGAGTGGTAAATTCTCATAATCAACATACTTGGTCGCATGAAAATCCGCATGCAGTTCGGGAAAGAAATTTTCAGCATAAATTTAGTGTGAACGTGTGGATTGGTATCTACCGTAATCGACTATTTGGACCCTACCTTTTGCCTGCAAGGTTAAATGCTGCGACCTTCTTGGAATTTTTAAAGGCTGAACATGCAAATATGTGGGATGATGTTATGTTAGATTTAAGAAGATTGGCTTGGTTCCAGCTTGATGGTTGTCCAGCTCATTATTCGAGAATAGTTAGAAACTGGCTGTACGAAAATTATCCAGAAAGATGGATCGGCCGTGGAGGACCAGTCGCCTGGCCTCCACGATCCCCTGACCTAAATCCATTAGATTTCTTTGTGTGGGGATTTCTAAAAGAAAAAGTGTACCAGACTCCCGTAACCACAAGAGATATGCTAATAGACAGAATCAGGAATGCATGTGATGAAATACGGCCTTATTTGAATAATGCTATACCACGTTCGATCATTCGTAGAATTGAATTGTGTATTGAACAATTGGGTTTACATTTCGAGCAACTACTTTAGATTTTGTATGTTTGTCCTAACTATCCAATAGCATTTTAGTTGTAAATAATTAATTTAATTTGTTAAAAATAATATTGGAAAATTAAACAAATTAATATTCTGTTTTTTTGCGTTTATTTGGAGTTAGGAATTATTACTGTGTTTAAAAACACAATCTAAACGATCATCTTAATTACTTGTAATGCCCAAATCGAAAATGTAAAAAAAAATATTATTTTCCCATAAATAATTAAAAATGCATCTAACCTTAAAAATCGAAATATCTCAAAAACGGCTAACTATAACGAAAACTCTCAGGAGAGCTTTTTTATGCAGAAAAGTGCGAAGAATCAGTTTTTTTTATTCAGAAAGCAAAAAATTGCACTAAGAAAATTTTTTTGGTTTTTTTAATACACTACAGGTACAGTAGAGAGCGCCCTCTAGCGGCTACAGTAAAACTATGCCCATGGTTCGTTTTGTCGTACCAAAAAACCCTTGTATAACAATTTTCACTGTTATACATAAAATTTTGTTCTAAATATTTAAAAAAAACTATTTTAAAAAGTAAATTTAAACACCCTGTATTTCGGAAGCCACGCATTTTTCGACCCATGTTTATATAGACTTTATGCATTAATTTTAAAAGTTCTATCGAATCTTAAAGTTATGCAACAATAAACTGAAACACCCTGTATAAAAAGTTCAGTCTGAGCTTTGCCTTTTTCAAACCTTCAACAAAGATAGTCAAGATTACAGCATATTTTTACCGTTGTTAAGTTAGATAATTTTTTTGTAAATTTCAATCGCTTCGAGCAGTAAGCTAGTACATATTGGCGAGGCCAATTTTTTATATACAAAATGTTATAAGTTTTTTCATAATAAATAGCTACTATAGCCAACCACATTGCATATCTGCCTTTTGGCATTTTACATTTGCTCTTTCACCTTTTATATGAGCGCCCAAAAAACAACACAGGAAAAACAAAGTAAACAAGATGCTGCAAAAATTTCGGGAAGTAATGTGAATAACGGTAAAACCGCTACTCATTCATGGCAGCCTTCCGAAAATGTGATTCCAGAATATGGTTTAACTCGATATTGTAGCTGCTGAAGTCGACAGTGGAAAATATACTCAGTGACATATAAAATGCAACACCCAGAGTTATTTATTGAATTTTGATAAAAACTTGTAAACATATTTGCTATCATGAAAGTATACGCCGATAAAATGTTGAAGGCATTCCGAGCCGTACTTTTTTTGTAAAGGCTTGTTTGTCATATCAGGATCCGAAAAATCGATTTTCCACAACAACGACAGTTGTGAAACAGTAGTTTGAGGATGTCGGAAGGGCAATAACAATGAGGACAGTTTATCGCCGAATAAGGTATTTTGGACTGTTTTCATACCGTCCCCATCTTGTACACCTCTGACCCCACATCATCATCTACAACAATTGGTATGGAGTAGGGAGAGAACAAAATGGAATGGAACACAGTCGTGATCAGCGATCAGTAAAGATTCTGTTTGGGTACACGTGATGGCTGTGCAAGAGTAAGGAGGAGACTTGGTGAAATATGGAACGTCCAATATTCCATCGAACGGCATTATTAATCGTACTGTGGGTGTATGGGGTACCATTGCTTACTGCAGCAGATCACGATTAGTGTTCATTCGTGGTAGCATCACTGCCCAGTGCTGTATCCACGAAGTTTTACAACCACAGCTGCCTCCCTTTTTGGAAACATTGAAAGATCCAGTTTTTCAGCAGGACAATGCCCGAGCTCATGTCGCACGTGTTAGTTTAGACTTTTTAGAAGCGTCCGGAGTAAATCTGCTTCAGTGGCCTCCTGGAGCTCCAGACCTTTCCCCCATCGGACATGATGGGAAGAAGGTTGCAAAATTCACCGCACTTTAAAGTGAGATATCTTGGCTATTTCGCGAAATTTCGAGTTAATATTTTAATCACTTTTAGTTGACCTAAAACCTGTAAAAGAATGCTCAAAATTACAGCACTCCTAGCGGTGTTGCATTTTCTATGTCGTTTAGTGTATATACCTAGTTGTTGTCTTGGATATTGGAAAAAAACTTTGAAAATACCACAAATATACTAACCTAGGATGCTTCACCCACAACAATTGTTTGAACTACACAGCTGATGTCGTACGTTTATTTCTTGGAAAAGTAAATTAATTCTGAAAATACTACTCGGCTTTTTGAAAAGTAGTGCTCGGTGCAGCGCTAATTCCTATACCAGAAATATTACACAAAGTATCATGTTATAATTACAGAGAAAACTTGAGAACTCGGGATGACGAAAGGACGGCACCAGTAAAAAAAACTGTTTTAGGTAATTTTTTGGACTTAATATTTCTTATGGTGCATCACAATTGCAGGGTTTGTAATTGAAATATTATTATACTATTAAAATCACAAACTTTAATCAACATCAATTTTTATATAGATATTGATGCATTTTTACAGAAAGAAGATGGTCTGCAATAACAACTGCCACCAACAGTTTGAGGCGTAAAAAACGAGATTCCTTAATCTACCACCTTAAAAGTGATTCAAATTTAGGTTGTTCCAGCACATCTAATTCATTCGCCAACATAAACTCGAGCACAGAAGGGGAATATGTCAAGCTGATTGATCATGACATAAACAAAGTTTCTATCCAGAATCCCCCTGCAAAATCGCCTGTAACAAATAAAATAGTTAATACAACTCCAGACTATGTAAAAGTTCCTAAAACAGAGTATGAGGAAATTAAAAATAGGTATGGCACTTTAAAAGAAGACTCTATATTAGGTCCAATCCTATTCATAGACTATATCAATGATTTAATAAACTTGAACATAACTGGTAAATTCGTAGTTTTTGCTGATGACACCACAATACTTTGGCAGGACACAGATATAAATGAAATAAATACAAAAATTGATAATGATATACAATTAACGAAAAAAGGTGCGACACCAATTACTTGACTTTTAATGTTAATAAGACAGTTTATAACTTCTAAATGTTCCCTTGATTTTATAAAATTCAAATGTTCCCTGGATTTTATAAAATTCAAACAATGAATTAATGATCATAAAGTAGATTTTACTAATCATATAGACAAATTGCTTATTCAACTAGCAATGATGTCCTTTATTATAAGAACAATTAGGTACAACGTATTGAAAAGCACAACCCTAAGCAGTTACTTTGCCTTGATTGAGGGTAAATTGAGATATAGCATTCCATTGGGGTATCTGTTCCAAAAATTGTTTTAAAAAGGGCTTATTTTACAAAAACGAACTATTAGATATATAACTAAAAGCAATCCTAGAGCTACATGCAGGCCTTTATTTGTAAATCTTAAAATAATCGTTACATTGTTCATTTTATTCTCGTATTTTTAAAAATAAATCTACATTTGAAATATTAAATATAAGTTACAATATTAGGTTAAAACACAATCTTAAATTAGTATTACGTAAATTAACACTTGTAAAAGACTTAATCATTTATAATGGTCTGAAATTTTACATGTGTCTTCCTGGTGCTGTCAAAATAATTATCAATTTAAAGATATTCTACAGTGAACTTAAAAACTGTGTAATACGTAAACCATATTATACAATGTCTGAGTTCTACAGTGCACCTACTTAAGATCCACATATGTAATTGTTTGTTTATCTTAGATTTATTTAGCATTAATGCTATTATATCCAGGTTACACAGTATAACACTTAATATATTATGTCTTCAAGACTACACATTTTTGTACAAACTTTCACTACTATGAATTTTGGTTTTGCATGAAATATTTTTTCAATTTTTCCTTGAACATTTTCAAACTGGCACACATCTTGATATCATCACTTAATTTATTAAATTTGTACAATCCCTGAAATACTGACTTGTTCGTTATATTACTACTACAATTTTGTAAATGAAAGTCTATACTCCCTCTATTAGAATAACTATAGTACTCATTGTTCAATACAATAAAATTTTAAATCTTTTGGTAGATCTTTAACTTGAATATGAAAATGAAAACCAAGTAAGTTATGAAATTTTTGATATTACGTTGTAGTTCTTTCAGCGTAAAATTTATTCTAGTATATTTACTTTATTTAAGATCATTCTCATAGCTTTATTTTGTAATATTTGTAATTTTGAAAATATAGTTTCGTTTGCAGTGAACAAAATAGACGAACAATATATCAAATCAGGAAGAATGATAGTGTTGTACACAATTTTTTTAGAAACGCTTGGGCTATGCGAAATTCTATAAAAGTAATTTGTCTTTCTGGATATTTTCGAAATGATATATTTATAGTTCCCTTCAAATTTCAATTTACTAGCATATATGCCCAAATAATTGAATGATTCGATTGACTTATTTTTTTCATGATTAATCGTAAGATTTTTCGTATTTTTATGTAAAGATTTTCCTATAAGCATATATTTTGTTTTGTTTGTGTTTAATTTGAGTTTATTCACATTTAACCAATTATAAAGTTTTTCATATAAATTATTTGCAGTTTCAATGTCTTTATTATATATTAATGTATCATCAGCAAATATTTGAATTTTGCAGTGTCGTACAACATCAGGAATATTCTTAATATATAAAATAAATAGTAATGGACCTAATTTGCTACCTTGTGGCACACCTATCAAAATGTTTTTAATGCTTGTTAATGTATTGCCAATTTTAGTTCTTTGACTTCTATTGATTAAATAATTTTCTTATACGAGGCGTGTCCGCAAAATAAGTTCCACAAATTTTTTTCATATCAAAAAATTGGTTTAATTGCAAAGAAAATACATTTTTGGAAAGCTCAGTCTTTCTTTTATTTTTCTACATAATCGCCGTTGCGTTCTATGCATCTCTGCTTTGGAGGCACCCACTTCTTCAAACCAGAGTCATAGAACTCTGCCGCCTGTCCGTGTAGAAAACTAACAACCGCGTTTTGCAGCTTTTCATCTGTCTGGAATTGGGTTCCGCCAAGGTTTTTCTTCAACTCAGGGAAGAGATGGAAGTCACTTGGTGCTAAGTCTGGGCTGTAGGGTGGGTGAGACACCATTTTCCATCCAAATCTTTCGATGAGGGCTGTGGTTCGATTGGCGGTGTGCGGTCGGGCATTGTCATGGTGAAAACGCACTCCTTTCGTCAGCATTCCTATTCTCTTGTTCTGAATGGCACGTCTAAGTTTTTTCAAGGTCTCAAAGTACCGGTCAGCATTGATTGTTGTCCCGCGAGGCATAAACTCGCACAACAATACGCCCTTTCGATCCCAAAAAACGCTAGCCATGATTTTCCCGGCAGTTAGGATTTGTTTGAACTTCTTTGCTCTTGGTGAAGAAGAGTGCTTCCACTGCTTCGATTGCTCCTTTGTTTCCGGTGTGGTGTAGTGTACCCAGGTCTCGTCACCAGTAACAATAGAGTCTAGAAATTCCTCTTCGGTTGTTCCGTGAAAAGCGAGAAATTCTTGGGCCGCTTCAACCCGCTGCCGCCGGTGGTCAGTGAGCATTCTTGGTAGCCATCTTGCGCAGACCTTTGAATAGCCTAAATGTTCAGTCAAAATCTTGTCAATTGTGGTTTTGCTGACCTCTGGAATTTTTGTTCACAGCTCCCGAACTGTAATCCGTCGATCTTCAAGCATTGCCGCTTCGACTTTGGCAATTGTTTCGTCGGAAACCGATGGCCGCCCTGCACGGGCTTCGTCGTGGACGTCTGCTCGGCCATTTTTAAAGTTCTTGACCCATCTGCGCACCATCCCGCAGCTCATATAGTCTTCTCCATACACTTGCCAAAGTTCTTCGTGAATTTCCTTCGCCGATTTCTTCTTAGCGGCCAGGAAACGAATAACAGACCGCAACTCGCAGCTGGCGGGAGACGCAAGAGAAAGCTCCATCGCTGACGGCTGCTGAGCCAAGACTAAACGTCGCAGCGACGCTGGCTTGGTGAGGGATTGGAGTGGGGGAACCAAACAATCTGCCTCTGTTGCCTGGCTGTGCATAGAAACGATCCTAGCGCCAGCGGCAGCCCGTGGAACTTATTTTACGGACAAGCCTCGTATATTGAATACGGTTTTTAAATCCATAGTAATGCAATTTCGTTAACATTTTCTCCCTGTCAATAGTCTCAAGTTCCCTCTTGAAATCCAAGAAAAATGTAACTGTAAACATTTTTTCATCCATATTTCGCCTCCATTCTTCTACTACTGTTTAAAGTGGTGTTTCAGAAGAATATTCTTTTCTGAATCTTGCTTGAATTTTTGTCAATATCTTGTTTTATACAATATATTCAATGATATGATAAATTATTAATTATGTTATAGTTTAGTTCTGAGTTAGCTTTGTCATTAAGAATGATTGCATTCTTCAGACAATAAAGCATATTTATCTATTAAGGCAGTTCAGTGCTAGGTTATTTTTATTTGCTCTTTGTTTACTCAGGTTTTCCATGTTCATAATCCAATTAATTTTTGTTATTCAGCATAAGACCGAACAGGTTTATACATTCTTATGTAACATTAGGCATATAATTGAACTACTGAATCTTTACCCCTTGTAATTCATGTAATGTAATCAACTCAATGTGTTTTATGAATGTTTTATGTCATTAGCAGATCCATATAATTAATGTTGCAGGGTGTCGGAAATTGAAAAAAGACTGTCGAAGGAGCTAGATACTGTTTCCAAAAGTACAATAATTCATAACAAAGTGAATATTATTAATGATATACAGTCTGCATATGAAAAGACGTTGAATGTTGTGCAGGACCTAAGCCCAGGAACTGATCAGCTGGCTAGGAGGTAAAACCATCCCATTGAAATCGTGGCACAACTTACACATCATTGTGTTATTTCCAACCATCGCATTAAATATTGTTTCAAATTCTTAAGCATGTTTACTGATTTATACAGATTTCAGTTGCTTTGAAACAGTCCACACGTTGCATTGAACTTGAAAATATGATATAACCTAACCAGTGTAGATGAACTTTCTCCCTAAAATTCTTCTTTTTAGGCTGAGCAAGGAACTTCGAATCCGCACCTCTGATCAAAAGACTATTCGTTCACCAAGCGCAAGGAAAATCGGAAACATTAGACGGAGATCAAAGGAATTTGAAAAACCTAGTGCAAGTTCATATGGCTCGAGTAATTCACTCTTGAACAGCGATCCTTCGAAATCTGCGAAAAGGAGTCAGTCATTGAAAAGAGCATCGCCGTTGACCTCACATTTGCCTAGGAGTATTTCATCGCCAAAAGATGGAAGTTACAAAGTAAGTGTCAATATTAAAATTCATTGGATAAATCAATGGCATCTTGTTTTTCTGTATCAATTCGATAGCGTTTCATTTCTAAGGGCCGTATCGTCAGTCGTTCCTATACCCTATTTCACGAGTATCTATCGCGGTAGAATGACACCTGATTATCTAGTAATATCTCAAAATTCCCCATATCGGCACAGGACATAATTCTGACGGATCCGTCAGCGTCAGGTAGTCAGAGCAGTGTTTTGTTATGTTTTTTTGTACGCTACAGATTCATTTTTTACTTGCTAACAGCTATTTTATTTAGTCCATTTGCTTACAAAAAAGCAAAACGCTACAAACAAGTATTACTAGATTTACACCCCATTCATTATTGCCAACGTCGCAGACTAACAGAAAATGTCAATTGCTGATCAGCTGTTGACCTCGTGAAATAGGATATAAATATTGTAGGATGCCTTTATGGCGTCAATGATTTTCATAGTTTTGTACTGTTCCACGTCAGCGCTCTATTTTGAGATTATGTCACAAATATCTATTTGCCAGTTTGTTCGTACAGTGGCCAGTGACTTGTCTGTGATCCGGCCTTCTAAATGCTGTCTATATAGCATAACAGAATGAACGGAATTTATGTGGCGGGATCTTGGACACGATCACTGACAGATTGGCGACAGCTGTACAAACAGGGCTTGCATCAAATTGTTCATGCTTTTGATTTACAGTAGCGGACAAAAGTTTGGAAACATTCTTAGCAATTTCTAAAAAGTGCGCTAATTCTTTATTCTCTATTATTTAGGACCATTTTTTTTCTCATATACTTTGCTTACAGTCTTGAGGATAAAAATGACAATTTGTGTTTGCTGCGGTAATACAGACTATCTTTAAAATACCTTCATATTATTTTATGACCAAAAATGAGACGACAAAAGTATGGAAACATATTTTTTATTACAAAATTAAATACAATCACTCTACAAAAAGATTTAAAAAATACTGTTTAGCTAATATTTGGTAGCATAGCCTTTAGCATGCAACACTGCCTGGCATCAATTTTTTACAGACGTCTGTTGAGATATTTTACCAAATATTTTATACATAATCAAATAAATCGTTCCTATTTTCAAAAGTTTTTCTTGTTAGTTGTCTTTTAACATGCTCCCAGAGATGTTCTATAGGGTTTAGGTCCGAGAATTGCGAAGGCCTTGTAAGAACATTAACATTTTATAGCTTAACCAGTCCTTTACGAATTTTGAGGTATGCTTGGGGTCATTATCTTGCTGGAATGTCCATCGTAACGACATTTCTTTTTCATCAAAGGGGGGCATGTGTTCACTAAGAATATCTTTGTAAAGTTTTGATCCATTTTCCCAACAATTTTAACAATTGGACCCGTTCTAGCCTCAAATTATGATGTTGCCTCCATCGTGCTTAACTGTTGGCAACCGATACTTGTTGAATCTTTTTCGTATTGGACGTCTCACGGCAAAACTGAAATGTTTCGATACTTTATTCGTTACAAAGACTGTGGTATTTAAAAAAAATGCTTGTTTTTGTTCTCAGAGAATTTTAATATTGATAAAATAAACCTTGTATTAGTACGGGTGCGAAAGGTAGACTTTAATATTTATATTATCTGTTCCTTCACAATTTTAATTTAGGTATATGAAATAGTTCATAATGATGTTAATATTTGTTTCTAACCCTTTGTCCGCTACTATATATCATCTGTTCTATCAGCCAGAAATTTGCTACAATTCAATTGTTTCAAAGTATACTGACGCAACATAATAGTTTTTTATATATCTTACTGCTACTAGATACTGATAAAAATTGCAGGTGTTTAAGATATAATGTGTACTGTGTATCGACACCTGGTCTTACACTGTTATCATATTATGTCCCTGTAAACATTGTACAGCTGGAATGACGACGCATTATTTTAGAGTCATTAATAAATAATTGCCTCTGAGTGTGATATTTTAAGGCAAAGCACAAAACTGAAATAATCAAATAGTGACAATTGTTCAACTCAATTAAGTATGCAAAGTCCTCTAAAAAGCATTATTCATTGTACCTTAAAACATTCAAATAAGACTCTGTGTATTTTCGCATTTCTAAATCCCACTATTTCTGAAATGTTCTTTATGTGACGAAATTTGGATATTCCGTTTTAAAATGCAACTTTTGCACTCCTGAATTAATTGTTCTTGCAAAGTGTTGTTTCTCAGAGTAATCTTTCATCCATGCAAGTTTGGAGTCACCGTATACACTGAAAACCAAATTTGTCTGACGGCCGTGTGTATAGACACATATTTTAAAAAGAGATAGAAGCCGTCTGGTTAGCGAAGTTCAAAACCGCGTTGTCTAGCAACGCTGGCGCGGCATTCTGCCGCGTTGCCAATATGTTACACCAGTTCCTTGAATTAACATGCATATTGAAAATATGCGTTAGTTGATTATCTGCGCTCAAATAATGGTTTCATTTTGAGCGTACACATTTTTGAATTGTAAATTGTTGGCAGGTTTTGTTGTGTCTTAACTATTTTAACTCTTGAGAAATATTCACTTCAGTAAAAGAGGGCATATGATGGGTTCGCGCATGGCATACAGCCCGCTACTGACAGTGCATTGAGCATGCGACTTACGCTGATTCTTCTTATCATGCTGGCCAACTTGGTAGCTCACTTTCACTTCTTCTGTCAAGAATTTTATTTAAAACGTGTATCCTGAGGATAGCTACATAGCGAGAGCCACGCCGTACGATTTTAGGAATTTGCCCAAAAATTCTTCACTTATTTTGAGGAAATTCAGCTGCTCTATTATGTTAGTGTGTTTAATATATTGTGTCTATACTTCAAATTTTCATAATTTTAAACTGGCATCATTTTTATTGTCATTCTTAACAGGATGTTTTATTTCGAAGGCACTAGTAGGGAAGTATTGTAATCGCGAAAAATTTCGAAAATGAAAGATGTTCTTTGGATATTATCGCTGACGTATTCAGAAAAAAAATCTGGCTAATCACGGTAGATCCAGCCTTTGAGTGAATGAGAGGTTCACTTAGTCAAAGTGGCAGATTTCGAAAGCTATTCATGGGTAGGGGGCGCAGTGGTGATGGCAGGATTTATGTTCAGGGCGGGGGTATTCTCGAATCTCGCATTCGAAGTTTGTCGCACGACAATGTTGAACGCTTAAGCAAATTGGAATCCTTGTTTCGACAATTTTATTGTTCAAGAAGGCAATATATGAGTTTCACGCGACTTTTTAGCATCTCACAATGCTGTGAAATGGGTGGGTATTAGTAACTAATTAGATAGGCCTGACAGACTTACTCCATTTAAATTCTTTTGTTATACATGTGTGTAGTTAACTTTTTTCAGAGGGATTAACTTGTATCATCATCATCAAACTACTTGACGCAATTTTTGATGTACTTTATAGATTCAGACACCTTTGACACGAAGTATATCCTTACCACGCAGCAATTTGTGGAAAGCGGCAACGGCACCATGTAGTGAATCATCAAGGAAAACTCCTCTTTTAGCCAGAACATTATCTACTAATTCTCCAGTAACAAATAGAATTGTAACTAATTCCAAAATTGGTGAGTATTACTACTATATTTATATAATATTACTATTAATAATACAACAAACAGAAGTGCAAATTGTCTGAGGGTGCTTTACTTCTCATAAATACAAGTGAAAGAGATATGTCAATAACTATAGGGTGTTCAAGAAAAATAGATACTCTAACTTCGTAATCTTATAAAGACGTGAAATAAAACATTGGGAAATGCGCATCGCGGCTACAGAACACTGTACCTTCATAAACGTGTGCCGCAAGTTTCGAAGTAAAAATAACAATTGAAAGATTCAAGATAGCAGCTGGGCTGGGGTCGGGGTCGTGTGATAACTTTATTTTGAATATCTTTATATTATAACCCTAGAATATAAAATCACTGACTTTGAAAAAAATGGCTGACTGGGAGGTTGTCAGTGTTGAACGTTTTGTATATTGAATCATTTAGAACTCGATGTCTAGTTATTAAAGCTTTTAATAAGTTATATTAAACTGGTGCTTTGGGAATTGCAAAATGTGAGCTTTAAAAAAAATGGCAGATTTTGACTTTTATTAAAATCTAACGTTTATCATATTTAATTAAATATTCTGCTAGACCTCTCCAAGAGAAGATATGTATATATATATAAAATAGTATAAAATTCTGATGATTGGTTGGCGAGTTAGAATCTCAGCTTGCTAACCTGACCCATTCAAAAAATAAGTATGGGGGGAGACTCATAATAAAATACTTTACATACGAGTAAGATAATATTCCAAAGTGTCTGTATGTGCCTTGTGTGTAAGTCTTAAAACGCACCTTTATTTCAGATGTCGAACCACATATTACTGTCCCATCTCCAAGCCTTGCTGGTAGTTCATTTGAACAGTCTTATGATAGCCTCTCTCCAGGCTTTAGGAACAAAAACTGTGCAAACGTCATAAAATCGTTTGGCCGTTTGGAAAATACAATTTCACCAAGAAGCAAGGTCATCAGATCCAGGGTAGGGATTGTGAAAAGATACAGTAATCTTCATCAGAATACAAGAGGCAGATGCGTGAACAGATTGAAGCGTAGGTTCGAAGAAGGAAGTTTCAATATTAGTGACGAAGAAAATATTGAAATTGAAAAAGTATCAATTCATAGAAGCAAAGTTAATACTGTCAACATCACACCTCACGGTTCTAGTAATAGGGCATCTGACGAAAGCGATGAGGATGCCGTTTCGAAACTGCCACAGTTCAAAAGAGCATTGCCTGTTGTTAGGACTCCGAAGAGAGTTTATAGCTCTTGTACTCCTAAAGGAAGTAGACTGGCGACTCCTCTTAAATGTCTTCCGGGTAACAGGATGCTTTCTGATGTTTAAAATTTTGATGGGGAGGTTGTGTTTCATCCTTCATACTTTTATTAGACTTTGGTTAGAATAGTGCCACTATATTTGTCCCGCTTCTATTTGAGGCATTACATAAAATGTGGTAAAAAAATTGTAGATAGGATAAGAATGGGGCAAATATTGTTCGCTTTATAACATGGTATATATACAACGCTGACCTGTTCCCTGCTGGTTCCAATGTGTGTGCGAGAGAGAGCGTGCAACCGTTAGAACCGCAGTCAAGACTGTCGTCGCCAGACAACATGATGACTACACTTGTTTGACGTACTCTCTCTACGTCACGTATGTGTTGCACGTTTCTATCTCTCTCTCTCTATTGTCTTTTTCACGACTTTCCATTGCGGTACAAGGAGAGCTGAGTATCTAGTAATATTTTAAAATTCCCCTAACAACTCTTTTATTTAGAAAAGTCCATTTGCATACAAAAAAAGAACGCTACAAACAAGTTTTACTAGATTTTACACCCGATTCATTATTGCCAACGCTACAGACTAATAGGAAGATATCTCTTGCTTATCAGCTGAGTAGACGTCAAAACGTGATGGATACTCGCGAAATAGGGTTTATCTCTTTCATATTTTATCAAATATTCTGGTAGAGTCTATCTATTTCGCACACATTGAAATGGACCAGGTAAAAGGTTTATTGTCAGCATTGTAGGTTGCGGTATCACAACGTGAGGACTTCTTTTACTGTAAGTCGTCACTACCTGAAATTATACGCTGGAGTTGACTGACTATATCTGACATATCTTGCAAAAAATGAAATACCTAATTATTATTTTTCTGTATTGCTGGCTGAAACAATTGCTCTAGAAAATTGTGTTTTGATGCACATTCTAAATAAAAATACATATTTTTAAAATACAGTATCGTTATTGCAGGATAATATACTCCATGTTCTGTAAAAATATATTCAAGTATAGTTAGTTTGTACATAACTTGTTTGGTTGAAAATTTCATATTTCAACCACAGAACAATAGGGTCTTTTTCACGTGTGTCCATTACGTTTTGACGTCTACTGAGGTGAACAGCTGATCATCAACATTTTTGTATTAGTGTTTAGTGTTGGCGATAACGAATGGGGTAAAACTCAAAACTGTATTCAGAACAGTATATGTCAAACAGAGGCAAAACACATTTATCTTGTTTCATTCCTGCCAGACGTGAAATATAATCACGATCATTAGTAGCGTTTGTAGCGTTTCTGGTGCGCGAAGAAACTGTTCTTAATAAACGCGCTGTTAGGAAGCACGAGGGTTGTTTCCCACATTTTTTTTCAGACAATTTATTTTTTATTTGAAAAAAATAAACGAATTTACCATTGGAAACTTTGACCTTTAAGCTATTTTTCTCCAGTCGCCATTTTTTTCTACGACTTTTTTTAGACGTGAAAGCCAGTTTTTCGCTCCCGCCTCAAGATAGTCCACCGCCAGACCATTTAGAAACTTGGTAACTGCTCCTTGCAACTCCTCGTCCGTTTCGAACTGTTGACCGCCTAGGTGCTCCGTCAATTTCGGACATGCTATGTAAGGGCTGTAAGGGGATGGGCACTCTGTAGCGTACAAAAAAGATGTGGCTTTGTCTACCTGGGCACCTGGCATTGACGGATCCGTCCTTTGTCGATATGGAGAATATTGAAATATTACTAGATAATCAGCAGTCATTCTACCGTAATGGGTACTCGTGAAAAAAACTATATGGTTCACGAATCGGCGATCGGTTACTTAACCATCCAAAATCAGGATATATATCTATGTTCTATCAGTGTTCCACTATATTTTTTCTATCTGGATCTGAATTTACATATTAGGTGTTTTGTCATACTTTTTATTTTTTATACGTGTGTATGTTTAGTCAATAAATAGTTTTTTTTTTTAATTTGACTTTCCTTCAATTTTGTCAGTAACTTGAGAAATGTTTTTTTTTTCAGATAACTAATCATTTGAGGATTGTTTGAATAGATTTGATACGTGTGTAATCCCAGAGAATAAAATTTGCTATATAAAAGGCCTTTTACATTTTTACGACACCAGGGTGGTTCTTGAAGTATAAGGAGGGAAAATCCGCACGCTACGTACGCTGTCACGTTATCCGCATACATTATTTCACTTCATATCATCATCTTTGATCAAGAGTAAAATTTTAAAGTAAATCATTTTTTACGACTACGTGCAAATATGGAAAATGTATTTTTTAATAATGTGTGATGATTTCATTATGAAGTTTAAGTCACTCAATTTCATTGGCAATTTTCTCACTGCGTAATTTTAGTAGCCGTTGCAGCTGAGGCTACGCAGCGGCAAAAATTTCTAATAGACTGATGAAGGTGAGTCGTTTGCATTTTCATGGTAAAGGCATCAGAAATTATCCAAAAATATTGCACTTTCCTTACGTGAGGCAGACAAAAAATGGATTCTCTTTAAAAGGGTATACTTGATCATAGATGATGACTTATGGGAGTTATCCCGACGTGAAAACATGTTGTATCCTGACATGTGGACAACGTATATAACGTGCGGAATATCACGCGCTTTTGTTTTGAAGCGAATTTTTAACTTTATCTCCTCATACTTCACGAACCATCAAGGCGTCGAAAAAAACGTTACCTTTTTAGTATGAAATGTCATTCTCTTCAAAAAAGGATATAGCAGTCTTTACACGATTAGGTTTTTATTTATCCATTATAAGAGAAAATATCATTACATCTACCTTAACCCTTTAATTTCGAGGCAGCTGCGGTGGCCGCAGTGGTAGACTCTTATGTCTCCTAATCAGTCGCCGTGCGCTGCGCGGGTTCGAGTCCCGTCCCAAGAGAAATTTTTCCCTAGACGGTCTCTGACTGTCGAACGCGAAGGTACCACCCGGCGGATCTCGTAGGCAGGGCCAGAATGTGTGCATGTTGCATGTACACGTGTTCCCTCGCCAGAGTCCCTGTGGCGTTCCCCTGTATCCCCCTATAGCCCCACGGTACCCAATGGGTGTTTAGGCCTTAGGCCTCCGTGGTAGTTGGAGTATAAAAAATATATGTTGAATATACAACAAATTTTTCTAGAAGCGAAATGATAAAGAATTTTATTCTCCACAGAACAAAATGTTTCTATTACTCTTTTACATAGTATCGCTGGTTTTCGCAACTATCTATTCGCTGGCCTATATGGTCATCAGGAAAACATGTCTGTGGCAATTTCAAAGGTTCCCTGGTCGTATAATACGTGGCTCTGTCTTGAAATAACCCACAATCACGCAAACACGTGAAATTTTATGCGTCCATGTTTTAAATGCCCCCTTGAACAACTTGCACCAATAAAACCAGACTTTACAATTATTTCGGGAAAATTTGCTAATATGATTAAACTATAAATATGTATGTTAGAAAGAGAGAAGCATCACGTGTGTCACCGATTGACGAGGTCGCGGCTTGCCGCTTTGCCATGGGCTCACCCAGTCAAAATTGCAAATTGCTTTTGTGAATACTTTGCAACCACAGCTGAAAAGATAATTACCACAGAATACACAAATATTAAAGAACCCAACCATACTAAAGGGACAACAGTACTTAACTCGACAGCATTTTATGAGATATGAGATTGCCAATAAAATTACTGAAGTTGATTTTTCAATATTTAATATATCCACTCGCATACTTATTTAACTTATCAATCGCAACTGGTACGTTTCTGGCTTTATTGAAAGTAGCTGTGGTGTTGCCTGTTCACGAAAAAGGAAGCACTGAACTCTTAGAAAATTATTGTCCCATAACATTAATAGAATGTATGCGTATTCAATTGAGCACAGTATTCTGTTATCTTATCTGTTAAACAACACGGTTTTCGAACTAGCACTCAACAAATCCGGCAGCATTTTCAATGCTTTCGTTCGACTATAAAAACCTGGATGAAAATTATTACACAATTACAATATTTTTTGACTTCTTAAAAGCATGCTCGTAAATAAAATTAAAGGCTATGGTTTCAGAAATCCCGTAGATCAATGGATTCTGTAATTTATGTCAAACAGACAGAGTACGAAACTTAAAATTTTTAGGTCTAATAGTGGATGAACATTTGAGTTGAAACGACCACATAGAGTGTGTAGCCAAAAAAATTAATTCAGCATTTTTTGCTCTAAGAAACTTAAAATACGTAATAAATAAAAAACTCTTCTTGAACGTCTACTACTCTATTTTTTATTCCCATCATTTAGTGCTATATTGGGGTCATCTGTTGAGGCCCAATGAATCTTTATCCGTCAAAAAACAACAGTCAGACTCTTATAAAATAACTAACTTTAGTATCATTGCCCATCCTAGAGGCGTACCTTCATGTGAAATCATATCCTGCCAAATTCACTTACCTAAAAGTGTCCCAGAGATACAATCTACAACATTACGTTGAACAAATATAGCCTCAGCACATAACGTAATAGCCCTGACTACCTATGTGGATGTATCTTCAGTAATTTGCCCTCCGAGTTGAAAGCCATCAACGACTTGAACGTCTTCTAAAAACAACTTCTAACGTACTTGTACCCTAAGCGTTTTTACTCTCTGCAAAAGTTTTATAATTTGTACTAATTACAAATGCATCTATTTTTTTATTTTACCTATTATACATTAATGCTGCATACTTTTTCTTTTCTTTTATTTAACAATTTGTACTTCTAAACAAGCATACTGTTTTTGCTACTTATTTTATAACTTGTCATATATTTTATTCTTATTTCGTCATGTATATTATTCTTTTGCTTATAGAAATCTGACATTTTCCTGTTGACGTTTCATATCCGCAAAGCAATTTGAATAAAAGTTATGTGCATAAAATAAAATCCTCTGGATAAATTAAGTCTATATTTTGAAAGGATTATAATTCTCTTCTAATCCTACTAATTTCCAACTGACATTCCACAATTTTTCAGCCACTTCACTGTCCTCTGCCAATTTACTAGGCTTTGCTACCTCGCACTCTTTATAATAGAGCCCGGAATCATTTGCACATTCATCACTAACTGCACAGTATATAGTTGTCTGCGCACCCTGTTCTACAGTTTTGAAAAACAGACTAGTGGCGAAATTGAACACTGTTGATAAGCCCGGAATAAATGTTTTACTGAGATGCCTGCCAAGCTCGGTTTTTATCACGCCAGGGTGAAGGGTGTAGGTATTGACTCCACTTATATTGTTTTCTGTAAATAACAGCAATGGTCAATATAATTTCAAATATGAGAAGCAAATACATCGGTGTAGTGGCCTAAAAAAATAAATTCATGCGTACCTCTCAATCTCCTTGCCAGTTCTTTAGTGAAGATAATATTAGCTAATTTGCTTTGTTCATAGGCTCCTATCGAACTGTATCTTCTTTTTTCCCAGTTCAAGTCAGAAAAATTTATTGGAGAAGAAACTGCAACAAATATTCAATAGTTTTCGTGTAAGTATGGATTAATGTTGAAATGGAATAAAATAAGCCGTGTGATGATGAAATTCTTCGATTTGAAAAGCACACAAGTATATGCCTATATCGCAATGGATGGATTATATTGATATTGAGAGTATATGTGTATATTTTTTCGAAAACACCATTGGTGAGAACATGCACCTTTAACGTCTATCGCCACAGATCAATGATAATAGAATTCTGATATGTTCCATTGATTAATATATTCTATCTGAAGCCCATCTGATGCTACATTTCCGCGTACAATTATCCGAAAAGAAATGAGATACCGTAGCGTCATCTATGAGAATTTTTCACAGTTGTTAATCTATTTATTATATATACTTTGAGAATGCTGGTGTGTAGGCTTTAAAAAGAACGGTAAAATCGAAAAAATCCACACCGTGTTATGAAGTTTTAGTTTTCATTACTACAAATTTCATTTTTTTCTCAAACGGAGTGACGGACAGCGTCATTCTACTTCAGTGACAGTAAGTCAAATAGTAACGCCACTTTTATTAATTCATGATTGTGTAGTACCACTAGGTCTGTGTACACCGTACAGCAGCGTTTCTCAACCTTTCACCGTTCGCGACCCAATTTTCAATAAGTATTTTCACCGCGCCCCCTCTCCCCCTCACATAATACAATGCGTGTATAAAATAATAATGTACCTTGAGAATTTTGACGCTAAACTTACAACAGCCTTAATTACAAATCCTACAACTTACCGAGAATAAAAAATGTATAGATATTTGGCAACGCCGATCTGCTGCATTTAGTATTGATAAATACAGTCCTGTTTATAAGTGTACTTACTATGTATATCAGTGGTAATGTGTATTTTATTTTTGATCATGTAAGAATTTTGTTCTTCTTTCCTTTTAGTAAATTATTCAATGTTGTTAGTATTTTTTTCTGATATGCTCAGCTTGAGGAACATGCCAACATGCACCTCGTTTATGGGGAATTCAAATGCAATGCTAGTGCTGCAGCTAGGCTTTAACGTGAGATCCAAATGCTGCTCGTCATCCCGATCACCGAGTTTTTGTGAATGTGCACCGTTTACTCTCAGAAGGGCAATTCCCATATCAAGCAGATGGTGTAGGAAGAATTTCCTTTCCTCACGTCAATTTCGGCCGTAATCCGCTGAGGAAGATCTTGAATGGAATCTGGCTTTGTACTAAAAACATTACTTTTCAAATGCTCCCAAAGAAAGTAATTGAAAGGACTTAGGTCCGGAGATCTCGGCGGCCACTCGATGGGGCCTCGTCTGCCGATCCAGCGATTCGGGAAATGGGAAATGTCTAAAAGCTGTTGTACTGGAGCCACATAATGCGGCGGTGCACCATCTTGGAATCGAATGTAATTTTCATTATAATTAACGAAATTTTTTGTTATTTAGGTAATTCGTGGCTCTATTGTATTTTATAACATGTCCAAGTATGTCTCGCCCGGTAAGCTTCCGAAAATGCCGGCCCACAATTTTTTTTTTTTTTCAGGATACTGCGAGTGTACCGCTCGAAACAAATGTGGATTCGAGTCACTCCAATATCGACAATTATGTCTATTTTCACCACCATGTACATAGAACAAAGACTCATTCGAGAGATAAATATTAAATAACCGATGTGCACTCCATCCTTCTATCCAAATTTATTTGAACTGTTGAGCGTGTAAATCCTAAAGAAGTTGCCAGTCCACGAGTGGCGTCTAGAAAATCCGCATTTGATAAGACAACGTAGATCACAATTTTGTTTTAAACATGTGGACTAGGTTTCTAATAGGAAGAATCATTGTACCCTTTGAGCTGCCAGAGTGCTTGAATGGCGAAATTTATTTAAACTTTTTATACCCTCTCCAGACTCACGCGCGGATCACCGCGTGAAATCGCGGTGCGAATCTCGAAAACTGTACCTACAGTTCCACACTCGCAGATGTTCGTGCCAGCTTCGTTTCGCGCTCTTGACGAGTATGGATGGTGAAATTGCTACTGCTGTTGCATTGCTACTTTGCCAGTTTATAATTACGCATATATAAGTAAAACTAAAACAATTGAAAAGAAGTGGAAAAACATAACCACTCCCGGCACTCGCTAGTCATGTTCGCGCCTTGAGAACCCTTTGTTGCGGGACAAAAAACCGACAACAAACGGGAACAACGCGCGAACGCGACGTGAAGCCGCGAAGAATACGCGAATGGGATCCACACTCATGGGTCGCGGGTAGTTCGCGCGTGAGTCTGGAGAGGGCATTAAAAAATCATTTACCAAATTTATTGAAAGACGTGTCACTAAGCATTTTCAGAGGCATGTGGTACAAGCAAGACGGCTGCCCGGCGCACTATCCCGTTCAGTTACAGAATATCTTTTTTACTGGGGAGCGGTGAAAGAAAAAGTTTACTCAAAGCCAATCGAACATTTAGCTGAAGTTTCGCCCATCTGATAACCATCATCTCCTGACTTCTGCAGCAGATTTTTAAAATGGTACCGCTGTTGAGTTGAAGACCACCCTATTTCGAAAAATTCAGAATTGCAACTCTAACACTGAGGTTGAGAGTGTGAATAATGGCAATTTGCGCGAACAGGAAATAATTGACGTGTTTCAGGATTTATCATACATAAGTCCAATGAATGAAATAAATTTCATTTCGCCGTTGTGTACTACATACAGTATGTTATCACGATTATTACACAGCTAGAGTATAAAGCGAGTATAAATGATGACAATGTTCCGGTGCTGACCGCTTAGCAACGAAACTCGATCCGTAGGGAACTTTACTAAGGCCCGTATCGTCAGTCATCCCTACAATTGTAGGGCGCGTTTATGGCCTCCTTGATTGTCATACTCTTTTCTCTCCTTCAAAAATTTCTAGATTACACTCGTCCTGTGTCAGCGCCAGGGCTCTCCTATTGTTAAGATATGTTTTCATTTTAAATTGTAGGAAATTTCAGGCTGATAAAACATGATAAAACTCAAAAGCAAGCACAATTTGATGCAAATAGATATTTGTGAGATGTTAGGCCCGTATCGTCAGTCGTCCCTACAATTGTAGGGCACCTTTATGGCCTCCTTGATTGTCATAGTTTTCTACTTCTCCGTGTCAGCGGTCTATTTTGAGGTTATGTCCCAAACATTTGCATCAAATTGTGCTTGCTTTTGAGTTATATCATGTTTTATCAGCCTGAAATTTCCTACAATTTAAAAAGAAAACATATCTTCACAATAGGAGAGCGCTGACGCTAACACGGGACAGGTGCAATCCAGAAATTTTTGAAGGAGAGAAAGCAGTATGACAATCAAGGAGGCCATAAACGCGCCCTACAATTATAGGGACGACTGACGATACGGGCCTAAGTCACATAACATTCGCAGGGGGTGACATCTATGCAGAGTTTCTATTTATACATCCCATGATGCTCCTGCTGTGTAATACTCGTGGCAACATAGTGTAAAATATTTACCATGTACCTTCGTGTGCTAATGAAGAGACATTCACAATTCTGGCAGGAATACTATTGCAGATTGTAGGCAACAACAACATGGTAAACAGAAAGTGTCCTAAATGGTTGGTACCCATCTGCATCTCAAATCCATCTTCGGTTTTTGAATACGGACACATCATGACACCTGCATTGTTGATAAGTAAATCAATCCTCTTTTCTTTGGCAAGAATCTGTTTGGCACACTCTCTGACTGACTTCAAGCTAGATAGATCTAGTTTAACTGCTACGAGTTCGCCTAAATTCGATTTCCCTTTACATAATTCCTTGATGTCTTCTGCAGCTTTTTCAGCCAGTTGCGGATTTCTGCACGCCATTATTACCCGTGCACCTGTAAAAATCCATATGTAACAAGCACATAATGAAAAGGGCTCCAAAAGCTGATTCTAGAATCTATACTGTCGTTAATTACAAAACAGTTGTTTTAGGTCAGTCTTTCGGTAGATCCAACGATTGAAGATAGGTATAAACTTTATTATACAAAAAAGGGGGTTTCCACCGAACCCTGTATTGTATGGCTATAGATGAAAAGATGTCGTCCTAGAAATCAAAATTGACGTGTCCGAGCGTTTCTCCCAAAATATACCAGGAGAATCACAAATGGGGTGCGACCTTTTCGTTGGGCCACCCTGTATACATTGCCTTCTCCCCAACTTATTTTTTGTCCTGGAGAAGTTGGAAAGTTGAAATATGGGGTGATGACATTATGCCGTTTTAGTGTAAAAGTGTCAGTTGAAAATTTCTAGATGACTGCTGGGCGCCATTTTAGAACTTATACAGAATGGAAGGATCATGTGACACCTCATTGTGAAGATCCTTTCCAGTACCTAGAATATAAATTTACTATCTGTCAAAATGACAGGAAGTCAAAGTTGAGCGATGCTATATCAATCTTCCTGTTTGGGAAGAAGCTATCTTAATATGCAATAATGTATGAGACATTCCGTTTAAAACAATTGGCAGTTTTTGGCATTTTTTTAAATCGCTTATATGATCGGATAGATCCTCCCAAGGAAAGACGATTGATATAACATACTACAGCGTTTTGATGATTCAATGTACAAGAACGCTAAACTTTGACAGCAGGCCAGACCTCTATTTTGAAAGATACTGATTTTATATTCTAGGACTATAAAGTACTCATAAAGAGCATCGAAATGATGCGACAATGGAGGGTATCCATATCATTAAAGGAACGTTCATAAATTTTCACTTTTAATTTATAAGTGGGGATACAAAATCATCCAAACAGCACGGTGACAAATGTGACAAATGTTTGAGGCGTTTGGATTGTGAGTGCGTGGCTTTTGACATGTCTGAAAACTAATCTTTGATGTTATTTGGGTAAAAGAAATAATTACTATCAGTACAAAAATCTCATAAAATTATGAATTCGCATATCTTTTCGTAGTGGATAAATCAGAAGATCTTGCATAAATGGACGATACATTTTCTACAGATTTGTCAAGAAAGTCGCTACGGAAAATATCGTGAAAGATGAGGATGTGGAAAAAAATATATGCTGTAACAGATGATATTACTTTTTATTAAAAACGGTCTCTTCGTGATGTGTTAGCACTAGTGTCCGACCGAAAGCAGCCTTTTAACCACAATTAATTTATGCTAATTACTGCATTATGCGCATTAAAAATTACAAGTAAATGACTATTATTTGATGTGTAAATAATACAAATATACCCGGGACCTAACAAACAATTTGTGGGTACAAGGCTACCCTTGTACGGAGTAGATAAACATTTTTCAAAGCGGTTTCGATATATTATTTTCCAGTTCTATCGTTCGGGAAGATAAATAGAATGTATATATAGTTGTATGTCATTTTCACGGTTTTTTGTAAGTTAGGAGACAATGCCGTACAAAATAAGTAAACAAATTGACTAACTCTATACCATGTGCGGAGCTTAACTTCGCTAAGAGAGATTACACACTGCGCAATCTTTAATGAATCTGCTACTCGCTCTTATATACACATGACTTGCGTGATCACGTAGTTTCCATTCACTTACCAAAAATACTTTGACGAGAAAATATTGGAAAATCTTGGAGACAAAACTAAGAAACGTATGCCTGTGGGCTTATACATATAAACGTCCGAGATATAGAGAAATCGGTTCTCTGTATGTGTGAGGAGAATGTATAAAATTGGTTCGTGTGGTTTTACTGTGACCCTCCAAAAACCGTGAGAAGGCCTGTATAGAAATGCTTCTTCACAATGAAGCACTGCATCAGGTACGGTGTCGTAAGTTCATAAAAGATTATCTTGGCCCAAGTTAGTCCCTTTACATGTATAATAAGAAAATTAACAGGTTCAAGCCAAACAGGCCCATATACAATTAATTGGTGTATACTCAATAGTCGCTATCCATTTGATAACGCCAACGATATAGTTTTTGCCCTGTCCTAAGTATCGACTATCTGACAAAGCTGCTGGACCACACGAGTCAAACACATCATAAGCACCAGCCACGATACTATAACATCCCTGCTGGCGATGCTGTCAGACGCACGGCAGGGTCCGGCGTATCAAGTCGCCATTGCATCGCATCGTACCGATCGACCGCGTGCCTCGTCTATAAATATATTAAAGTTATAAGGGCAGCTGTACGGGGAAATCTTTGATGTTTGTAATATATACTGATAGGTACAAAATATTACTGGGCTTGAAAGTGTATAAATATACTGCCGCCAACAAAATGAGATAGATATACCTTCCCCCACCCCCTACAACCATAAACTCCTATTTTCAGCACCTACAAGTTCTTTTTCTGAAAATGATCAGGAGCTTCCGAAACTTCAAAAAACCAGGTTTGATCGATTTATGTTTCATTCGTTTTTTGCCCTTGGCTTGCCACCACAGGACCGAGTGGAAGTAATTCTCTCTACGGTGCAGCAGCTCTTATGACCTCCCTGAGTCTCCGTATTGAGGCCAGCCCAAAAGCATATGGGATTTCGGTTGTAGGTTGTAGACCAGTTAGGTATAGCGCAATGAATCGGACTTTCCTGTTTTATACTTTCCTCGGATGTAGCCAACACTTTTTTACGAGCTTCAAAATATAAAAAGGCCTATCCTCTACTTTATACTCATACACTTTTCTGAATTCTGAGGTAAAAGCAATTATAGCAGTAATTTCTTATTTCGTTTATAGAACTTTCATCTTTTCTAGCAGAATCAGGAAGTATCCGTGCGAAACATAATAATTATGTAGGTACCTTACCTCTTTCGAAAAAATCCTTCGCTGTGTGTTTCCCGATTCCCGTATTCGATCCGGTTACTATAGCTGTCTTTTTATCTAAACGATTCGGTGACGTACATTTAACACTAAACATCTTTGTTGGGAACCGCAAAAGAACTGACACATACGTTCTCACCATTGTTATGGCTCCTATGATCATCCTTATCAAGGACATATTGTTATTCAATTCAATATAACGCACGAAAAGAAATCTACCACCACTTTCTATATAATCTGGCAGCGTTGCATAAAAATTTCAATACGAAAATTGGTACTGTACAGATAGCTCATACAGCCTATACTCGTAACATGCCCACGCTCGAAAAGTCGACTGTGTTTATATGTTTTTAACTGTTGAAGTGTTTTACCGTTACTGACGAAGCCATAGGAGATGCAACAGACGATTACGGAAGTATTCGAAGGCGAACTGCTTTATTATTGGAATAAAGACGACACACGATACCATATAATAGCTGTAATACTAAGTTTGCGTTTGAGTATCTTATCTAAAAACATTTGTAGACAATTACACTGCTCAACATAATCTAGGAAGATGCATTGCAACAATCGATTTTAAAAGAAGGCAGGGCAAGTACAAGCCTACAATTTGGGATTGTGGTATCGTTATTGCAAGTAATTACTATAAAAAATTATTTTCTTTTATCTGCCATATTATTTGAAAAACATTTTTTAGGGAAAAAGGCCAATAGCCTTTTCAAAGTTTGTTCCATATTTATAAATATATTTTTTTTTACCTTGCCTGATTTTTGGGAACCAGACCAAAAGACTGACTCGTTTTAAGTTACTGCGTCGCGTCGCCGCTAAGTTAGCGTTCCTGGCCTATTTATACACTCCCTATGATTTTAGTCAGTGTATTTCTAACACCATTTACATATTGGAGTTTTATGTAATTACTTCAGTAATCTTGAGATGGGCTTAGCGTTTTATGGTATTTTGACAAAAAGGTTATTTCAATCAGTCCTCTCTGCAGTCACTTTGCGAGGCCAGATACAAGAAATAACTTTCTTGCTTTTTCATATAGATGTAAGTAAAAAGTATTATTATATACAGGATGTAAACGTTATGCTAGTCATTATTTAAATGGGTGATAGAGGGGGTTAAAAGAAGCAAAAAGTTTCATAAAACACGGGGGTTAAAACGGCATTTTTTAGAAAATAGCGACTTTAAACTAAAATAAAATCTGACAGCGCCGCAATGCCAGACGCAAATTACGACGGAACGCAGTGTAAATAAAGATGGAGTTCGTTATTTTTGGCTCTTAGGTGTTATTTCATTATGTGATCATGTACTCGTAGAATGCAAACAATTAAAAAAAACGGACTTACCACTAACTGTCTCAGCGCTTCACCTAGTCTGTGAAAGTTTATTGAACGTATTAAAAAAATCCACTTATAAATAGGGAACACAATTTTGATACGTACATTGTTTTTCTTTTTAAAACCCACACTGCGTTTTTTTTTGTATTTAAAGAAGGTGTTCAAAATGTCGTCCTCCACTGTCCACGCAAGCTTCATTACGACGAACCCAGTTTCTTCTCACTCTAGGTCCTCGAAGTTGTCCATTATTTCAGCCGTATTAAAATTTTTTCCACGAAGTTGTGCTTCCATAAACCATCCCTTTAAGTTCTCCCCAATACCAGAAATACATCGGATTGTGGTCAGGAGATCTTGCTGGCCATTTTCATTAATCAGGAGCATTTCGACCGATCCAGCGATTTGGATAATGTTCATTCGAATACTGAATGACGCCTCTAAAAATGTGAGGTGGTGCCCCGTCATGAAGATACCACAAATTCTGTCTTCGTTGTAATGGCAGGTTGTCTAAAAATCCGGATTTTCAATGTTTTTGTGCAAAAACCACTGACAGAATGTTAGTCTGCGAGGATAGTCTTCTGGTAACAAGGCCTGCACTCCTTTTACATGGTAGGGATAAAGCAAATTTCCCCGTAGGATTCTATGGACTATGGTATGCGATAGTCCTACGCGGCGGCCTAATTCCCGAGTGCTGATATCTGCATTGATTTTCATGATATTTAAAATTTGTTCCTCCTGCTCTACAGTAACCTGTCTTTCACGAGTGCGAATATTAGTGGGCTGAACACTTTCTGTATCTCGAAGTCTTTCGTACACTTGCACAATTGTCCTTCTGTCTGGGTGTACCCGGTGGCGAAATCTGTCGCGATAAATTTGAGCTGCAAGACTTGAATTCTGACGAGCTTCACCGTAAACTAACAACATGTCGGCGAACTATTGATTCGAGAACATTGTAAATAAATACGACTCGTCGCGAACAATAACTAGATTTAGATTAGATTATAAAAATTAGTAAGATTGTGGTCGATATAAAGCACTTAAAGTTGTAAACTATAAAGTCATTTAGACAAAAATCTATTGACTTTTGGACCATGGGTCATATGAACTTTTTGACTTGTTTTGACCCCCCCCCCCTATTACCCATTTCAATAATGACTACCATAAAGTATATTATTTCAAAACTTTCTATGAACAATCGGTTAGTATTTTTTATTCCATACAGTTCAAGTGCTGAATATTTTTTTTTTGCTTTTGTTAAAACTTGGATGACTTGGATCTTCGAGCTTCAGAGTATTGAGCATTCTGAGGCAAAGGATCAAGTATGCGCCCTGCTCCCACATTAATTGAGAATCTTGCGCCCTGTGGTTGCTTACCGCTTGCAGCCGGCCCCGACTGGATTACAAAGACATCCAGGGTCGTAGAGAGCAGTTCCGAGCCCGGGACGTCAGACAAGTCTCACGCCCACCGGAAGCATCTCCGGCACGGGATGAAGCCTTCAAGTACAAAAATTCAAGCTCATCAACATCCAGAAAAACTTCATAGCTGTACTCCAACCCAAATGAAGCGCAAGCAAGACAGGAAGCCGATAAGATCAGGCCCTTCCTTTCTTATTTATTCCGAAACTGTCTCATCATCAAAGCAAATCGTATCAATTCTACCTGAATGAAGGAACTAATTGCGAAACGGAAATCATTAAAGGAAGGTTGACTCGTTTTGAATTTTTTCTGGATTCCAATATCGAAGATTCAACTGAGACTCAACCCAGATACGAAAAAGCTCTTGGTTTTCTAGAAGAATTTGAGATCGTTGAAAGTGACATAAAAATATCAGTGCCCAGAGAGAGATTGAAACTCAGGAGGACTTTTGGTCAGAGTTCGAGTCACGAAACAGCAAAGGCAACTATCTCAAATGCTAATATACTAAGTGACACATAAAATGCAATGTAAGGGTAAGGGTGATGGAGCTTGCAGGGCAAAGAAGATTGATCTTTGCTTGCCCTGGTTGTGAACTTAAATCTCAAGAAAGTGGTGCACACCATAGAAAAGTAGAAGATACGGGCATGAATGATATTAGAGATTGCCTAAAAACAACATTGGATGAAACCGTAAGCAAGATAACATCTTTTGAAAAACAAAATGCGTAGCTCATAATGAATATGCAAAAATCGATTGTAGATAAATATTATCAACTGGAGGGCGCAGTTGAACGTAAAGTTGAAAAACTAAACTATGCACAAAATAATGTTACTAAGGAGAATTCTGACATCTATAAGCCGTCGACCTCAGCTGCCAAAAGCACATATTCAAAAAAACTTAATGCCAATAAGCCGATTTCAAAAAGATCACCAAGTCCAAACAATCAACAAAGCGTTGAAAATATAGCAGTGCTTGAAGAAAAACAAAGAAGCACTATGGAAAATTTAATTTATATAAACTCAGATAGTACAAAAAAAACCACAAGAAAATTTTGCTAGAGGAAACCAGATCAGAGGTAATAGGTATGAAGAAGTGGGCAAAAATGATGACGGCTTCCAAGTAGCCAAACTAAAATAGGGAATAATCCAGATCGACAAGACTTTGGATTCATTGAATCAGCACTAAACAAAGATAAGAAAATATGGATGTTCATTAAGCGTGTTAGTGACTCTACTAATACTGAAAACGTTAAGAGATTTATTGCAACAAAGACAAGTTCAGATGAAACAAAAATACAAGTTAAAGAGGTTGCTACATATCACCGCAGCTCGAATAACAAATGTTTTCTAGTTGGTGTTGATCAATTGCTCAAGAAGAAAGTGTATGAACCCAACTTCTGGCTCCAGGGAGTTACTTTTGAAAGGTTTAATTTTTTGAAAGGTCAGCGCTTTTTGGATGAAGACGCTTCTCATGATGCGCCAAAGGATTTTCACACATAAGAAAACTGCCCACACAGCTCTTTAATGTTTCAAAGCATGTTTTACATAATCAAGATATCATATACCTCAACATTGAAAGCTTATTACGAAAAATTGACATAATAAAAGCAGAAGTTATCTGTTATAGATATTGAGAGATATTGAGGATTCAGAGCTAACTATCAGAGGTTATCAACTAGTACGTTGTGATAGTAGCAGCAGGCACACAGGAGGAACTGTCTTTTATATTAGAGATGGAATTGAATATAAAGTCAAAAGGAAACCATTAGTTCTCAGAATTATTGGTTTTGTTTTATTGATGCGATAGTGAGAGGTTAAAAGTGGGCAATTGGTGGTGTTTATCACTCTCCTAGTACCAGTGATGCTGATTTTATTGATAAGTTGGAAGCCGTTTTAGATGATTACTTCTCTGTAGTAGGGGATGTAAATATAGATTTTAAAGACGAAAAAAATTTCTATACCAACAAAATTCAACGTTTCTTTGATGTTTATGGGGTTAATCAGTTGGTCACTGACTATGCAAGGGTAACTGATATGAGCATGTTTTTGATAGATTATGTTGTTTCTAATCATGGGAACATTGAGGCTAAGGTGCCTGATCAACCAAAGTTGTCAGATCATTCTATTGTATCTGTTAGTGTCTGTTCAAATATTGGTAGCAAAACAGTCAAAACGGTTGAAATAAGAAATTTAAAAGACGAGGAATTACTAAAAATAAACATAGACTTGTTGTTTTGTGACTGGTCAACAAATAGTATTAATGTCAATGAAATTTATGAGAATTTACGGGCGAATATAACTAAGGCAGTCAATACAAATTCATCTAAGCTCTTATTGTCAGTGAGAGGTGACCAGGTTCCCTACTACGATATTGAAGTCAAAAATAAAGCTAGGGAGCAAGATCTTGCCTACAAACAATATAGGAAAAGTGGCCACCCAATCGACAAACATAATCAGTGGGAGAAATACAAAATGTTCAGATCCATATCATTCGAAGAATTGAAAGAAATTATACTTTCATTTGAAAATAAAATATACGATGAAGATATTTTGAATACTAAACTTCTTAAAAATACTTTGCACTCGATTGGTCATGTAATCTTGAATTTTATCAACACTTCACTAGCTTATGGAGTTCTCCCGGATGCATTAAAAGTAAGCACAGTTACGCCCATCCCTAAAGTAAGAAATTCCATAGAAGCATCTGATTTCAGACCTATAAATACTTTGCCACCTTTTGAAAAACTTTTGGAAACATG